GGAAAACAGCATTGTAAAAAAATAAGCGGCCTCCCAAATTTCACATTAAAATACAGAGATGCATTTTAAAAAGGAAGCAAACGGAATTTTTTTTACGTTTATGGAAAAATGTTACACTCTTCGTCCGCGACAGGACTCGAACCTGCAATCTTCTGATTCGAAGTCAGACGCCTTATCCATTAGGCCACGCGGACTTGTTATAGTTGGAAAGCAGATTTGTATAAAAATAAGCGTCCTTCCAACTTTGACATTATAATACACTCATGCATTATTAAAGTGAAGAAAACGATAATTTTTTCACGTCTATGGAAAAAAAGTTACACACATCGTCCGCGACAGGACTCGAACCTGCAATCTTCTGATTCGAAGTCGGACGTCTTATCCATTAGGCTACGCGGACTTATTACACTTGGAAAACAGCATTGTAAAAAAATAAGCGTCCTCCCAAATTTCACACTAAAATACAGAGATGCATTATAAAAAGGAAGCAAACGGCATTTTTTTCACGTTTATGGAAAAATGTTACGCTTTTCGTCCGCGACAGGACTCGAACCTGCAATCTTCTGATTCGAAGTCAGACGCCTTATCCATTAGGCCACGCGGACTTATTACACTTGGAAAACAGCATTGTAAAAAAATAAGCGTCCTCCCAAATTTCCCACTAAAATACAGAGATGCACTATAAAAAGGAAGCAAACGGCATTTATTTCACGTTTATGGAAAAATGTTACACTTTTCGTCCGCAACAGGACTCGAACCTCCAATCTTCTGATTCGAAGTCAGACGCCTTATCCATTAGGCCACGCGGACTTGTTATAGTTGGAAAGCAGATTTGTATAAAAATAAGCGTCCTCCCAAATTTGACATTAAAGTACACTCATGTATTATTAAAGTGAAGAAAACGGTATTTTTTTCACGTCTATGGAAAAAAGTTACACTCATCGTCCGCGACAGGACTCGAACCTGCAATCTTCTGATTCGAAGTCAGACGCCTTATCCATTAGGCCACGCGGACTTATTACACTTGGAAAACAGCATTGTAAAAAAATAAGCGTCCTCCCAAATTTCACATTAAAATACAGAGATGCATTTTAAAAAGGAAGCAAACGGCATTTTTTTTCACGTTTCTGGAAAAATGTTGCACTCTTCGTCCGCGACAGGACTCGAACCTGCAATCTTCTGATTCGAAGTCAGACGCCTTATCCATTAGGCCACGCGGACTTGTTATAGTTGGAAAGCAGATTTGTATAAAAATAAGCGTCCTCCCAACTTTGACATTAAAATACAGTGATGCATTATTAAAGGGAAGCAAACGGCATTTTTTTCACGTCTATGGAAAAAAGTTACACTCATCGTCCGCGACAGGACTCGAACCTGCAATCTTCTGCTTCAAAGTCAGACGCCTTATCCATTATTCCACGCGGACTTGTTGTAGTTGGAAAACAGCATTGTAAAAAAATAAGCGTCCTCCCAAATTTGACATTAAAATACCGTGATGCATTATTAAAAGGAAGCAAAAGACATTTGCATAAGAGAAATGAAGCTTAAAATAGCTATATAATTAAGCTTAAAATAAGCTAAATGTGACAACAAATACTTAAGATTGCTGCTTCAACATTGGTTACTTCCTACAAATAGTATGTTTAAGTGTGTCCATTTTGATATGTATAAATATATATTTAATGTAATTTTCTGTTAGATTGATGTAAATGTTGGAAATATATAAACTAATAACTAAAAGAACTCAAAGGATATTTAGTTAAAACTGTAATCTTTTCTTATAAGCATTGGTGTTTCAATCAATATAAACTGCTTTAATATTATTGCATAGTTAGAAGTACGTATAATGATTTATTTCGTAAAAAAATATAAATAAAATTATAAAACCAGGATATTTGGAAGCAAAACAATATGAATTGTAGTGAGTAAATTTTTAATTTTCTCATTTATTTATTATTTTGTTAAATATTTAAATATAAAACTGATTGTGATTGGGGGACATTTTAGATGATCATGTAATTCTCAATTTGGAGAAAAATACAAAAACTATTACTGATACTAAATGAAGAAAAAATAATTAATTCATTTTTTTTGCTTATTTTCCCCCCTTTTTCTCTGGCGATTTTGCGTAAAACTCGGTTGTTCAGTCATGCTTAAGAACAAAAAGATAATGATTTATTGTTTGATTACTTAAACTTTTTAAAATAAATGAAAGTTGGTCCTTTCCATATCTCGACATTTCTGGCAATGAGTTTGCAGACTCCCTTGCTTAAAGTGGCGCGTCGCTGCTCTTGTTTTCTCAGGCATCGCTGACTTTTTCAGAAGCGTATTCCGGCTTTATCAATCTATGCTGTCCCATTGTCCCTCCTGCTCACCACCGATATCAAAGTAATCACCCTATAGGTTCTTTGTTCTTCCAGGTCAGCAAACAAAAGCAGGCTGTGATTTCTCATTTTCACGGTAATCATCTAAAATCTATGATATACAAGTAAAAAGTTTTCCCTACATGTACTGCCTGCCAGACTACATCCAACCATATCCTCGACTGCCTAGATCTTTCTAGAGGAGATCTCTTTGTGGATCCACTCTGCGCTCTTCATATGCTCAGAGTTACTTGTGCCATGGACTTGATTTAGCTTTACTAACAGTTGAAGGCTAGAAACAACGTAAAAAAAAAGAATAAAAGGAAAGAAACTATAGACTTATTAGATAATAAATCTACTAATATTTTCTATATTTTATTTTTTGTTTTATTACTTAAATACGACAAAAGTTTTACTTTTAATCAGCTAAATTTAAAAACTATATAAAAAAAAATCATAAAGCATGAGCGTAATTTTCTGTTTTATTTTATAAAATGGTATTTAGAAGTCTGGAAATATATACATTTTAATAAGTAATGCAAAAGTAGCAAACTCAAAATTACACAAAAAAATAATAAATGTAATAGTATATTTTTCGCAAAGATTCTAAAAGGGGAGAGCTTCTGATTTCGATTGCTAATGTCAAATAAAACTCGAGCTAATTGAACCGATCGTTCCTAAATTACGATACGAACTAAGAATAAATGTGTCATGCGTAACTGGAGTGATTATTGGAATGCGACCATATCTAACTGGATAAGTACGAACTGCATGATTCCCGATCGCAACGATCGAATACAGTATCTAGGAAGAAGATCGGTTCCATGTCTTGACCCTTCCCTTTCCCTCTTCGCAGTTGTTTAGGAATGTACTGCGGTATTTCCACCTTTCTTAATATTTTTCGCATTTACTTGTCAAAATGTGTTTCCAAATTTTCAAGACGTTTTCTTTTAGATCTATGTTCAATGCAGTTTTCCGTTCCATATAGTTTCCTTACTTAAAAGCTTTTAATCTATTTGAAAATCAAGACAGAAACTAACATGCTTCCTTCTGCAATCACTCTCCACACGCTAATGGTGAAAGTATGTAAAGTGTTGCCATAGGTAGAGAGTTCTACTCTACGCCATCTGTAGCTCATCTCGATCGTGTGACGTTATTGTGCGAATAATGCGTGACGCTCAAACACTTGTTTCACTGGATTAATAAGGCTGTGATTTCCCACTGGTGTAATTTTGCTAATTTTTGGGTACGTTGTATTCTACCTACTGAGCCATTGTTTCGCAAGCCATTCACACTCCTGCGAAAAAGAACGTGATTGGTGAAACATATTTATTCGAATTTCCGAATTTTTTGCATGTGATCATACCATTGGCGATCGCAACACTCGAATACGCCATCTGGGGAGAGACCAGTTTCATGCTTTCAGCCCTTCTACCTTTCCTCTCCTCCTCTTTTCAGTGGAATGTACTACGCTATTTTCCCTTTTCTTAATTCGCGATCGCAACACTCGAATACGCCATCTGGGGAGAGACAGGTTTCATGCCTTTAGCCCTTCTCCCTTCCCTCGCCTCCTCTTTTCAGTTGTATAGGAATGTACTACGATAATTTCCCTTTTCTTAATATTTTTCCTTTTTATTTAATGAAAATATTTTTTAAAATTTCTATGATACTTTTCTCTAGAACTATGTTTAATGTAGTTTTCAGTTTCATACAGTTTTTTAAGTTAAAGGATTTTAATCTATGTGAAAATCAAGAGAGAAACTAACGTGCTTCCTTCCTCTATGACTTTCCACACGCTATTGGGGAAAGCATGTGAAGTGTTGCCATAGGAAAAGAGTTCTGCTCTACGCCACCTGCAGCCCATTTCGATCGCCAATATTTTTCCCTTTTACTTAATAAAATTATTTTTTAAAATTTCCGTAATACTATTCCTTAGAGCTATGTTTAATGTAGTTTTCAGTTCCATATAGTTTTACAACTTAAAAGATTTTAATCTATATGGAAATTAAGACAGAAACTAACGCACTTCCCTCCTCTATGACTTTCCACACGCTACTGGTGAAAGTATGTGAAGTATTGCCATAGGAAGAGAGTTCTGCTGTACGCCACCTGCAACTTATTTCGATCGCCAATTCTCACTGTAGGCGATCCACACACCTCTGATCACAGTCAAGGAAATATGAGTATCCGATTGGTGTAATGTATTTTCCCGCAAAAAAAAAAAAGAACATTTCAAGTTCTTTCCCCCCCCCCTCAAAAGCGATTAAAGTGTTCCCAAGGAGCATTCTCATTACCTGAGGTTGGCGAGTCTTTTCAGGGGGATTATTTCCTCCCGTTATACAGGTTCTTATCTCATGCTAGTATCGCAGACACTGAAAATGCTCCTAAAGTTGTAAAGTGAAGGCGTGAAATGTGAGTACCTCTAGATTCGGTATAAGCGAAAATCTGATGCAGTCAGAATGGCACCTGAAAGGCAGCAGTGATTTCAAAAGCTGACCCTCAACAATGCATTCACGAACGATGACCTCAAATGATGCAATAATTTTTTCTTCCTAAACAATATTATTTATATTTATAAATTAAACGCAAGTATATCTGAACTTTTCTGGTGGTATCATATGAACATTTTTTGTTCTGTTTTTACTGTAGATTCTGGACTCGTTCTCGGGCTACTGAGGTCGATACAATGTGCATTTAGTAAATATCTTGAAATCATTTACAAGCCACTAGAATTATTAGAAAACATTAAACATTTAAAAACACTGAATTGGAAAGTTAAGGGTCGAAAACCTCACCTTTATGAGCATTATTGAACCAATTAATTCGAAAAATGGCGCTATGCCATGATTGTACTTAGTTAACCCCGTAGATTGTTCGAGTTGTTTGCAATATGGCGTCTTATCGGTGAGTGTTTACAGTGTGTATGCATGAGGTTGCAACCTACATTGTTTATATTACTTCAATAGTCTTAAACTTAACAGAGTTAAAAACTACAATTAACACAGGATCATCTAATACAGTTCCGTTTGGTTGTTGTTACTCTTAGGAAATGTTACTTTTCAATCTCATTGCGGTGTTTTGGAATCTTGAGTGATCAGCGTGAGGCAACTGTTGACCGTCATTCTGACCGAATAATGCTTTATGTTCCGCGATAAGGAAAAGCATTGAATTTCATTGTAATGCAACGTTTGCGTATTTCCTATGTTAATCGGACGCTGTGAAATAATTCTTTTTTTATTACTAGTATCTGGTGAGTATTTCGACGGAGTATTATAATTTTGTTTACATTTTATGAGACTGTCTTCATCCGTGAAACCAAATATTAAATGGACCACTATTTAGTTGTGTTATTGATATCACGTTGTTCTCAATCGTCATAAAAATATTAAACTGGTTCAAAGTTAATTGGTATATATCTTCATCTACAGTCTTTGTGTGTGAAACAAAGATAATGTATTAATAATTTTGACTTGTTCAAAGAAAAGATAAGTGTTTCAAGTGAATTGAATCTGAATCGATAAGTGCATTTGATCTTTATTCCTTTAAGTGTTGTGTTTCTTAGACAAATATATTTCTTTTTAGAGACCTCTGTATTAATAATGTGGAAGTGAACAAGAAATGCAGGTTACCTGTACCTGTCTCTAGATAAAACGGCATGGCAGATACCAGACGCCGTGTGAAATTGTATGCACTAAATGCTGATCGTCAGTGGGATGACAGAGGCACTGGACATGTGTCATCATCTTATATAGACAGGCTGAAAGGCATGTCATTGCTAGTTCGTGCTGAATCAGATGGTTAGTAAATATCGCAACTTATTAAATTAGAATATTCAATTTTATTATTTTATGATGCTGATTTTACAAATATGTAGGATGATATGATGTTATATGGGAAAGTACAACAACTGTTAATGCCTGAAAAAACTTTAATTGACAGGTTTGTTTGTTGTAAACTTCCTTACAGTATTACGAGGAGGTTCAAAGCTAAGAATAGTATGTTTATTTTAATTGGAATTTGTGTTAAAATTCTGGTATGGTTGCAAAAATTTTTTGTCTATTTTTGATCACAAGTTTAAAAATCAAGATTTTACTTAAAAGTAATTCTTCTGGTAATTTCAATCATGTATGTTAACTATACGTCATGATGTGCTTACTAGTTTTTGTTGCTTTATATATGCAACATATTTTATTGGAAAACTATGCTGGTTTTTTACAATAAGATATTAGAAAACTTTTTTTTTCTTTTCTGCAAGGATAAATTAAATCTTCTGTCATCCTAGTTTGAGGTATCCACTAAAAGAAGAGAAAAAAAGAAGAATGGGACTTGGCTATTAAACCTTTTATAAATCTATTATGATAATTTTAAATGTATGAGCATGACAGTAATTATTGATAAAAATTTATTTTACATGAAACAAAATTAATAGAGTTAAGAAGCAAGTTTCCTTATGAAAAATTATCTTTTTATCATCTGAAGAATTTGAACTTTTATATTTAATTGTTTTTATATATTTATTTTATTTATTAAATTATTAAAAAATAGAGTGGATTGTTAAAGTTAACATGACTGTTAATGAGTAATATACCTTTTCATGTGAAATAATATTTAAAAGGTTAAAAAACATATTTCAGCATTTGGAAAAATTGTATTTTATTATGAAAAAATTGATTATAAATGGTTATTTGAGCTTGTTATATGTGATAATTTATTATATATATTATCAAATAAATTATTTGATTAGTTGTTAATAACAAATCCAATGCTGGAAAGTGGTAGTAATTTTTTAAAGAGTATAAGCAAACTTCTTTCCATGATAAATTTAGCGCCGTCAGGTTCGTGTATGTTATGCATGTCATGTCTAAAATGGAGTATTAATACCTTATCATAGATGTCATAGTTCATATCAAAATTTAACCCCTAGCATAGCCAGAATTTAGTTTTGTATCAGGATGCTTAGCGTTTTTTAAAGGTGCTTATTTTCATTTTTTTAAAGCCCTTAAAGGTGCTTTTTTCATGGATGTTTTTAAAAAGTGCTTAATTTTCCCTTTTTCTAAATGAGATTTTTCCTTTCCCATGTTGTTTTTCGCTACGAATTATGCAAAAAGGCACTGTTGAAGTTTTTCTATTCAACGTTTTCGCAATTAAATCAATCACAATCCATTTCGGGTTATTGTCAGTCCGTAGCGTATGAAAACGCCATTTGTTTTACATGATTCAAAATTTCATGATATTTGACGATTGTCAAAAACAATGCCATAAGGTTTTTTTAATTATTTTTTTTGACGTGACGGTTAAAACAAGATAAAACCGTCAATTATCAAAAACTTTCCAACTCTGCCTAATTGTGATATTTATTTTAAAGTCCTTACTTTTTGTTGAATAATTTGGCTACGTGTGTATGGTTTTCCATCCATTTTAATAATGATATAAACCTCTTTTTCTTTTTTTTTATTGGTCATACAAAGTGCGTGCTTACTTATTTTGGAGATTAGAAGAAATATATTTGATTTCCAAAGTCAAATTCACAATTAAAATACGATTTATACAAGGTAAAAGATTACTATAGGTGGAGGCACCTAATAATTACATATTTTCTGACTCCAAGGTCAGTATCGTAAAGTGAAATGTTTGTTATTTTACAAATTTATTAACAACTGAATCATATTTAACATGTTAAATTAACATTTATATGAAATTGCGATTTTGTTTTCAGAATCGTTTCATTTCAAAGATAGTTCTTATTTATAAACATCATTAGAATTCCATTTCAACATCCTTAGCCCATTGTGGCACATACTAATATTTTACGTATTGCATACAATTTACCTTTTACCTAATTTACCTTTTGTGTGATCATGGTGTCCACATCAATGCAAATAAGTATCAAACATTTCATTGGGTGACTGGCAAACATTTTCCTTGCAAAACTCTCGTTCTATCTGTCTCTACATGACCTCGGTTGTATTAATATCTCCACCAGTCTCAGGATCAATAAAATTCAAGGAATGATTGACTGATAGATTTTCAGAAAATCGGGTCTCTGGTGATATTTTCTGGATAATAACTTCAAGCCAAGTTAATTTCATATCTGCTACAACATCAAATATATATATATCACTCACTCTTCTTTCTACCATGATTATATTTTCCTTTACCAAACTTTCATCAGTTTCTGCAATCATTCCAGGATCTCCAGTCATTTCACTCATTTGTCATATTTTTATATATCAATGCAACCTTCTCTATAAAAATTACATCAATCAACCATGTTTTTTCTTGATCTCTCATTCCTAAGAAAATTTTCTCCAGTTTCATACCCCCACAAATACAAAAATATTAAAATCTTAACCATATTCATTTTTCTCTCTTCTACATTTAAACATCATTTAATCACATTCGCCATTTTATCACAAATACAGAGTTGTCAAAAATCAAGCTAGCATTTGTAAACAAAGCAGCATGAGATAAAATAAAAGTAAAGCTTATGATAATTTTGTCACTACATTTTTTAATGTTTTTACATTATATTAATTTAATTTTCTTTTTATTAAACTATTCATAATTACTGTCATAAAATATGAATACTGTAGAAGAAAGAGTTTTGTTAAGTTTTAATTATTATTGGCTGGAATTGAAAACAATCCTACAATTACAAAAGTAAAAATATTAGTTGATGCAGTATTTCCAACCCATGACTTGAAATATTGTGGCTTCTAAGAAAGTCTATCTTGAAAGAAAAAAAGGCCAATTAGTGACCAGTGATAGCAATTTTCTCTCTTTTGTAATTAAACATCATTATTTTTCATTTTATTTTTTTAAGGCTTATAATGAGCCATGTAAAAGAATACAATAAATACCTTTTGATTGAGTACTTTTAGTTTTCACAGGTCCTTTATTTTCACAGAAAAGCCTGGTCTTTGAATTTAATTTTGTTTTATAAAAAAAGTGGAAATACTTTAAATTTTGTCTTCAACCTGGAAAAATCTTGCAACATGGAAAATAAAAAATTTTGAAATTAACAATAAGTAGCTAATATTGTCCTAAAAAAATTATTTAATATGCCTTTTTATTATTTCTTGTAAAAATTCATCCGCAACACCTGTAAATTTTTTTCTTCTGAATTATTGTAAAAATTAGAATAATTTAAAAAAATACTTTTTGATTCAAAAATATTTGTTTCATATTTTTTCTTAATTGTGACTGCATTTGCAGTTAATTAAGAGTTTTTCAAATTGAGCTTTGAGTAGAAATTATAGTTTTTAATTTTATTAGCTATCTCACTATAATCTTTTTAATCTTAATATAGGAAGTATTTGCGACTCTTAAAACTACATTTCAATGAAACTTTAAGTTGTTCCAGTTTTTGGACAAAATATTGCTTTTACTTATCTATAATTTATGTATTTGAATGCTATGAGTCATGTCAACATGCCAAACCTTCGACAAATTTTGTTTTATACAAAATTAAATCTTTGACATATTTTCTAATAAAATGCAAACCTTGTTGCTTATTAAATCAAGAAAATATTTCTGGTGGAATATTGCTTTGGGTAGTAAAAAATTTTATTGTAACTTTCTTAAAAAACCTAGAAACCTAAAATTAAGTGGAGAATCTGAGTTTAATCTGTGCAATAAAGTGGTTTAAAACTCACCTTCTGTGTTTTGCTAAAACAATTTGTGTAATGTACATTTAATGCTAGAAGGTTTTCATTTTTATTATGTTCTCATATTATATATTTTAGGTTCTGTTCTTTTGGAGTCTAAAATTTTACCAGATACAGCTTATCAAAAGCAGCAGGTAAAACTCTTAGTTTTTAAATGGTTATTTTTAAATATGTTTCTTAATTTGTCATCATTTATGTTACCTCCTGTCTTTTGTGACATGTCTAATAGTTCCTATCAGTCAGTGAATGATAGCATTCGATTGATTCAAACTGCTCTTCATCAAAATCTAATAACATTATTTATATTAAGAAAAAAATGTGAAACATACCAAGCAAAAGTAGCAATGAAAAAAGGCATTGATTCTAGGACAAACAACAAAACTTAGCTTATTGCTTTGGTATCTTTAAATATCAACTTTTTCTTGTATGCATAGCTATATGATAATATAATTTAGTTTTTTGCTTATAATTAGGTTTTTTATTATCCTTAATAAGTTAAGTAAGTACAATATAATGTTAAAGTAAATGTATGTAAAAGCAAAAATTATAATTATACATATCTTTATAGATCATCACAATAATGTATGTTTACTGTGCTCTTAGTTAATAAAGCATGAGATTTTTTTGAGGGAGCCTTTTCTGATTTCTGACTTAAAGGAAATTTTTCCAGTGGGAAAATAATAAAGGAAAATTTTATGTTGACTGTATTTTTTTCCTTAATATTTCTGCATTATTTTGAATTTTCTTTATTATTTTATTCTCTTTAATATTTTATTCTCTTTAATCATGATGTATGTTTTAAAGCATAAGAGTTAGTTGGACTTTCAATGTACATGTTACAGATGCAATGTTCTTTTGTGAGAACATTCTCTTCGAAGTTATTTACATTGAAGGCAAACCTTAGATAGTTTATTTAAAATTATATAATAAATAAAACTAAGAAAGGCATAGTAACTAAATTAAGCTAAATAAAAATCTTAATTAGTCTAGAGAGATTTTAATTGAACAAAATTGATCTTAATTGCATTGTTTTCAGGCATAAATTATTTTAAAAGCTAATTTTTCACATTATAAAAAAACTTTTAATTTTGAAAGTTATTTTTTAATGAATTTTTATAAAATTATATTTGAATTGATAATGTTAGATTAGTATCTATGAAGGTTTTTCCATCTTTTTGAGTTACAATAATCATATTTACTCTTTATTTTAGACAATTTTTATAGTAAATTAAATTACATAGATTAAAAACTTGGAAGAACAATTCTGTAACTAAAATCGTTCCTTAAAAAACTGTTAAACTCAGAGTAATCAGTAGAGTCCAGCAAACTAAATATTCATCGGCTCCATTTTGCAGAATGAAGAAAAAGTTATTTTGCATAGTGTGAAAGTTTCATTAAAACCTATTCACTATGCAGTTAATAGTTTGAATCCTAAATTTAATGGTATTAATTTTTTAATCGAAGAATAAGTAATTATATCAGAATCCATTCACCAATTTGTAGCATTTGTAGAAGTCAGTAGTGGAAGTTTTATTGGAACTATGTGAATCTTAGGACAAAGAGATTGTTTTTCTTTATTTTGAAAAACAATGCGTTCTTATGTCTGCTGAAAATGTTAATTCTGTAACTTGGTGAAAAGAACAGGTATCAAGGTATAGTTGGCTGAAATTGCACTGATAGTACTAACAATGCCATCAACGCAGCAACAAAATGAAGCTTTGGCACTAAAGCTCAATACATTTGCCGGAAGAAAAAAAATGTATCCACTGAAACAAGTGAAAATAGAGCGTTTGTAGCCAATATTAAACTACTAAAGTTGAGAAACTTTGAGCTTGTCCGAGTTGCTAAGTTGATTCAGAATTCATTTTTATGTCAACTGATGAAATAGTTATGCCTATTCTGAGAATAATGATAATGAAAAATAGAATAAAACATTCATGTTAATGTAGATTTTTTTTTCTAATACAATTTGTTTTCATTGTTGACATTGAAAAGATCAAGAAAACATGTAACATTTATTTATTTTTTTAATTTTTACATTTTACCAGCTATGCTTACATAATATGTGGTCAATGTTATTTGTGATATCTTCGTCATAGTGATGGTTAAGATTTCTGAAGGTAATAATTATTTTACTTTTCTAAATGTAATAGGAAACACTTATTGTATGGTCAGAGGGTGATAATTTTGACTTGGCTTTGAGTTTTCAAGAAAAGGCAGGTTGTGATGAGATTTGGGAAAAGATTTGTCAAGTAAGTTTTTCCTCTTATATCTTAAGAAATTTCTACCAAATTACTCATAGCTTTTTGATGAACTGAAATATTAATAAAAATGTGAGAGTAAGTTATTGAATGGGCTATCTGACAAAATTAATCCAATTTAAACCACAATAATCACGTATAAATAGAGTTCCAGGCTCTAAGAGGCAAACATAACAGAGGAAATGGCATGTTTAAGGCCTAATCTAAAAGAATGAAATATCAGTAATTTGCTCCAATTCCATCATAAATCCGTGCCCTATTTTGCTTGTTTTTATAGCAATAGTAGCAAATGTCCTTTTTTAAAAAAAAGAACGAAAATTTGTCTTTGATTTATAACTTTTAAGTAATCTTATTGTGATGACTTCATCATTACTTTTTTGAAAGTTATTTCTATAGATTTCCATATATTTTTTTAGTATTGTGACATGTATGTCATGTCATTTCTTTGGATAAAACCTTAATTATCAACGAAATCAAATTTTGAAAAGAATCACTCCCTACAGAATATATTTAAATATTTTTGACATGATGATTTACTTTAAAAAAATCAATTGGTGTTAATCAATGATTTAAAAAAAAAAAAAACTAAGTGATTTTAATCGTGCCAACTCTGGTTTTTGGATGATGTGCAACTACTAATTTAGTGAGATACATATTTTATGCTATTCGATATATTTTATGCTCTGATTCATGTGCTGCTCAAAAACCCAGTATTCTGTATATCTAAGTTGGCAACTATAAGTCTCCTTTTACCATTCTATTGATAAAAAAATATTAACTTGAGAGTATAAGTACAAAAAGTTTAATTACAGTAATGTACGAACCTCTTCATTTTGATTTTAAAAAAAATTTAAGGATGGATTATTTTTTAAACGTTTTAATTTAAACTATAGATGAAAATTGTATTTGCATAATTTTATTTTTAGTTTATGTTATTGATTTCCCTTTTTGAAATGTTTGTGAAAAGTATCCTTTTTTTAAAAAAGTTTTTAGGAGAAAAGCTCTATTCAAAATTAACAATTTTTCAGTTTAAAATTAAGCTGTTAAGAAACAAAGATAAGTAATTTTATGTTGTAATGTTTTAGGTGCAGGGGAAGGATCCATCTGTGGATGTAACCCAAGACCTGGTAGAAGAGTCTGAAGATGAGCGATTTGAGGATGTGACAGATTCCGCCCCTCCCATTGAACTCCCGGCTTGTGAGCTTAGTAGGTTGGAGGAAGTGGCAGAGACTATTAGCAGTTGTCTACCCTCTCCTGCTAGGCGAGAAAAGTTAGCTATGATTTTAGAATCAGAGAACTATGTTAAGAAACTTTTAAAGATATTTCATATATGTGAAGATCTAGAAAATTTAGAAGGACTTCATCAATTATATGAAATTTTTAGGAATATATTTATGCTTAATAAAAATGCTCTGTTCGAAGTGATGTTTGCGGACGATACAATATTTGACGTTGTTGGTGCTCTGGAGTACGATCCTTCGACTCCCACGCCCAAGAAACATAGGGATTTTTTACGCAATGTGTCTCATTTTAAAGAAGTCATCCCCATCTCCAATCCAGACCTTATAACAAAAATTCATCAGACATATCGCGTCCAATACATTCAAGACGTGTGTTTTCCAACTCCATCTGTGTTTGAAGAAAATATGTTGTCTACACTTAGTTCTTTTATATTCTTTAATAAGGTGGAAATAGTTACAATGATACAGGTAAGTCGTAATTCAAAGAACTAATATAATAATTTACTATAATTATATTATAGTTTTTTTCCCTCATGTTATGTATGTTGCAGATAAGATGGAAAATCCTGCTCTTTGTAATGTGCCTGGCTATTTCAAAAAGTTTTCAGTATTTTTCATTCAGCCTAATATTCTCTAGCCTTATTCTATTATCTATTGCAATGAGTCTTAAAACTTTTACATTAATTTCGAATACTCATAGTTCATTTAGTCTGATTTATTTCAGGCCATTATATATAAGCCAAGAGTAGTGAAGACTTATTGTAAAGAGCTTTATTAATTTAAAACAGCTGAGCAAATTAAGGGCTTGTAAAAAAAGCAGATTGAAATTAAAAAGAAAAGTATTTTTAAATGAAATAAATGTTAGTAAAACAAGCTTCAGTGAAATGTTATTTCCACTATTACAACAGTAAGTACTGCATAATATAATTTTCCATAACGTTTATGGTGTTTTAAAAAGTTACTGATCTGGGAAATAGCAAATAAATACAACATGATTTGATTAGAGTAAATGAAAATTTTATGTAAAAATATGCAACATCGATAAAAATAATTCATTGAAATGAAACTAAAAATGTTATTGATTATATCACATAGTGAAAAGTTATTGATTATGTCACATGGTGATTAAAAGTGCTTGTGATCTAATTTTTAAAATTTAGAAATTTACTCCAACACTGTATTATCTGGGATCATAAAAATTTGCAAAAAAAGTGGGAATATGACATTGATTTTGATAATTTTTATCTGGGGAGGGGAGATGTTTGCAATTTTTAAAAAAAGTTTAATTACTTTTTTAAATATTTCAGATATTTGCTCATTCTAAGGCCCAAATAATTCTTTGCAGCAAGATAACATATACAGTTTAAAATTTTCACTTTGCTGCTAATGTAAGACCCTTAAACTGTGGCTTTTTTATTTTCCTTGAAGAAAAAGCTTTGAAAAACCTTGTTAAAAGATGACTGTGATACGAATAAAATTTGAATTCATTAGGGTTGCAATGCTTGCAACCTTAATAAATAGAGAATGAATATATGATTGCCAATAAAAATGTGTCAAAAGTGATTGAGAAGAAGAAAAAAATCTCCAAGCATCGGGTGTGGGTGCATAACAAATTAATTCCAGTGTATATTTTCTGGTAGTATTTTTATGACCATGTCAGTTGCCAAAAATGGTAAAATCACTGTCGATTCCATATCTAACGCTTTTGTAGAGATTGATGAATATCTATCTATGAAACTTAATTTATACATTGTCAGGGTTGCCACTCCGCAGGGAAAACCAGGAAAATACAGGGAATTTAAAAATTGCCTAAAATAACAGGGAAAATGCAGGGAATTTTGATATTTTCTTTACAAACTGGGAAAATACAGTGAATTTTATTTCTTATTTTTGTCTTTTAAAAAATGGTGACCACTCAAAGCGTTGTCTATGGGATGTTTAACCATGATATTTCAGCTATACTGAACTATTTCATTTACTATAGCATTATTTAAGTATGTTCAGGTGTTTTTCCAGCAATTAAAACTAATAAATATAGTTAGCCCAACAAGAACGTGGTAATTGTTTTCTCTTAATATATTGTGCGTAATATGTACAAGGAAAACACAGGGAATTTTTTTTCCAGATTTGAGTGGCAACCTTGATTGTGCTATTCAATTATTATAGTTAAAAGTCCAAAAATCATGATATTTATTTATTTAATAAATTATATAACATTGTAGTTTATTTTATTGTAACATGTATGTGAAGCGACTGAATGATAATAAATGCATTGAAATTACTTTAAATTTGTTTTTGATTGGTATTCAGTAATTTTATTATTTATGTAACAGTGTGCAGCTTTTTTACATCAAAAAGATAAGACACTGAACTTTTGTTTTTAATTCCTAGCACATGTAGAAATTTTAATAACATAGGTTATTGATTAGTGTTAATATATTTTTTCCCTTCTGGTTTTTTAGGAAGACTCAAAATTTCTCACAGAATTATTTGCTCAGTTAACTGATGAATCCACTGATGACCAAAAAAGGAAAGAACTTATTTTGTTTTTAAAGGAATATTGTATGTTTTCTCAAACGTTACAGCCCCAAAGTAGAGAATCTTTTTTCAAGGTAAATCGTCCTTTTGATATTAATATTATTATAAATAAATAATATTAAAATTGAACCACATGTTATATTACCAAGTACTAGTGTACCCCACCAAAGGAAATATTTATAGACATATTAGGGGGTACACAATGTGTTTCTATAGGTTACTATTAATGTATATATACAATAGTGTTAAAATGAGAAAATCCGCAGTCAATAGTAAGTATTAAAACATTACCCCCTTCCCCTCTCTTAGTGTAGTGTAATGCAAGAACCACCAATAACAACATTTTAGGAATTTAATTTTCATAATCTTTAAAGTAAGTAAGCAAAATGAGATTTCCCATTTACTTAGTCTGCACTTGATACTACTGAGCACCCCTTTTTAATATGTTTTTATTACCCAACCATTGACATTGGTTGTTTACTATTCAAACCACGGATAAGCATTTTATATATTTCATGTCAAAGTTTCCTTAATGTAATTTTTTTTTTCAATCTCAATCTGACATACTTATATATTTATTGAAATTCTTGTACTCAATGATAATTTAGATTAAAATCTATTCATTAAATTAAAATGTACATTTTCATAGTTTACCATTATAGTTGATCCATCAGAGTTGTAATTTATATTAAAATGTGAGGTTTAGCAAAGCAGGATTTACTTTCTTTAACCTAAATAAAACGTGTTATCTGAACTTTCAAAAGGAAGTTAGTCTATCAAGTATGTAGAAATAAATTGGACAAAACTAGTTGTAAAGACATTTATTAAATCAAGGTAATATTTTTATAAATACAAAACTAGTTATAAATTTACTTAGATCGAATGATAAACCAATTTAATAACCCTCTATTATATTTTTGCTTTTATATAAAGTTTTATTTATCTATATTTTTTTAACTGGTGTTTCATTGTTCTAGACATTGTCCTCTCTTGGGGTTCTACAGGCACTTGAAATAACATTGGTAAGATAATGTTTATAATTTTATTTTTTATTTACAGTAATTTTGTGGCTATGTTTGATGAAAATGATTTTCTTTGTTTAGAGCATGGACGATCCAGCCATAAAATCAGCATCCACAGATATATTATCTTATATTGTTGATTTCAATCCGTCCATGGTTAGAGAATATGCCCTACAGCAAGTGAACAAACAAGAGGATGTAAGTTCATTATAAGATTTAAATTCACTATGTATGAGAAAGATTTTAATTTGTTATTTCTGAATTAATACTATACTTATGTGATCATAATATTTAGTTGCAATGCAAAGGTGTTTTAAAAGATAAGTGAGGACGAAATATTGCTTTTATCTATGATTTATATGATTGTGTATTATGAAATCTATGCTTTAAGCCTTAGTTTAGTAAAGTTTTGAATATAGTAAAGTATCTAGTAATGTTTCTTTAAAATAATATTTGGCATATTTTCTATTAAAAAGTAACTTTAATTGCTCATTGATTTAAAAAAATTCTATATTTCTTTAGAAATATTGCTGTGTTCAACTGTTAAATTTAATAAAATGTAATAGTTGGTATTTTTCTAAAGAAGGTTAAAAAGTCATAGAAATTAATTTCTAAATTCTTTTTGTGCATAATTCTTTCAGACTCCAACGAGATCTCTTATTTAATGAATATGTTATCACCATAAGCAAATACATTTGTACCTTAAATTTGTAGTTAATATTAAAAGTTATTGTTAAAGTTGCCCATGGTTAGAGAATATACCCTACAGCAAGTGAACAAACAAGTGGATGTAAGTTTATTTTAAGAATTAAATTCACTGTACACGTGAAAGTATTTTAATGTAATATTTTTGAATTAATACTATAATTATGCAATCATAATATTTAGTTACAGTGCAAAGGTGTGTTAAAAGATATAAAATTGCTATATTAAGACATTATTACAAATGACTAAGTCCTGTGTTTTTTTTTTTTTTTTTTCAATATAATGCTGTAATGTTTGCAGATAAAATATAATTGTATTTTTGGTAATTATTTTACAAGTTACAATTAACCATTTTAATAATAACTCTAAAGTGAGGGCAAAATATTGCTTTTATCTAGAATTCATATGATTGTGTATTATGAAATCTACACTTTAAGTCTTAGTTTAATAAAGTTTTGTAGTAAAGTATCTAGTAATGTTTTATTTATTTATTTTTTTTAATAATATTTGGCAGATTCGATGTTAACTAGCTCTCTTATTTAATAAACATGTTATTACCATGAACAAATACATTATACCTTAAATTTATATTGAGAGTATGGCATTGTTTTCAAAATGGTATTGTTACTTTAAAAAATAAACTCCTGTTAAAATTGGATATTTAAATTTAATTTATAAAGATAATATCAAATGAAACCTTTAATTTTATTTTTTAATTAGTTTCAAAACTCAATTTAGCAGTGTTTCATAATGTTTCTTTTTTAAAAAAAATTGTTCTGTAGTTGTTCAGTTTTTTCTTCTATTGTTCTGAAAGCAAAAAAAAAATCCCACCTTATGAAAAGTGGGTATTCAGCTAGGATAACTTTTGCTTTTATTTATTTTTATTTGCATGCCATTTTATTATCTTACATGGTATACTAGTTTCTGTGCTGACATGTTTACAAATTTTATTTTCAGGACCAACTTTTGTTAAATATCATAATTGAGCAAATGATTTGTGATCCAGATCCAGGTAAATATTATCATTAGTTATTGATTAAACACTTTTTTTCTCTGTCTTAATTTTCCGTTTGCTAAAAATTAACACTTGATGTGAAATGTTGTTGCTTGAAATGACTTATTTTCTTTGAGCGATCTTGTTTTCTTTCTGAAAATAAAAGTTTTATTTTCAGTTATAATCACTTTTATTTTTTTGTAATTTATTATTTATGTTATTATTTACTTATTGTGTTATTATTTACATCAATGCTATATAAGTAAAAGACTTATTGAGTAGGAAATCTTTCCCTCCCTTTTTTAACTTTATTTTTGAATTTTTGGTATTGATGTTTATCTTTAAATTTATAATTTTTTACAATTATTATTTAAAATATAAGCTGCAGTTCATATTTTTTTAATGTGAAAATTAATAACAATTAAAAAAAAAAAGGATATTTTAAACTATTTTTTTAATATCTTTTTATTTTAGAAATGGGTAGAGCTGTTCATCTCTGTGGCATCATAAAAATCTTATTAGATCCTGAAAACATGTTAGCAACTGTAAATGTAAGTTGACTTATTGAAGGGCCTTTTGTTGTGTACATTAAGTTTTGCATTTTAATTTTTGATATAAAGGTGAGTAATAGAAGCAGCGATAGGAAAAATAGTTTTTTGTAGTTAACTACAACTATTTTTTAAAAAAATAAACTGGATATAGAATATTTTTAAAATGTTGTCACTACTGTAACAATAGCATTAAAAATTAAAGTAAAAAGTCATAAAAACGATTTAGAATAATATTTATTTAAAGAAAACATTCAAATCTTGTTTATATAAGCCATTATTAAGTACTATTCACTGATAGTTACCGAGCTAAATATGTTTTTCTGGTGGATTTTTGTACGATATTGTATCAATTGAATTCCAAAATATTTTTAAACATTTTTCTTTACTAAACTAACAATATATGTAGGTGTCTAGGCTTATTTCAAACGTGTATTATTATTGTTTTTTTTTTTTTTTTTTTTTTTTTTTTTTTTTTNTGTATTGTGCTACTTACTACGCTGCTTTTTAAAAAAAATTTAAAGTTTTACACTACAAGCTAAGGACAAATTGACTACAGTAGTATTTTTTAATTTTTAGACCACAGAATGTAAATTGCTTCCTTAGATGATGGTTTTATTTTATTTCTTTATTAAAATTCCCTGCAAATTCATTAATATTCTTATATTTTTTGCAGAAATCTGACTTTCTGAATTATTTCTATAAGCACTGTATGCATGTGCTTATAGCACCCATGTTGGCTAACACTACAGAAGACAAACCCAGTAAAGGTGCCGTATTTTGATTATTCAAGTTGTAATTGCTTCTGTTTCTAATTTTTAAACTAAATTTTTCAATAGAGACCCAGAAGTCTTATAAAATAGAAGGGCTTTATATAAAATAATTGTTGAGATGCCCCCTTCCCTTCACAAGATGGAATTTTATCATTTATTTTCAACTATTATTTTACATATTTGTATGTTTTGTATGCCACTTCGCAATAATATAGTGATCTATCACTAATGCTTGGCCAAATTTAAATAAAAAGCATTTTTTTTTTTTTCAGTAACATTTTGAAAAGTTAAACTGACCCTCTTCCCTCGCTTGAGCTTTCGAAAATGGTTTACAATAGAAGCATTGTGAATTGTGTGCATCAAATAGCAGTAATTTAAATTCTTGTGTTGTAATAACCTGTCCTAAATTGAGCTTGTCAATAAGTGTTAACTCTAATTTGGATTTTGTCTGTCGTACCATCTTATTATTGAAAAGATCAAAATTTGCCTGTTGATGGTTAATGAAAGGCACTTTTTGAAGAGTCATTTCGAAGCTTTGGATATAACTCTTATTGTGGAAGAAACTTAAATATTTAGACTAATTTTAATGAAAGTTTAGTGTTCCAACAAAACTAAATATAAAAGCTTAATGCAATATTAAGTAATATAATTGTACAGATTAATTTGTTTCTGGAAAGAAAATGTTCTAATCTGAGCTAATATTTTTTTTATCTTGTAACATCTTTTTATTATGAGAAAAGCTACAGAAGAAATGATAATTTTGACTGTTTGATGATAATTAAAAGATTTGAACTGTTAGATGATAACTAAAAATATATCGTGTAATTAACAAATATATCATCATGTAAAGGTTCATATCAAAATAACAATATCAAACTTAAACGTTTTATAGCACAGTATTATTTTTTTATCTAATTGAATAATGAATAATTTCAATTAAAAAAACATGTCAACATTTCCCTCTGTTAATCAGCAATATATTTGGTTGATAGTTCATCAAAAGTTCATATGTATGTAAGTTTTGATAACATTTAAGTAAATAATTTTTGTAAATAATTTTTTTTTAAAAAATGAATAAAATATTTAAAAAATGTATGAAAATATGTTTAGGAGTCATAACTTTTTTTCTTTCTGGCATCTGGTAGAATGCCCTAGAATATTTCTGTTACAAAACTTTTATAACTTGATTTTTCAGTAAAAGACTAATAGAGGGAAAAAGCTTTATATAAAATATTTGTTTTATGGTTCTTAAGTTTGATGAGATGATTTATTATATAATATGAATAAGCGTTATCTTACGAGGCCAAACATTAAATCCAGGGTATCCGCGCACCTGGAAAGTCGTGAATTTCAGTATTGAGTAAAATTTGTCATGAATTTTACTATTTTTTAAAAAATTTCATGGATTAGGTCTCCAAAAAATCTAATTTTTAAAATGGAATCCCCCTCCTCCCAATTTCATCCTGATATCTGAATTAAATATCTGAATTCCTAACCAAATCATCACTCAGTCATATTTTATTAGAATATAAAATGATTTTATTATGTTCTTTAAAAATTATGGTGTTCTTTCAAAAAATGAAAGAAAAAACATTTCTAGAGCGAATTGTCTTTTAAACTTCTGTGATTTAAAAATTTTTATTGCAAACCAGTCATGGGCGAATTTTTTTAATTCCGAAATGAGAACAGAAAAATCAGGAGTATTTCTTTCCTTTCTGATGAACAAGAAAAGTATCTTTAGAATATAATTCTGGAGGAAAAAATATTATTTGCTTTTGTATTTTTTTCAGCTATTTTATTGTTTCAACTCTTTCTTTACTCTGTTTTTTAAATTTAAAATCTATAAATATGAAGATGCAGAGTATAACAGTTTTGGTTATACCTATCATTTCAATTAATGTTATTATAATGCTTCTTTAATTTTATTGTTGTATTTTTGACTTCAGACTTATTTTATCAATTTAAATTTCTAGTTTAGGCTTTTTATATTACACTTACNATAGAGGGAAAAAGCTTTATGTAAAATATTTGTTTTATGGCTCTTAAGTTTGATGAGATGGCTTATATGATATGAATAAGCTTTATCTTACGAGGCCTAACATTAAATCCAAGGTAACTGCGCGCATTTATAAATTAAAAAATGTATGAAAATATGTTTAGGAGTCAACTTTTTTTTTCTTCCTGGCATCTAGAACACCCTAGAATATTTCTGTATCAAAACTTTTATAACTTAATTTTTCAGTAAAAGACTAATAGAGGGAAAAAGCTTTATGTAAAATATTTGTTTTATGGCTCTTAAGTTTGATGAGATGGCTTATATGATATGAATAAGCTTTATCTTACGAGGCCTAACATTAAATCCAAGGTAACTGCGCGCATTTATAAATTAAAAAATGTATGAAAATATGTTTAGGAGTCAACTTTTTTTTTCTTCCTGGCATCTAGAACACCCTAGAATATTTCTGTATCAAAACTTTTATAACTTAATTTTTCAGTAAAAGACTAATAGAGGGAAAAAGCTTTATGTAAAATATTTGTTTTATGGCTCTTAAGTTTGATGAGATGGCTTATATGATATGAATAAGCTTTATCTTACGAGGCCTAACATTAAATCCAAGGTAACCGCGCACCTGGAAAGTCATGAATTTCAGTATTGAATAAAATTTGTCATGAAATATCATGAATTTTACTATTTATAAAATGTCATGGATTTAGGTCTCCAAAATATCTCATTTTTAAAATGGAATCCTCCTCCCCCCAATTTCATCCTGTTCCAAATATCTGAATTCCTAACCAAATCATCACTCAGTCATATTTTATTAGAATATAAAATGATTTTATCATGTTCTTTAAAAATTATGGTGTTCTTTCAAAAAATGAAAGAAAAAACATTATTTCTAGAGCGAATTATCTTTTAAACTTCTGTGATTTAAAAAAAATTTTATTTTATCAATTTTAAATTTTAGTTGAAGCAAACCAGTCATGGGCAAATTTTTTTGATTCCGAAATGAGAACAGAAAAATCAGGAGTATTTCATTTTTTTCTGATGAACAAGAAAAGTATATTTAGAATATAATTCTGCAGGAAAAAAATTTTTTGCTTTTGTATTTTTTCAGCTGTATTGTTTCAACTCTTTCTTTACTCTGTTTTTTAAATTTAAAATCTATAAATATGAAAATGCAGAGAATAACAGTTTTGGTTATATCTATCATTTCAATTAATGTTATTATAATGCTTTTTTAAATTTATTGTTATGTTATTGTGGGAGAAAGTAGTAACACTTCGTTAAGTCGTGAAAAATTCTTGGAATTAGTCACGAATTTGAAAATCTAAAATGTTGCAGATACCCGGTAAATCACGTCATTTAGTTGAATTTTATTTATTTGTAAAAAATATTACAAAATAAAAAATTTTGTGGATTGTAAAAATGTATATAAGACTATATATAAGAAAATATAGTTAAGACTACGAGTAGGGGGGGGGGGAATAGTTTTTTAGGGAAGATTTTTTATGTTATTGTCATTTGTTTTCAACTGATATTTTACATATTTATATCTTTTGTATCAATCGCTAATGCTTTGACCAAACAGAAAAGTAATTTTGTTTTATTAATATTTTGAGAAGTTGATGGATCCAAAGGGATCCCCTTGCCTAGTTTGTGGAAATTCTAGGCAATCATTTGTGAAAATATGTAGTAGTCGAATGTTCTAGTCTTAAATGGGTGGATGTTATGGTTTCTGATACTGTTTCAAAGTTTCACTGTATCTGGTGTATAAATTTGTAACTTTAGCATGAAGGTCATTGTTGTTGAAAACAAATAGTTTCAAAATATTTGTGTTTTTTAAAATTTATTTTCAAGTTTACAAAATTTTTAGTGTTGCGAGTGATTAATATTGCCATCTTTCAGAAGACAGTCAAACTGCACAGTTAATGGGTCTAATATTGGAATTGTTATCTTTCTGTGTTGAGCATCATACCTATCATGTAAAAAACTATGTAATGCAAAAAGACTTATTGGGAAGAATACTAGTGTTAATGAAGTCCAAACATACATTCCTAATTTTATGTGAGTAAAATTTTTTTTATCTCTTTTTCTCCTTTCATTGTGAATGAATATTTTGTACATTGAAGAAGCTTTTTAACTGAGCAAAGGCAATGTTATAAGTTGTTGCATTGAAATTAGAATTATTTTTATTAGAAACTCTGATAAATTATATGACAAGATCAATGTTGTCTGGCGTTTTTATGAAACCTTCTGTTATTTTGACAACATTAGACATGATTTATAATTTATCATACCTTACTGTTATTTAGACAGCAATCTTTTTTTTTTTTCTTTTTGAAAAGAGAGATGGATCTCACTTCAGTTTTACATCTGTAATCCCAGAAGAGGATATTTTATGAGGAAGTTTTTTTAATAAAGAACATTTTACAATCATCACTTTTACTTATCTTTTCTTGGATTTTGCTATATTTGAATCTGTATTGATGTCTTTATATATATATATATATATTTAAAAGGTGGCAGCGGTGATACGTGCTCACACCGAACACAGAAGGACGCCTTGTTGTCCAGTGAACTTTCTTTGAAAATAACGGACTCATCTGTCCAGCTTACACGATTTGTAATTAATTGAAGGGACAACCTGTCCATTGATAAGGAACTTTCATTGATTGCTGTCCAGTGATTGCAACTGTCTATGGCTAAGGAACTTTCATTGATTGCAACTGTCCATTGCTAAGGAACTTTCATTGATTGGAACTGTCCATTGTCCATTGCTTGTCTATTGGAAGGAAGGTCCGGTGGAAAACCATANTTTTTTTTTTTTTTTTTTTTTTTTTTTTTTTTTTTTTTTTTTTTTTTTTTTTTTTTTTTTTTCTAAAAAAAAAGAGATGGTCACTTCAGTACATCTGTGATCCCAGAGGAGTAAGTTTTTTCAATAAAGAACATTTTACAATTATCACTTTTACTTATCTTTTCTTGGATTTTGCTATATTTGAATCTGTCTTGATGTCTTTATATATATATTAAAAATATTTTTTTTTTCCATTGGCAGGTGCTCTTAGATTTATGCGCAAAGTTATAGGCATGAAAGATGAATTCTACAATCGATATATTATTAGTGGTAATTTATTTCAACCTGTTGTAGAAGCTTTCAAGAGAAACAATGGCAGATACAATCTTTTGGATTCTGCTATAGTTGAAATGTTTGAATTTATTAAAGTTGTAAGTATAGATTTTTGTTGATCATTATAAAAAAAAACCTAGTTAAAAGGTTTATTTTAAAACTCAAGAAAAAGTTCTTATTTTTACAAATAGTTAGTACAAATAGTATTTTTTTTTCTAATTTTTAATATGATTAAATAGATTTTGTTAAATAAACTGCCACTTACTTTAATTGCTTGTTGGATATTTTTATGCTAAAAATTACCCAACAATTTAAAGCAAATTTATAGTGTAAATAAATATATAACACAAAACAAATAGTTAATAATATATATGCAGATTTCTTATCTCTCTTCAGTTTATTTTTAGATGTTTATGTGGATTTCACAATACAAGCAATTTTTTCATTAGGTGAATGTTTTTTTTTCTTTTAGGAAGATGTTAAAACATTATGTGGCCATGTAGTGGAGAGGTATGGAAAGATATTAGATAAAGTAGATTATGTTCAAACATTCAAGTCTCTTAGGGTTCGATATGAACAACATTTAGATAGAAAAGACCGTACTGGTTATGTATGCAATGAGTAAGTATTTTTCTTCTTCATTCATTGTCTCATTCACTTTAAATGCATCACCTGAACCTCTCATTATTTTTTACAGTGTTGTAAACAATATCAACTTACTTCGACGAGATATTCAGCGAATGCAAGACGAAGAGGAAATGTGGTTTAATGATGAAGAGGAGATAGAAGATGAGCCAGTGAATGAAAACAATAAAGATTTAGATGATGAATTTGAAATAGGACTAAATAAAATTCTCGAAAAAAGAGGTATTCTTTAGCATCTTGTTTGGATGAAAATCTTAATCTTTGGTTGCAGATAATTTCTCTTTCCTTTTTTAATAAGTATTTCTTGAACGTCTGATACTTTTGATTGATACCTAGATCGATTGTTCTCTCTTTTCTTCATCTTTTTTTTTTTTTTTCTTCCCTCTTATTTGATTTATGGCTTTCAAATGTAATTTCACCCCCTTGGATGAAAATTTTTCATAATAGAGCGTTCAGATTTGACAAGTGTGCCATATTTGTATGTAGAATTTGACATTCAAGTATAAATTTACAGCTGAGAAAAAAAAATTGCTGTTGAGTCATTCCGCAAAGGCGGCAATGTTTGAGTAACACATAAATATTTCTGAATGATAAAATTTCTAAATGATTTAAGTGTAATTTATCCGCAGCCAAAAAAAAATTTCATTGCATCTTAAAACTGATAAATCACTCCCTTTTTTGTTGAAATTTCTGAATATTGTACTCTTCAAATGTTTTTACATATTTTTGGATTTTTTCTTTCTGAAGTTTTTAGGTATGGAGATCAGTTATTTATTTTTGTAAAGTTATGAGTTTTCAATAACTGATATTTTAAGAATTAAATAAAATGAGCGAATTGTAGCCTTTTTGCAAAGCAATATAAGAAGGGCAAATTTCTACAAAACAAATATTTTACAATAATTAGTTCCTTGTAAATTTATTCTATAATGATATAAATAAAATCGTAAGTATTTATTTATTTTTACTATTAAAAAGAAATAAATAAGAAAAATTTTGGGGTATGGGTACTTGGTTTATTTATTAAATGACATTAGCCGACGGTTGATGTAATAAATTATTCATTTATCACCTGATTTACTTGGAATTTTAATTACCTAACTGTAGTTAGTTTTCATAGTGGGACATTTTTAATAAGACGTTGGCATATTTAATCAACAGTTTAAGATAATGTTGTCCTAATATTATCTGTACTTAGTGGGGCATGGTGCGTAGCATTTTTAAAAAGAGCTTATTTTCGTATTTAAATGCCGTTAAAGGTGCTTTTTTCATGGGATGTTTTTAAAATGTGCTTAATTTTCCCTTTTCGAAAATGATAATTTTTTTTTTTTCACCATGTGGATTTTCGCTGAGTATTGTGCAAAAGCGCGGTTTTCACATTGTTCTATTCAGCATTTTCATAATTCATTCAACCACTATCCGTTTCGGCATACTGTCTGTCCGTAACATATGATCGAACCCATCGTGTTACATGTTTGATGAAATACTTGGGAGTCTGCGTGTGCGTCTACTGATCTGGGTTCTGTGAGATTCTTGCACTCTCATGTGCAATTCTGCTACGTTTTGCAAGATATTCTCAATATTAGGCCTTATTTTCCACCCTCTGATATCGAACTAAAAAATCTCTTGATTATTTTATAATTGTTTTTATATTATTTTATAATGTAATCAAGAAAGGAGTTCTTTGTCAGAGACTAGTTATTTTATCATGATCATGTAATGTCTTTGAATATTATTTTGCATTTTGTTAGTGTATATAGTGCTTAAAAAAATTTTTTGTGTCCTTCAAAAGTACTTTAAAGATGCTTATTTTTTGTTGAGTGATATGGTTAAGCACCCTGGTGCAAAGCAAAAATAAAAATAATGCATCTTAAAAAGGATTTAAATAATTACTTTATGAAAACAAAAAGATTTTTGTGGTTGTTTCTGTTTTGTTAGTTTTTAGTGATTTTTAATTTTTCATAAATTTGTACTTGCAGCCCGAAAGGAAGATGGAAAAGAAAATAAAGCTGTTCCTTTAAGGTCATTTTCACCAGTGTTAAATAATAGAAGAAGCAATAGCCCATCCAGTATAACACCTCCTCTAAGTCCAACTGTTGAAGTGAAATCTCCTCAGCTAACAAAAAAGGTAAATTTTTATTTCATGCATATCTTATAGTATTCATACTGAGCTATCGTCAACTCGACTCTTAGGGAACTATAAAAGAGGAGAAAAACACATGAATTAACAATGAGATTCAGTGTGTCCAAAAGTGCTTATTAAAAGTCAATGTCTGAGATTCACACTAAATAATATATTTAAAGTATCAAAATTTTTTTGAATCTCTTGGAAATTGGTTTTCCAATAAATAAAGCAAAATTTCTAAACTAAGCCTACATGAATTTAACCTCAACTTGGAATTGTTGAAACAATATTAAAAAGTGATTAAAGTTACATAACATATTTAAAATATTGAAATTCTAAAAACCATGTGTAAAATGAATGGTAATAACTCTTAAAAAAGTGATTGATCTGACTTCTGATGTAATTGCCTTGAATCTAATTATTTGATGTGATACAAAATATACTAAAAATATTAGGATTTTAAAAACCAAGAAATTTGTATATTAATAATCCTCAATAAAGCTTTACACAAGTCTAGGTGGATTAACAAAATCATTTCAAATAACAGTCCATCAAAAATTGATAACTTGAAAGCATTAGTATGAACCACGTGATTTTCCAGCCAAGTGTTCCAACAGTGTTAGACCATTATGATTTTATGTTATATAGGGATGTATGTATATATAGTTTTTTTATACCCTAGAGATTGAATGGTGAATTTATTTTCCAGGGAGGATTAGTCGATTATCCAGATGAAGATTCTGAAGAGGAAGAAGACGATGATGATCCTTCAAGTACACCTCCAACAAAGCGCCCAAGAGTATCTTCATAGCATATTTTTTAATAATTCGCACTTGCCGAAATCACACAAAAAGTTGTACAGAATCGTTTCCCAGTTTTTAAAATCGAAGCAATTTTGATTCATCATGAAATTTCTCGAAGCTATTCTGCTGCCCTCTTCATCACGTCAACTGCCATCTGTGCCTGTCGGTCCACTGATGCCAGACACGAGGAAACTCTTTTTAATCAGAATAAATTCAATAACAATCCAGTGGACTCAAGTTATGTGTTGAAAAAAAATAAAACAGTGGAAGTTTATGATTGAAGTAGCTATGTTATTATAGTACATGAAATAATTTAGTTATTAAAAAAAATTGAATTGTATTAGAAATGATAATTCAAAAATTGTATTTTTGTTATTAAGTTTCCTGTTAAAATTTCCTGAAAGCATTCTGCAAAATTAAGGACTTAGTTATTGACTTGACAGCGCAATGATGGGAAGTTGCTTAAAATTGATGTCTTCAAACAATAGTTGCCTGTTTTTAAATATCACTTTTTTAATTTTAACTTGCAACTGAAGCTACCTCCTGTAAGCTCATTGTAAAAGAAAAAAGTTTTGTTTAAAGGTTTACCACTGGCAAGTTATTTTTCTATGCCCCCCTAACCCTCCTGTTGCAAAAAATATTCGAAGGGTTTTTATATTATGTGATAGCAAAGAAAATGGATTTATCGATTTTACAATCGTTTTTTGTAATCCAAAATTTTTCCCCTTTTTGTTCAATATTTGTACAGTGTTTTTTCTTTGCAGTCGAACACATACTCTCATTTGTAAATTCAAACTGTTTTTCATCATTCATGGAATTAGCTTCTCATCAAAACTCATTACATGGGTAAATCGTGTACATAGGTTATGTATGGAGTTTTTATTAAAGAACATGGTCATTAGAAGTTTGTGTGATCACAGGTTGTCATGCATTATTATGTGCATGTTGTATATGTTTGTTCTTCCATAATGTCTTGTTACATAAGTATATAAAAATTTAAAAAAAATACAAACTATATATATATATATGTAATTAGTCTCTTTCATTGTTTTCTCAAAAAATCAAATTTAATTTATTAATTCCCATGCATATGGGTGTTGAGTAATAAATACAAAAAGACAATCATTTTTATTCTGATTGGGGGTTATAATAAAACAAAATGTTCTATGAGAAAGTAATTTTCTTTCAGTAATAATTTTAAAAATCTTTTTGCATTAAAAATATTTTAATATATATTTATTATTTATTTGTCTAAGAAATAAAATTTTTAATACTTTTGCAATAAATAAAAATCAATGAATAGATTCAAATAAGTGTATATTTGATTATATTTTTTTAAAAAATAAATTGTAAATTACGTAAAAAAAATTTATTATTACCTATCAGAATTTTAACGTCAAGAATAATGTATATTTACATGCGTTCCAACTAATAAAAAGTGTTTGATGATTCAATCAAATACTTTGGTTTGTAAAAATTAAGCATCCACATATATTATGTACAAATATGTATAATCAAATCAAACTTTTTTAATGGACATTAAAATTTATTCAAGCAATTTTGTTTCTTTATACACATACACCTAATAAATGCCAACATCTGAATGATTAAGCTTGAAAGTAAACTACAAAATATACTGTACTCATAAAACTAAATTAAAAATTTTTTTTCCAATTTGATCAGTAATTATATATATTTTATTTCAAAAAAACAAGTAAAGCTTGTTAAAAAAATATTAATTTTCATTATAAATTATGGTTGTATTTTGTATATTAGTAAGTTTTTTACAAATGTGTGCATAAATAGCAAAAATGAATGGATAATATTCAATTCAAAATTTATAGAATTCTATTAAAATCCCTTTTCTGAAAACATTTGATTTTATATAAAACTGCTTATTCTGTAAGCCGGAATAGCCACACTTGCTGATAACAACATCTATTTCTTATTCTTCTAAATTCTATTCTCTATATTTTATTTCTACTGCATCTACCTTTCCCATTTTAATTAAACATGAATTGCATTCTTTAATTTTCGAAAGGTTTTAAAAAATTACCATATTTATTTGATGAGAAAAATTAATGATTCACTATGGTATGAAATTATTTATAAAAGTTTTTTTTAAATTTTTAATATAATTTATTTACTGCAAACTTAATTTTAAAATATCAAGTGTTTAATGGTTTTGAATGGATTCATTGAGTAAAAGAACTTAGCTCATTAACTATTATCATTTGAATTTCTTCCTATTCTGTTTCATAATTTTTTAACTTTCCACTTTCAATTTCTCTAAGAAATGTAACCTAAATGAAATGTTAAGAAATGTTTTTTAGGGGTAGAATAAAAATTTTTATTCTTATTCTACGTATTTTTCAAAATTAATTAACTAAAAATATTTTCCAATAAGAAAAAGTAGGACTCTTCATTTTTAAAACATATATGCTTCAAAAATTTGCTTTTATTATGGGGTGGTTTTAGCCTGTTCTGATATTGTAGTGATTCTGTTGTTAATGATTTGATTTTATAATGCGACTGCTTTTATAATTCAGTGAATATAAGTGGAGGTTATTATATTTCCAATTGTTTTTTATTAATTGTTATCCAATTTTTTTCACGTAAGTGCGAAAAATGAATAATTTTTCTTTAAACACAGCTTTTAATTTCTGTGAACTTGTCTTTTTCTGACACCACGCTAGATATAGATTACCAACAGGCTATGGGAATGTATGAAAAAAAAGATAACTGTGGATGAAAATTAAAAAGGCCATTAAAAATTCAGAACATGAAATCCAAGGAAAAAAGAAATGTGTCATTTTGACTGCCTTAAAGTAACAGCACAGTTATAATTTTAAGTTATCTATACAAACTTACCATTTTTATCTGGGCTTTAGAACTGTTAATTGCTCCAAATATTTTAAAATACTTTTTTTGAAATTGCCAATTGAGCAAGATTTTTTCGCATCATAACCTCTTTATTTCACCTCTTTCAAGTCAGAAATTGACCTAGTTGAAAACTTCTGCAGGGGTGTGAGATCATTAGGCCATTCTAGAGCTGTGACTCCCAATTTTTTATAGTTTTTTTTTTCAGTTATGGAGTCCTATTAACTGAACCTTAAATTCATGAAGTTCATTTGCAATTTTAAGTATATTAATCAAATGGACACCTAATTATTTGAAGAAATTAAATTTTTTTATGGTTCATCAATAATAGTTTTAAAATTGGATTTTATGTCTGACAATTGAATTTGCAAAGCTAGAGCGGCCATCTAGTCTAGTTCTGAATTAGTTTTTTTCGTGAATGCATGAACTGAAAAGGAATCAAACTACCTACCTGAATTATGATTTTTGTTGTAAATGGTTCACATGAACAAATTTTTTTTTTCCTGATGAATTTATTTTATTTGAATTACAAAATTTGATGTATTTAATTCAGTTTTTTTTTTAAATGGGTAACTTTTACATAAGTTATTCAATGTATAATTATTAAAATCACCTAAATGTAGAAAATGGAGGATTTTTAATTAAATACAAATTTCGAAAATCCTAAATTGTCAAAATAAGTTCTAATTCTTGGAGCCCATAGCTTTGAGGAATTGCTGTTCTAGTGGGTCAATAACAACCTACAGAAGTAATCAACCAAAAAAATGTTTAATTTTTTTGTTGATTTTTTTTTTCGGTTTTCATTAAAAAAACATTTAAATTATATCTGCAGGTATTGCATGTTATAAAAGCTTAGTTATTGTAACGAATAGCTATAATTTTTTGGAATTTTTAACTAATTTTAAATTTGATTTTATTAATTATGAACACTATTTATCAGTTAAAAAAAATTTGTAATACTTCGTGAATTATTTTACATTCTTTAGTTAGAAAAGAATAATTCTTTACATGTGTGATGTATAGTACCCTTAATCTACTAATATACACATTCATAAACAATATTCTATTGATCGAAAAAACAGTTCTATTTGACCCATCAAGGCTTTTAATATATACAGTGAAACCTCACATTGCGTGAATTTTTTAAAAATAAACCATTACATACCCTTCCGCAAAGCGGACGCTCTGGATTTCCGATCTCTTCAAACCAGACACCAATTTGTCTTAATTTGAAGGGGGGATTTATTTAAATTAATGTGTCCTATTTCCACTATTTTTTTAATGCATGTACGTTTTTTGACTTATCCATAGTTAAAATATTGTTAAGCTATTTCACTACTTAAGAATTGCTTCGCAAAGAAATGAGAAAAAATGGTACTGCTCATGAAGCATTTATTCAGACTCGACTGATTATCGATTGTGAATACAAATCCATGGAGCCTAGTGCCTTACAATAGGTATTTCCACGTTATTGTACTTTTTTTTTTATGCATTACAGGAGGCAATGCTTTTTTCCAAGGCGTTTGTCCTACAAGTTCAAGGCTGACTTCAAAAAGATTAACACCGGATAGCAGCCTTCTTGCAGATGAAAATTGTTTCGCTGGGCTAAAATTGTTATTAATGTTCATGATTTTTTAAACATTGCCGAGGATATTGAACGTCTAAAGAATGATTAAAATTTAAATATGGACGAAATGGTCGCCAATAATGACGTGGAGAATATCGATGATGCAGATACTCACATTTTGAAAAAGAACCGAAAGTGAAAACTTAACATGATGCTCAAACTTGAAGTGAGGAAATAAGACATTTTTATCCACCCAAAAAAAAGATGAAATTGTTGAAATACTAAATGAATTAAAAATGTACTATGAAGATAGGTAAATCACAGTCAGCTTAAAACGAACTTTAGTATTTACTGAAACATAGTTCAAGGTCAGCTAAGTGGGGGTCTGATCGAAATTCATTAAAGGTCCCTTAACCTTTTTTACCCCTCTCCTGTGTTTGGATTACAAAATACAAGTAGGGTGTGGGGAAACGGAAATATAAACAGGATATCCGCGCACCTGGAAAGTCAGGAATTTCTATAATGAACAAAATTTGTCATGATATTAACTATTTTTTTTAAAAAAATCATGGAAACTCATGGATTTAGGTCACTGAAAAATCATGGAAATAAGTCACCGAATTTTCAAAATTGATTTTACTCCAACTCCTAATTTCATGGCGTTCCGAATATCTGAATTTGTAACAAAATCCCCACTCACAGTAATGTTTTATTAAAATATAAAATGTTTTTATCATATTCTTTAAAAAAATTATGGTGTTCTTTCAAAGAATGAAAGAAAAAACATTATTTCTAGAGTGAATTATTTTTTAAACTTCTGTGATTTCAGATTTTTATTTTATCAATTTAAAATTCTAGCTGAAGCAAGCCAAACATTGGTCAATTTTTTTAAAATTCCAAAATGCGAATAGAAAAATCAGGAGTATTTCTTTTCTTTCTGATGAATAAGAAAAGTATCTTTATCTGCAGAAAAAAATTTATTTGCTTTTGTATTTTTTTTCAGCTATTTTATTTTTTCAACTCTTTTTTTTTTCCTTCTGTTTTTTTTAAATTTAAAATCTATAAACATGAAGATGCAGAGTATAACTGTTTTGGTTATACCTATCATTTCAATTAATGCTATTATAATGCTTTTTAAATTTATTATTCTGTTTTTGTCTGGAGAAAATAGTAACTTTGTTAAGTCATGAAAAGTTCTTGGAATTAGTCATGAATTTGAAAATCTAAAATGTAGTAGATACCTTGTATAAAACAAAACAATACCCAGTATTAGCCATTTTTTACAACATGTAGCATGCACGGTTTTTAAAAAATTTTATTTTATTTGGTAATGTGTGAAAATTAAAGTTTCATTTCGATGAGAATGGAAGGACTTGCTGAAATTCTGATATTTTTTCTAATACCAAAAATCTGGTAATTTCTGTTATAATGTTATCAAGTATGAAATTTTGAAGAAATTTGAACTCCCAATTTTTCAAAAGCTCCTGTGATTAATTTTTCCAATTCGTAATTTTTTAGGAACTAGAATTTTTCTCGCCAGATTATCGTTTACCTTATTGCTTAGAAAGTCGGAATCTTTAGCAAATAATTTTCGCTTTTGTACCTCTCGATATGCAGTGTTTCTTGGAATTTTAAATGTAATCGCTACTTTTGCTTCATTATTATGACGGATAAATATTATTAATATCTTTAATACCTAACTATTAACTGATTTTTAACGCTAATAGGTAGAATTTAGTTCTTCAGATTCTGTGAATTATAAGTCAAAGATCTTGATTCGCATGAAAGTGATTTGCGAATCTTGTATTGAAGATCTCATTAAAGTAGTTTGTAAATCATTCATCGGGTTTTGCATTAAAATGATTTCTGAATCATTCAAAGTGATATTCATTTAGGTGTTTTCTAAATCGTTCACTGTAATTCTCATTCTGGTGATTTACGAATCACGCATTCGTGTTAGAAAGATTTAAGAATTACCATTCGCGATTCTCATCAGAATGATTTCTGCACCACGCATACTGATAAAAATTTAAGTTTCTTATTGAATTAAGAAACATTTTGCATTGCAATGATTACCAAATTACGCATCGGTTTTTTCATAAAAATAATTATCAAATCACTCATTGTTATTTGTATTAAAATAATCAAAGTGGTTTATGTATTGATTTACGACTTTTTTCTTTGCGCAATTTTTCATTTGCTATTCATATTGTGCTGCTCTTCAAAACATACATCGCATTTCAATTCGCAAGTCATACATTGTGATACGTAATTTTCGCGATCTTCAAGGCTTGCTTCCCTTTTTTTGTCATTTTGATTTACGTATTACATATCGCGATTTAAAAATTACGCGTAATGAATCGTATTTAGAAAATAACGATTTTGCGACTAATGATCAACTTGAAAGAAAATAAAGTTTTATAAATCTTAGTTTCTTATCTGTAAATTGTACTAAAAAAGATTTTATGTTCGAAATACATTATGGATATTCTGAGGTAGTAAAAAGATATTGTGTTTTTTAAAATTGAATTAGGCTGAATATTATTTTTCAATTAATTCTAATGTGTTTCATCAAATTTTTCATAAAAACATTTTACTGGTGCCAATCTTTAGAAGTTGGCAAGTACGCAAATGCAAATTGTTTGATAATCTTCAAACTGATTTAAACCACAATGTAACTATCAAACCATTTACATTGGCCACTGTGGACTACTCATTAAAAAAATGTTACAACCATTTGTAAAATTGATAAACTTAATATACGCTCCAATGTAATGAAATCTGATTGACGCGTATTGTAACATACTGAGTAGATCCTTGAAAAATCCTTAAATTATTATTGTCTATTTTATATACGTATATATATTTTTTCATCGTGCGAAACGTTTTTTAAAAGGACTTGAAGATACTTTTTTCATTGGGTGTTTTTAAAAAGTGGTTGATGCTCCTTTTTCGAATAAAAGTTTTTTTTTCTTTACCATGCCCATTTTCGGCACCTGATATGCAAAAGCGTGGTTTTCACGTTGTTCTGTTCAACGTTTTAACAATTCATTCAACCATTTCGGCCTATCGATAGTCCATAGCGTATGAAAGCGGCAATTATGAAGTACTTTCAAGTCCGCATGTATTTCTACTGAGCAGAGTTCAGTGAGATTCTAGCACTCTCATGTGTAACACTGCTGCATTTTGCTAGATATTCTCAATTCCAGGCTTCATTTTTCGAACCGAAAAATCTCTCGATCTTTTTATGGTGGCTAATGGGATCAAGAAAAGAGTTCTTTGTCAGAAACTAGTTATTTTATCATGATCATGTCAAGTCTTTGAAAATTATTTTGTTAATGTATATAGTGCTTGAAATGGGCTTATTTTTTGTTGAAAGGTTTGGCTACGCACCCTGATTTTTTTGAAAATTTTGTGTAAACCCTGAACAAGGTGTCTTAATAGTAGTTATAAAAAGAATTTCTTTCATAGACATTATATTTTTAAACCATTTTACACAACTTGATAAAAAAGATTAAAACAAAATTCCGTGCCGATGCTTGCGTAGTGCACACCTTCATCATCTGCAAAAAGAATGGACTAATCCAGTCTCTCGTACGAATTTAGTGTGGGATTCAGGGGCTAGTCCGCGAAAATAGCGGATAGCGTAAATTTTATTACTTTTTCATGTTACCTGAGGAATACTATTTGAACATTCCTAATACATGTATGAAATAATTTGTGATCCAGAAATGTCTTAATAAATCCTATTTCAGTAGAAATAGAAACCTAAATTTAGAAATAAAATTTTTTTGAGATGATGATTTCAATATTGTTACGGCTTTACAATTTTCTATTTTAAGTATTTGCTGTTCCACGAAATAAGGCATATTATGGCATTTTCCTGATAGCTAATTATACTACCTATAATAATGTATTGGGATGAAGTTGAAAAAGTATTTGCTTTTTTCCGTATATTTTTTCAACAGAATCTTTTTTTTTTAAATAGAAGCTTTCTTAAACTTAGCGGTGATATAAGTTTGAACGTCAAAATAGAATTGTAGTTCAAATTTGTTCATTTAAAAATGTTTGAGTAACAAAGCTAACTGTAATAGTTTTTGAGTAGCACTAATATGTATTTATTTTTCACAACTCCAACAAATAAGAAACAATGTAATACCTGCAAGTGACGTAGTGTAGGTATCTCGATCCTGATTAGTTGTTGAAATGTGGCATTTGTTTACGTTAGCAACTGTTCTTTTCATTCTATTTCGAGTAAGCCAAGCTCGTCATGTATCAATTCTCTTAAGTGACACATTCTATATTCTTTCTCAAAGATTTCAATTTTTTCACTATATATTTCTAACTTAACACAAAGAAAGGCACAAAGCCATGTAGAACATAAACTTATTATGCATTGAAGTTACCGGGTACACAAAACAAAAATATATCACGGTTACAACAAAATACATAAACAAATAATAAATCTAAGTCAAGTAAACGAAATAGACTAGAAAGAAGTATATTTCAACAAATTCGATGTGCTATACGGTACTGTATTCAGTTAACGTAACGTTAATTAGCATTTTAAGTTATGTAGAAAAACTTAGTTCAACTTTAATACTCCATATTGCTGATAAAGATTAGCTGGTGCTGACGTCATGGTTCACATACGTGAGTATTGGATTTCTTCTTATTGGAGAACAAGTACCCATTGAAGAATAAATAAATTGTTTGTTCGTTTTCCGAAAAATGGGTGGGTTTAATTTTTGTGATCAGTCAGAAGTTTTGTTCTGAGTAATTTTTAGTAGCAAAATGTTTAACAAGGTTTAATTCTCAGCTAACTGGCAATAGTTCTATAACTTTTTCTTTTAGAAAAAATTGACAATCATCTAGATTTTTAATTTAAGGTAAAACCTGAATTTAAGTACCAAAAACTTGAACAAAATTAGAACATTGCAGTTACAACAAAATAGATTAATATATTATTGAGAATAATTTACGTAGTAGCATAAGTAATGAGAATTTGAATCTGCAAGATGGAATGCTCTTGCAGATTCATTTTAGTACATTCTATTTAGTACAGCAAGTACATTCTATTTTAGAAAATATTACTTATATCTAACTCTGTCATCGCTTCGAACGAAATAACTTGTCCTCCAAGAATACCCGCTCTGTTCTGTTATTAAATTAGTGAATATGGTTATTGATTATTATTTTTTAAAGTAAAATAAACAAGTTTAAAAGGATTTTATGTTAAGTTATAAAGAAATTAGGATTAAAAAGTCTTTTAATATACCAATCCATAATACTTATTAGCATGACAGTGAGAAAAAACTTTTTCGATGTTTTGATGAACCAGGGGGGAAAATGTAATCTACTTTGGACAAAACGAAGGCGTAAAATGATTGTTTTGAAAAATATATGAATTAGGTTAGATCTCGCTTAAAAATTGAGGACACACCTGAAATAAAAAACTAAATCTGTCCACTAAACTTATTTTCAAGTTTGCACATATTATTTTTTACGGAATCTCGATTTCTCACATAATGATTGGTGCCAGGAATTTTTTGTTTTCTATGCATTATTTAAAAACTAACAGATACATATTTTCAGTTGTGCAAATGGTTTTTATTTTAAATACTGATCATCACAAAGTACATTAGTTTTTAACAAGCAACAATAGCAAATATATAAAAAAACGAACTATTAAATAACATTGTCAACAGTAGGAACACATACATGTATATCTTAATACAAATAGAAAAATGCATTTCTTTATTAATTTCGTAGTGGCAAAAATATTTTGACATGTTATTCTATTAATACATTACTAAACAACAAATAGATAGCTGAAAATGATACAACTACAACAGCTTCATTTGTTTTACGTATTTCGCATCATAAAGAATCAAAAGCAGTCGTTTCCGCAGTTGAAATATTTGTTCGGGCTAAGTTGGCGATTTTTGTTTTGGTTTTTCCGTTGGTGAAGAAGTAATTACTTCTTATCTGCAAGATAGAAATATCAAAAAATTACAAAGTAACTTGAACTTTGAGAAAGTAAATACATTGCAATAAATCAAAAAGTGGTAGCCAAATTCAAAGAAAGAAAAGTTTTACTACTTGTTCATACTACTATTTTAGTTTTAGCTTCTGATTTTCGTTTTCTCGATACTTTCTATTCTTTACAAATTTTCGGTGCTAGAGTATTTTTTTTCTCTATCCAGTACGTAGAATGGGTATTCTTCTAGTGTAACATACAGGGTGTTTATAAATTCCCGGACCCATTTTGATGTTTAATAACTCATAAAATAATGAAAATAAACAAACTTATGGCATTTATTGATGGAATAACTCATATATCTTCCTTTTCAGGTTTGAATATATCGTCTGCGCGTGTGGTTAATTTCAGATAATTTCATTTTCCAGTCTAAATATCGTCTGCTTATTAATTGCATTTTTCTCTCTTTTGTTTTTGGCAACTATTGCAATGTTATGTTTACTTTTGATGTGTTTGTTCAATGTAGTACTTTTCTACGTGATGTTTTATTCGAGCGGATATTAAGGCCAGAATTACAACCGCAATAGCATCTGTGGATGCCGTCATGCTTGCCGCTACCTGGCGTGAAATTGACTATCGACTTGATATTCTCCGTGCGACGAAGGGGGCACACGTGGAAGTTCATTGACAAGGGTCCTGAAACTTTTTGAATCTATCTAACCATTTATGTCATTAATTTTAATCTATCTTTATTATTTTATGAGTTATTAAACATCAAAATGGGTCCGGGACTTTATAAACACCCTGTATATTAAAATTAGAAAGGAAAAATCATTACAAGTCGTAAGTCTTACGCATATTTTTGCTACTACTTTTTTTTATTTTTCCCCGATCTCCCTTTATCTCATTGTGTTTTTGAATTAAAACGGGGGAGCATTATTTTGAAATTCTCATTCTCTCACTCATTCTCCCTCATTCTTTGAAATTCTCATATTAGCTATCAATTTTCTCATAAAACACACAGATCAGATAGATTTCTTTTTCATTGTCCTTTGAGTTTTTATTAGTTGTGGTAGTCACAAATATATAAGATTTCTCTAATATAATAAAATGAAAAATATTTATTATATAAAATTATAATAAAAAATACATTATATAAAATTATAATATTATAAACATGTAAAATTACATCATGGAATAACTTTATATAAAATTATAATATTATAAATATATAAAATTACATCACGGGGCAACTTTATCGTCACTTTTAAATTGTAAAAAGCATTGTCCTAAAATTTTGGGAAGAATCTGACGGAAATGTTTTCTTGAAAATAAATACTCAAAACCGAACTTTGAGATACTCATACGAATTAGTGTCCAGTTATGTGTTACAGCAAGAAGGATATTTCTCCGGAAAATTATTACCCAGGAATTTTTTTTGACTAAAAGCTTTGTTATGTTGTTATAAATGATACTTGAAAATTCCCCATCTCTCCTCTGTACGCTTTGCCCTTTTCTGAGGGAAGTGAGGGGGATTTGAGGGAATAATCGATTTTTTTTAGACAGGTGACTGAGGCATTGTATCCGATGTATTTTTCGCGCTAAATTGAATGAAACCAATCCTGAAACGATTGGTCTAATAGTTTAGAAGTTATAAAGGCTTTATGTACAGAAAGTACACGTTTATACTTGTACATGTGAGACATTGTTTCCTATGTATTTTTACGTTGATTTGAATGAGACTATGCCCGAGTCAATTAAACCAATAGTAGCAAGTGTTTTTACGGATAAAAAGTATCAGTATTGAGATGATTTGATACGCTTTTCACTTTGTTATCTAAGGGCTATCAGAACTCATTAGGTACATTTTCCGATGAAACTTTTCATACTGAGTTGAATGAGACAAAATTCAAATTGATAGAGGACTAGTAGTTTTGAAGTTATAACAGTTTCCTTCATAAAGTGCAATTTAAAAATTGCACTTTTTGTACAAAATAATATATTTATTATACAAAATATATGAATAATAACTTTAATAATAATGAATAATAATTTTAATAATAATAACTTTTTTAAATATTAGCACTTTTGATTTATTTTGTCTCACCTGATTAAAATAGAAAAAATACAGAGGAAACTACTCATCACGCAAATTATTCATTCATCATGTCTGTATATGAATATAAGCTGTGTAAATGAGGGCAGGTACAAAATTGTTCTTTCTATTCATAAGACCCTTATAACTTCTATACCATTAATCTGATCATTTCGCAGTTCATTTCATTCAATTTTGCATGAAAAATTACATCGGAAAACATACCTTAAACGCTCAGATAGTTTCTGGATCACAATGTAAAGTGCATATTTAAGTACGAGTCAGAAGTAGTAATCTTAAAACATGAAAACCCTTGCAGTTTTTTCATTGTTTGTTCGTTTGAGTCGTGCATAGTCTCATTCGATTTAACGTAAATGAATTCATAGGAAACGAGGTTTCAGTTGTTTAGATATCAATATCAGATACGTATTGTTTGTCTAATTTGAGAACTCCTCCCGTCGCAAAGTCTGAGGCTGTCTGGTACTATGGAAACAAGAATGGCTAATTTTAAGGAGGGTAGCTTAAGGACTAACACAATAGAAAGAAGAAAGAGATTCCCTATCTCTCGCTACGAGAGCCGAAACCAATCCAAAACAGTGACCCCTCACCCCTACTTGAAATAGTCATACCTCGTTACCATAGTCACCGCCACAGGTCCAGACGGATGTCTGGAGGAGTTCTTATTTTAGATAAACTATAAGTAGAAACAAGTACAAAATTGTAATTTTTGTACATTAAACGTGTATAAATTTTCAACTACTCTGTCCGATTGTCTCGGTATTGAACTCATGCAATTCATTGTGAAAAAATACATCAGAAAACATACCTCACTTACCTGCCTAAAAGAAAATCAATTCTCCCCCTCAAATCAACCCTTCCCTCAAAAAAGGAGAAAGCGAAAATTGTAGAGCAGGAGAGTCTTCAGATGCCATTTACAACAACATGGCAAAGCTTTCGATGGGGGGAAAAAATCTTGTGTATTATGTTACAAAATGTGATTTTATTGGGCTGAATTTAAAAATCAGAAAAAGTATATTACCGATGACTTCGGCTTTGAGCCGGGCAGCTAATGACTTTCGAAATGCTAGGACATTGGGATCGAGGGATGGATCAGCAGCTTTCTCTTCCTGTACAGCTCTCTGTGCAGCACGGGCAGATCTCGGTCTCCCACCAGCAGAATCCGATTCATATTTCTGAAGTAGTTTCTCCCTTTCTTGCTTCTTTAGAGCTAAAAGCTTGTCTCTCTGTTGCCTTAGGTATTCTTGACGACGCTTCGCTTCCTCTGGCGACACCTAACGGCAGAATTCGTTATTATTTTTTTTTAACAAGTGGGCCCCATTCCTGTTTGCTTACAATCCCCGGAAGATTTATTGCAATCTTAAATGGTTTGCTACAAATCAGGCTCGCTTCTAAATTAAAACCCATCTTAAATTTATTATACTGTAAAATCTTAAGAATTTGAATATATTATTGAAATCTTTAAAACTTGTTCCTCTTTAAAAAATTGAAATTTTCGGTAAATAATAAGTTATTAAAAATTTTATAAAATACCAGATATATTATTAGATAAAATATTATAAAAATAGAATGGAAAGAACAGTTGCAAACATAATGCCACGTTTCAAAAACCAATCAGGATCGATGTACCCACACTTCCTCAATTGCAAGTGCTGCATTGAGCTCGAAAGTTGGCGAACTTTTTAAAGCCCTTCAACGCCTTAGGAATACAAACGAATCTTTTACTTGTTGATATGAACTATTTACTTTTACGGAGTTCACCACAAGGCAAAACATCTATTAAAAGGGGTGACAATCAAATAAATTGAACAAATGCAATAGAAATACAAATTTTTAGAGAGAAAAATTATTTCCATCCTTGTGTATCATACAAAAACCCCTTTTTTATTAAATTAATGTAAAAAATTTCAGTTATCCTAAGCAGAAATAGTTTCTTTCTCAACTTCGATTTTCTGTGTCGATCGCAGCGGAATTCAACAAAACCAACTGTAATACTTATTTTCCAAGTGTAGAATAATTCGTAAACTGATATTTATTTAGAAATCTTTTTTTGGTGTGATATATATGTCCTTTTTTCAATATCAAGAAAGAAGAAATTTTTGTCTCTGGTTTGGAAAACCCTGTAAAAATGTTTCTCCTTTACGAAACTTGTCATGAGGAGAAACGCCAATTACTTGCGCCGTCAAAAAAATTCAAATAGAACATATGCAATCGAAATACATATTTTTAGAGGGAAAAATTGTTCGCATTCTAATCTATCTTAAGAATCTCTTTTTCTTCTTCTTTTTTTGAGGTACAATTAATACAAAATTCTTTAGTTATCTTCAGTAGAGATAGTTTCCGTCCCAACTTTGAGACCCTGTAAGGCGTGTCTCCTATTATAAATTCTACATGAGAAAAAGCGACGATCAACAGTGTTGATGGAAACGGAATTCAACGAGACAGTAGAAAAATTCATAAAATGGTATTTACTTGCATTTAGAAACCTTTTTCTGATGTAAAATACATGTTCTTTTTTTAAGTATCAATGAAGAAGAGATGTTTGTTTCGGGTTTAGAAAACCCTGTAAAAATGTTTCTCCTTTACGACACTTGTCATGAGGAGAAACGCCAACTACTTGCACCGCCAAAAAAATTTAAATTTAACAAATATAATCGAGATACATATTTTTAGAGAGAAAAGTTGCTTGCATTCTATCTTAGAATCCCTTTTTTTATATAATTAATACAAAATCCTTCAGTTATCTTAAACAGAATTAGTTACCGTCCCAAATTTGAAACCCTGTAAAGCGTGTCTCCAATTATAAATTCTTCGTGAGAAAAAACGACGATCACCTTTGTCGATGGAAACGGAATTAAACGAAATCTACCTTTATATATATTTAAAGGGAGTAGAAAAATTTGCAAACTGATATTTATTTAGAAATCTTTTTTTTTGATATATACGTTCTTTTTTCAGTATCAAGGAAGTATGTTCAGTATGTTTGTCTCGGGTTTGGAAGAACCCTGTAAAAATGTTTCTCCTTTCGAAACTTGTCATGAGGAGAAACGCCAATTACTTGCGCCGTCAAAAAATTCAAATAGAACAAATTCAATCGAAATACATATTTTTTGCGAGAAAAACTGCTGACATTCTAATATATCTTAAGAATCCCTAATATATCTTAAGAATCCCTAATATATCTTAAGAATCCCTAATATATCTTAATAATTCTCTTCGAATATATCTTATAGATTTTAAAAATTCTAATATATCTTAAAAATCCCTTTTTTAGTACAATGAATACAAATATCTTTCGTTTTCTTAAGTATAAATAGTTCCCTTCTTGATTTCGAAATATTGTGAAAGCACGTCTCCTTTTTTACACGCGTTATGTGAAAAAACTACGATTACCTGCGTCTAGAGCAGCAGTATTTAAAAAAAATTAACCAATATATATCTTTAAAGAGAATAGAATAATTTGTAAACTGATATTTATTTTTAAACCATCCTCTTTTAAAAACGTATGCTCTTTTTTAGTATCGGAAAAGAGACGAAATAAATTATTTTCAAAGAAAAAAATAGTTTTTTACCGTGTACAAATTAAGTTGGTGGGAAATTTACTTTATATATACTGTTATGAAGGAATAAGTATGATCGATATGAAATAAAACGGTATACCTCTGTTTGTTTTGTAATTTCTAATGGTTCTTGAACGGCAATTTTAGGAGCTTCGTGTAAAGACGTTTCCATTGCCTATAAAAAAAATTTAAAAAAATTTATTTTCATTTCAGATTTTAATCAAATACAGAATTAAATAATTGTTTCCTATCGATTCAATTGGATACAATCTTCCATGTTTCATATTTTGTCCTTAAAAATTTACTTTGTATAAGATTAAAAATTTTTTAAACCTTTCAATACAAAAATTCTTACAATCCTACAATTAAGGAATAAATAATAACGAAAGATTAACGTTGTTTTCTTATGAAATTTACGTCAGATAAGTTAATTTCATAAAAGATAGCAAAACTGTTTTTAAGTGTGTCCTTTTTTTTGAGAGAGAGATATGACGAAACACACTATAAGTAAAAAGTACAATACCTGGTTAAAATTTCCCATTAATAGCTGTGATATCTTTCAAATTATTGCGGTTATATCTTTCAAATAAAGGCTAAGTCCCTAATTTTGGAGAAAATAATTTCAAATTCTTTAAAAAGAAATAAGAAACAACGTAATTTTTTTTGTCTGATAATATGAAGCGAAATTCGGAAATTTTGCGGAAATTTCATAGCCCTTTTAACAATGACTACTTTTTAAAAAATTGAAAATTTAATTGATTAAAAAAAGTTAGATAGTTGAAATTTAATGAATTTCTTTTAAAGTATTTCTAGAAATATGGAAATTATTAGAAAATTCATTCTAAAATAAAGATATATTTTAAGAAACAAACGGGAAATATAGTAATTTTCTGAATATTATAATGTGTTCATAATTATATTCCATATTTAATAAAAAATACAATGCATCTGAGAGCATTTTCGATTAAAAAAAAGTGGCGATCAGATGGCGACCGGCAGACAAGTTTTAATCAACATTTGCTCCTTCAGTTACCATCTATGATCATTGGCAACACCGAGTTGACCGTTAATTTTGCCTGTATCTGATTACACATTTTATTGTAATTCATAAGTAGTACGAATTAATATGCTCATTTAAAGTATATCGATCAAATTGTTACGGTTTAATCCTTAAAAAATCAAAGAACTAGATCAGTGGTTTTCAAATCATGTTTGTCCTTGGGTTCGTTTTTAATAATTCTTCGGAACCCAAGGACTCTGTGGAAGAATGAAAAAGGTTCCGAGATTTAGGAACGTTTTTTAAACCCGTAAATATATCTCGGTGGCCTTCGTGAACCCCAAAATGCCAATGAGAAAGAAAAGGCAATTTTCTTTTAAGAAATAAATAATTTTCTCAACATCATTGTAGTGAATAAATGTTGAAAACTATATACATTTATAAAAACTGCATTAGTATTTCACATTTCGCTTTTTGAATAAAAATAAAAAGAAACTAATTACTAATTCAGTCATAAATAAATATATTTCCTCAATAGCCTTTTTCAACATTTATATGAGTTTCAATGAAACCTTCAATTCAGCTTAATATTCATTTTAAGCTTATGCATATGCACCAAAAAAAAAAATTCATATAGCTATACTAAATTCAGTTCCAGAACTGTCGGTCATTAAATTTATCTTAAGATTAATAATGATAAAACAGTGAAAAAAATTTCATGCCTTTTACTTTATAAATGGGATTGAAAAGCCGACCCAATACTGAATTTACGATTATCAATAACCGTAGCCTTGTAATTTTGATCCCGCTCCAGAAAACGAGGGAACTCCTGGATCAAGTATTGGGTTAAATTTGCTTTCACGAAGAACTTTTTTGATCCGTCGATCACTGAGGTTATTTTAACTAGGTACTGTGGTTGGTGTGAGCTGGGTGCGGATTTCTTATCGACCAACCATCACTGAGATTCGAACCCGGGTCATCTTATTGGAAGGCAAGCTTTTTATCCCCTGAGCCCTCACGGCTCAATCATACGTTTTATTAAAATTTCAGCAGCCTTTTATTGGTTAATACCTTCACAATTACCTTTATGTACTTTTTTTACAAATTTGTAGTTCCACCGAAAGAAGGTTGTTCACTTAAATCCATAAAGTAAATAATCGGGAACCGCTATTCTAGATTAAAAATTGCTTAGTGTGATAAAAACCTTTTCCATCAGTTTGATTTCTCTTTTCCTCTCTTCCTCGAGACGAGCTTTTGTTGCCTGTATCACTTCCTTCTGCTCTGATTGTTCCTCTTCCAATTTGGGCTCTTCTTCCGATGCCTCTTCTACGTAACGCCTGAGCAAGAACAACAATTAATATTATTATTAGTCTTTAAACTTCATCACATCAATTTCATGTAGCTTTTATTGGCAATGTAGTTTTAAACTTAACACAGGCGACAATCTGCACGACAAAGATAATCTTTGGTAAATAAGATAAAGCTTCCCGATAGTTTGCTATAGGTTCAAATCTTGACGATGAGGTTTACAATGCAGTGAATTTTGTATTCGAAAACTGCAATCGGAAATTGTCTTAACAATATTTTTCAAATTTCTTTCACCAAGAAAAATAAACTTAATAAGTCCCTCATAATTCAGGCAAATCTGTAATTTTAAACTATACATACCATATTATCTGCTCTTTAAAAGTTACCAAACATTTTTAAAATTCGCAAATGTGTGAAACTATTATACCCACAAGGAAATTATCAAAATCAATGACTAATTTTCAATTTTTGAAAATTTTTATGAAACTAGACAATGCAGCGTTACAGTAACTTTTTAAGAAGTGTAATCACATATGCTTTTCATTTTCACAAATGGCTATTCTTAATATTGATACTATGCGCCATTTCAGAATTAGCATGGAATGTTGGATAAAAATTGGCTTAACTTGACCAGACTTGAATTAATAAGCTTAACAGTCATGATTAACTGCTGCAAGCTCACCGTAAAACCTCTCGGGAGGGACCACTCTCTGTTCCACAGTGAAATGGTTGTTAATGGAGGTTACATGGGCGTTCTTAGGAGTTGAGCTACATCCATTGAATTCGAAATATAAACGAAGGTACATGATTTGTCGAAAACGATTTTAATTTTAGTTCCTGTCATTTTCTTGGTGCGGAAATGTTACTCGTGTTGAAAACCGGATAGATGAATAAAATTTAGTATCAATAAAAATGACCCCTACTGATATAATTATGTGTAAAAACAAAGAGATCAATTATGAATGATGGAACTAACTATTTTGTTTTTTTTGTATAAACAATTATGTTTTTTTTGTTTATGTTTGCATTTAATTTTATATCGTAAAAATTAGTTAAGCTTTAAAAAATGAGAAGATGTTTGTTTGAAATGCTTAGTTTTTTCTAAAATAACTTTTTTTTTCTAATTTAACTTTCAACTCTAAAAATAAATCTTTTATAGCATTGTCTTTAGTTATAGATCTCACTCAGAGATCGTCAAAAAGAGATCTCTAAATAAGAGCCACTCACAAATATTTTGAATACATTTCAATCTATTTATTTGTTTTGTTAAAATTTTTTTGTTTTGATAATTTTTCGTGCAACCTTATTTGACTTATCCCGCATTCGGGACAGAGGTTTGTCCAATCACTGGTAGAGGTTTTGATGGTCTCTCCTGAAGATTTACTTCAATACAAAGTCTATGGAAAATATTCCATGTCTCCCAAAAGTGGTCGCAAATAGAGATCGCTACACAGAGGTGGTCCTTCCTGGAAGTTTCAACTGTAGCATATTATTCGCAAAATTAGTGCTATTTTATGTGATTGGCAGAGCCTTTTTATAAACAGCCTCAGTGATTTCAATTAATCAGTGATACTCGTTTATCGACGTTTTTGACGAAACTTCTAACTTTCGCTAGTAAATCATTCATAAATCCACAGTAGGTGCAGTTGTATCTCTGTCTTTTTGTATTTATTTGTTTCCGGCAAATCCAATATGGATCAGCAATTTAACACCGATAAGAAAAGAAAACTTAATGGGTCAGGCACTATACCAGATTCATCTTAATGGGAGATTTGTTCTGTGAAATTAACCCTCATTTGCATGAAATAATGGAAAAATCCAGATAGAACTCGCCTGGTTTCCGAGAGGGTAAAAGCGAGTTTCTAACAAATTTGCGCCAGTACTGTGACAGGCATGTATCCAGAAATTACATGTATCTGTTCTATTGTGTCACCATTCTTGACTCAAGGCGTTGATTGCATGGTATCATTTTACAATATTATTCATTATCCTTACAAAATAAAAATAAACAATGAAGAGACGAATATATTTATCACCACATTCGGGAAGCGAATCAATGCTAAACATCAGGGTAAGTTAGAGTTCGTGTCTTAGTTTACTTTTGTGTTTCTGTAAATGAGCTGTGCAATATTTCAGCTCCCGTCTCGAATATTACTTTGATTTACACCATAACTATCTATTGCACCATCGATCGATGAATTTTCAAACTACAACCAAGAATTCTGGAAAAAAGTATTTATGACCTATCTAATGAATTTGATGCAAGAATTTTTTTCTTTCTTTAAATCTTAAACGTATTAATGTTATTAACTTTTGGAATGCGTCAGCCTTATAAAGGATATCTTGTAGCATTTAAAAGATCAAGGTCAACGTCTTGGGAAAATTAATGAAACAAAATATTAAAATTTTCTAAAAGAATATTCAAAAAATTTCTAACAGATATTAAATTTCTTTTTAATTGGAAAAGTAACGCAGTGAATTTTAGAATATCCTTTTAGAAATATTACTACCCTGTTTTAAGGCTTTTTCAAACCTATATTATAGTAATGTCTTACGTTAAAATTAAAGTAGATTCAAATTAGTAAGATTCAAGAGTAGATTCAAATAAAAAATTTATTGAAACGTTAGCCCATAACTATTTTTTGAAACATTAATATATACCCTTCTTTTTAACTTTTTGCACTTAAGGTTCTATCAACAATTGGGTACTTACAACAAGTGAAGTGAGTATGCCTAACCATGTGATTTAAATTAGATTTAAATATATGCTGTGCAAGTGACGTCATGCGTGTGTGTCGAACCTGATTGGCTTCTTAATCGACAAATTCCATGATTTACTTACAATGACGTCACTTGCAGGAATTAAAATAAAAAATTATGCAACCGCTGAGAATTTACATAACAAAACCCACAGTTTGCTCAGTTACCAAATAACACGTAAAAACTATTAAATGAAGTGGTTACTCAACATTAAAGGGTAAGAATTTTAACATTCAAAGTGGAAGGTAATTTAAGATGCCTGAGACAGATATACTCGAGTGCAGAGGTTTAAAAGCATAGTGCTATTTTTTAAAGAAAAAAAAAGCGTTAACATAAGTAGATTTATTTTGCAAAAACAAGATAGTTTTGTCTACCACAATGTTTTAATAATATTAATTTTATTCTAATTTGGATATAAAATCAATTCCCAGCTTCGTTTTTTTAGAAAACTAAGTTCTGAAAGATAACAAAAGGAAATATTCAATTTGCTAGGGTCCTTTTTTCTTTTTACTTAGTTGTTTTACACATTTAAACAATATTTTGTGGCTAGGCATTGACGAGTTATTGGAAAATTAAAGTACTTTTTCATGCAGAAATCATCTTTTTAGACTTTGATACATTTATCCAGAGAAAATTTTCGTTGTGATAAGAATCATTCATGTGAGACAATTTTTTTCTTATTTAACTTTTCTCTATCAGTAATCTATAATAAAGAGACTGTTTTTTTTTTGTCTTTTATTTCTAACTCAGTGGCCGTACATCATGTTTTTGAATGGTTGCCATGGTAACAACTGTTATGTCAATATTTTGGGGAAAAAGAGAACTTGTGTTTTTTTCCGCAAATAGTCTTTACAGTCTTGACAACTCGTAAATGAATCCAACATTTTCGTTCGATCTCTCAATAATTATTTATTAACCACCAAATGATCACATTAATTGCCATTGAAATGGTTGTTGCAAAAAATTGGAGCAATTAGAAAAGATAATCGTGTACGTTTTGTTTCTTTTTGCTTGCATTTATAAATATTTGATGTGGATACAAGAGATATGATCAGAAAAAAATAAAATTTGTTATGGAAAGTAATTGGGGAATCTGTCGTGACGGAATCGTGTTTTTGATGAAAATAACAAATTGCATGCTCTTTTCGGAAACACTAAGTGAAAGTGGGTTGCGGATTTTTAAGCTTTTTGTTTCATACACTTTTTCTTATGATATTTGGTCTGCTCTAATGAGAGTGAATGAAATGAAGAAGAACATCTCATTTTATCGAAGTATAAAGAGAAGTGTCGTCTAACCCTAGTGAACTTTAGAGGAAAAAAACTTTAAAATTCTTTTTCTTCATGTACTATAAAAAATACAAATATTTTTAAAAAAAGAGAAGAAAAAATACCTAAAATTTACTTTATATCATACGTATCTTTCATATTTTAAAACCTTTAAAAATTACTTTAGATGAATTAATTTTTATCTTTACCAAATAAGTTTATGCTTTTTATTTGAATTTAAATCCTGTCTTTTTTGTCCATAAATGATGCCACACTATTTTTCCATATTTTTGATCCTTATGTCACTGAGTTCATATTTAGTGTCATTCCGTCTAATGAGGAAAAATGCGTAGGAAAGTATATATCACACTTTTCGGTATAGCAATGTAAGACGCGTAAAAAATTGCTCTTTTAGTACATAAATCGCTTATAACTTCTAAACTATGAGTCCGATCGTCCCGAGATAGGTCTAATTTAATTTAACATTTAAAAATACATCGGGATATGTGCTTCACTTGTGGAAGAAATTCAATTCTCCCCCTCAAATCACCCCCATTTTTCTAAAAAAAGACAAAAGTTTTCAGGTATTATAACACAAAGTTTTCTATGAATAAACAATTATGGGCATTAATTTTAATGACAAAAAAGTGGACTAGTATTACTTGACGACAGTTTCCATGATCTGTTTCTCTTCCTCAGAGGGTGCATAATCATCTCCAGGTAGGAAAGATTCCGGTAAGAGTCCGTACTGGTGGGCCAACAGATCCAGCGCCTGAAGCTGAAGCTCCAGATTCTTCTGCATCATCATCCTCTTGAAGATTTCATAATCATCCGCTGCCCACAACTGCTCGAACAAGCTCTGTCAGTTTAAGAAGAAAAAAAAGATCAATTTTCAAAGAATATTTCTGCTATTTATTCAGGCATTATTTAATACTTTACATTACAGTTTTAACTCTTTAGGGACTGTGATCACATCTACGTGATGACTCGATTCTCTCTTTTCGTACATGAGATGAACGGTGTTCCGACTACAGCGGCACACAGACGCGATTTTAATTTGCTACACCTTATTACAATTTTTAAACGACACTTTATGGTGATTGAAGTCAGTTATAATTTGAAAAAAATGTCAAAGATACGTTGACCCTTAATAGTTCCGAGGTTTTAATTAATTTATTTAATTATTTATTTAGAGTGTTAAAACGTATAAACAATTGCACTTGTTCCGCTCTGTCGAGAGGATAGGGCACTTAAACTCTCTAGGTTCTTGTTTATATTTCAACGGAGCGGGAAAAGGATGGAATGTTTATTGGTTTATGTGAATGTCGACTTTTCACTTTCTATATAGGATTTTGCATGTTTTGGGCCAGTTTTTCAATCGTTTTTTAGGAGTATTATGTTTAGTTTTGGTTTTTAGTTCATTTAGTTTAATTTTTACAGTATATTTAGATGCTTACGATGATAATAAATTTCGAGTTTCAACGCATTTAAAGTTGCAGTAAGGATTTCTTATAAATTTTTAAATAGGGCTTATCGGAAAAAATCTTCCGGTACCATACATACGTATACTCTTTGGAGTGTGCGGGTCTGGGAAAGTTCTTCTTTCTTTCTTTTTCACCGGCAACAAAGCAGGTTGACAAAAATTATCTTGTCTTAAGAATGTATAGGCAGATCACTGATGCCTATGAATCATTTAATCCAATAAATCATTTTCATTCAACCCAAATCATTTAATAAATTACCCTGGGAAACAAATTTTTGTTACATTTATACATCTACTTTGATCATGCCTAATTCTTACTAATGCTTACTTGATCTAACCTGATGTGAATATTTAAAATCTGAAATCCCCACACCCGAATATAGTTAGTAGTTATAGTTTAAAAGCTACAGCTATTTTTTAAATGACAATTTTTTGTCTATTTCTTGTCAAAACGAAATGTACAAGTTTAAAAACGTTATAGGTAAGAGAGGATGGTAAAAATGTCTATCTTGTTTACTCGATAGTGCCAGTATCTGGTATAGAACAGTTTTTTTTTTTCAAAAAAAAAAAGAAAAGGAAGATGAGAACGGATACATACATATTTCGTTCTTAGTTTTTACCTGGAGAAAACAAAGCATACCTGGTGTATTATCAAAATCATGTTTTTAATTTTGATAAAAAAAATCAAATAATTGCAATCAATATTTTTAAAGACTTAAGTCGCATTCGCAACCAACACAAAACAACCATTTATTCTTAACATTTATATACTACCAAATATTTAACGCATCTTAAGTTCACGAAAAAGCGAATAATAGATCAAAACAAGTCAAAATTCTTTTTACATTGAGTTAAAACTATAATGTAGGGTAAACCAACCAGTGAAGAAACACTACCCAGTGAAGGAACATTTCATATATATTGATTAAAAATAAGAATTTGAAAGTTTTTCTTTAGATTGTTTGGTAACAATAGCTTACTGCCAAACAATAGGAAGTCATCTAGCAATATTTTGGATTACCTGGTCAAATAGACTTCTCTGAAAAAATTTTTGAATTTGTTATTATCTCTGCAACACCTTGTTTCTTTGAAAAAATTATAAGGTGAGTGTTTGTGTTTATATGTTTGAAGTGGAATTAATTGCATGCAATAGTTTTATTTTTCTCACTGTGAAAATAAGAATTCAAAATATAGTTATTGAAGTTACGTTTTATTTTTTTTAAGCATCATAGCATAATCAAGTACTGAGATAAGAGGGTGTTTATTCACTGGATCGCCAAACTATGAAAAACTAGTGAAAGAACAAATGTTCCTTTACTGGGTTTTTTCTAAGTTAATGAAAATGAAAGAAAAACTTTAATTTTCTTGTACCTTTAGTGATGTTTTGCATCAAAAGTATGTCAAAAATACAAAAAACAACTTCTAACCAGTGAAGGAACAGGCATGTTCCTTTACTGGACATAGATTTCCCTGTGAATGAACAGTATGTGTTAATGTGTTGACACTTTAATTTTCAATTCATGATTACAAAAAAAAGTTTACATTTTCCAAGCATTTGTATGTTATAATTTCAAGAATAGGCTTGTTTTTAGGTATTTGTATGGTATATAAATTCATAATTTACATAATTTGCAATTAGTAGCAAATATGTTGACACTGTCATTTAACTAAAATTACTAATTTTGAAATTAATATGATTTTTTAAAAGGCAAGCGAAGCTTAAGTGTTCCTTCGCTGGTTAGTTTACCCTATATTGAGTGAGAGAAAGAAGAGGAAGCGGCTAATCTGCGCAACTACTACTCATTTTTCCTTACATAAATGTGGTGGTCTAAGAAATTTTAAATTATATTAATTAAATTATGAATTAAATATTACAATGCGTATTTAAATGTAACGTTCGTTACTATAGATACTGAATAATTGCTTGTTACCTTTCTGAACTGGGAGTGAATATTTTTTTCTGTTTCGCTACATGCCTTTTGAAACTCATCAGCAGTTATTCCCAAATCTTCCATGTGGCTGCTTAACATTGTATCCACCTGAATTTTCAAAAACAGGTAGACATTTATAAAAAAGATAAAATATTCATTTTTGTTGACAGTAGTTCATTTGAATTTATTCTTTAGAGTTTCCAATTTCTTTTTGGCTAAGGAACACTAAATGATAGAGCTTCTTTATGCAGAACTCCGATATAATAAGAAAAGTTCATTAGCAGTTGTAAATATACTAACCATAATAAATAAATGACTTAACTTCATGAGGTAAATATCATGTCTAAATAAAAAACACTTTTTGGTACAAACATTTTGCTTATTATAATATTGATTAAAATTGAAGAAATTCTGCTTCACTTTTATATTTTACTGTATTGTGCTGTATATTTTACAGCTTTTTCTTATTAGGAATTTTTTCATTGAACGTAAAAATTTTCAATAAAGATTAATAGGTTTAATAAAGTTTTAAAACTTTGAAGTTTTGTACTTTTCCTATTTTTTATAAAAAGACTGATTTTATTCATTTATATTTACTAAGTTTATCATAAACAATGTGTATATAAAAAGCAATATTACAAGTTTCAATCATTTTTGATCAGGGCTATCAGAATTTAATGCCTTTTTTATCACCATTTGAAATTTCGACTAGCTAGAGTCCTCAAATTTCAATTGGACCTCTGTGCCGGTTGACAGTATAATTTCAATCTATCTAAGTAGTATTTAATGCGATTTAATACGAATCATGATTTTGACAACTTCCTGGCATAAATAATCCAACAAACATCATATTAAAGTGGAAGAAAATAATAAATTTAAAAAAAAATCATATTTTTCATGTGGACTAAGACTTATAACTATATTTATACACGATTATTTATCCAGACTTCATTTAATATTTCGGGGATTTAGGTGTAATTATTTAAGTAAAATAACAATAAATAAAATATAGAGAAATTTTTTTTTAAAAAAACTATTATTTTTCCTACAATACCATAATGAATGTAATCATAAAAATGATATGCATTTATAAAAAAGTTCCTCAGTATTTCTCATCGGGGTTTTCAATTCCAAATAAAATAACCATATTCAAGAAAAAAGGATTTAAATGTCTGACACATATCCGTTTAAAAAATTATTTTTTGATATTACGATGAAAATATTAAATTTTTCACATAAAATAGTTTTAAATTAATTAAATCTCCTTTTTTGGTCTGTATATTCACTCCTTTAGTTAATTAAACTTAGTTAACACTTTTTAGTTACTTTTAATTATCTCACGAAAAAAAAGGCGAGCATTTTTGTTTTGCATAATGTAGGACATCTTTGTAGTGATTTCTTCACAATTTGGTCATGAAACTAAATCCACTGCACCTATATAATTAGATATTTCTGTGTCAAAAAAACTTCTAAAAGTTTACTTTAAACCGAATTCCTTAAATTTCATAAGATTTTTCATTGTAAGGAAAAAATTTGAGCAACGAGGATTAACTCAAATTTTTACATAGCTTTAGGCATGCAAACAGAAAAAATCTTAAAATATTATTTTTAAACTATGATATTGCAGCAAATGTTGGCCAATATAAGGGAGGCTGGATCTTATGATGTTAATAACGATAAATTCAGTTTTTGAAAATCGAGCTTAACTTAGACAGGTGGTAAGCTTACAAGAGTGGTCAACTTCTTAGGCTTCCCTATAACATGTTAAAATTACTAACAATCTAGCTACAAATGTACAGAGTAATTCTACTTACTAAATTTTTGTATTCTTCGTGTATTTTTTTGTATTCCTCATCATTTCCTTCGACTGGGTCAAACACTAAAGTAAATCAAATTATCAACTAACAAAATATTTACAAATATCATTTAATATTCACTATACGAAAAAAATTGTTAGAAAATTGGACAGTTACCTACCGAAAATCTAAAGCTTGAATAGAGTAAAAAAGTCATATTTTATTAAAATTTCATGAATTTGAAAATTATTGCACTTTTTCTTTAAATATTAATTATATGCGTTTTTACGTCGAGTTAGTTTTATTATTATTACATTGTTCGTTAACTAGAAAATTATTGCCTTTTGCTAAACAATGCAGACATGCATTTTTTTTTCTTTTTACGTGGAGTTAATTTGATTATTATTACTTTATTCGCTAAATTGAAAATTATTGGATATTTGCTTTAAGCATGGATACATGCATATTTGTTTTGATTGTGTTCTGATCAATAATGATGGTAGTTATCATGACTGTGAAGACAAGTCCCGCAGTGGACTGATCGTTAAGACATGGTTCCCAGAGCAGATCACCGAAGTCAAGCATCACTGGCTGCGGTCAGTGTGCGGATGGGTGACCACTTGGATTAGTCTGCGTAGGGACCGAGGGTGCGCGGTATTGGTCCTCGTTAAACTGTTCTACCGTAAAGTGCTCGACTTCGCGTGCAGGGTCGTCGGGATACCGTAGCGGGGCTGTCATCCCCTCTGCAGAGGATCGAAATTGGGATGGTATGTCTTCGGATCCTCCGCAGGGATGTTTCCCGGACCGTCGCCAATAGCCCATTGTGCAGCTCTAGTGCGACTTAAATGAACTACAACGACTATGAAAACAAACTCATGTGGATATTATTTATTATTTGATACAATGATGAAAAAACTAAAACATAAAATCGTTGTTCACTTCTTCAGCAAACTGTATGTTGATTGAAAATATGGATAGTGGAGGGGCAATGAGAGGCAGTGGATATGGAGGGGCAGTGGATATGAAAGTGGAGGGGCACCAGTTTCTGTTAAGGCCAAAAAAGGGCAATATATCGGACTTCGTCGAGACAATTCATTTTGTTCAGTACAAAAGGGATCAAATAAAATAAAAATTCTACTTCCAAACGTAATTCTTAAAGTTTAATTTTAAACAATGACAATATAATTTATGATAATAATAATAATAATAGAATTCATTATACTAATAAAATTATTAATAATAATTATAGTAAACAATTTAAATAAAAATGTGATAAATTTTAATAAAAACCAAATGAATTTTAAAGATAGTCACATGCTAGCACAAACAGCACTTCATCAAGGGGCGCTAACATGCCATGCTAACATGCTGGAGCCTTTTTCTACTATGCGATTGTCAGCATTCACCGGTGGAAGTCAACAAACACCATTCACAGTAACATATCTATGTCAACAGCTTAGAAATCAAATACAGAAAAATTATCCTACAAGTCAAATTTCATTTTTACGGCATCTCTTTTAGTGTGTCACTTAATTCGACCGTTTACATACTTTTATTAAGCCACCAAGAAAAAAAACGTTTTACTAAAGTTAAAGTTTTTATTTGCTATAAATAAAGGGGTAATGAGAGGAAGTTAATTATAAATGTCCTGTCACTATGTTATATCATCTAATATTTATGTAAAAATTTCAGAACAAAACTCAATGAAATTAAAAGAAAAAAAAAATCCTTAAACCGTTTTAAATTGTTGTAGACTAAGACATGTTTGATTATAGTAAGTTTGCTACTTTTTCAACTGATTTAATTTTCTTACATTCCACGCGGTCTATCTAACAGCGGTTGTCTTAGCCTAGAAATCATGAATTATTCCGGTAGTAGAATAATTGCAGCATGTTGGCAGATTTATTTTTGCCTTGCAGTCGAAAATTAGTGAAAACACGATTTTATAGATAAATTTTATAAATTTTTCCTTTTCGTATTGCAGATCAGTACTGAGATTTCTGCTATTGAGTGAATCATTTAGAAGACGCTATAGCGCGGGGGGAATTCATCGTAGTTAGTCCTTTTTACCCTCATCGACACTTGAAATTTTAGACTAAAGTGAGATCAGGTAACAATCTTACTCGTAGTTTCGAATTTTGAAGAAAAAAGAAGCATTTAAAATATCAAAATGCAAACGAATTATAAAAAGGGAAGGGGTAGTTATCCCGTAATGATTTGTTTACATTTTGATATTGCGAAAGACATCTTTTTTGACATTTGAAACTAAGTTAACTTCAGCTCACCTTTCTCTGAATTTAAATTTTGAAATAACATTGGAGGTGAGACAGAATTTGTTATGAAACGTATTTGACACTGCAAAAAGCCTTTTTAAAATGATTGGCAATTTGTAATTGTCTCTGCACCTAGAACAGTCTCACAAATGTCACAAATCAATGGCGTACTAGACTTAGGTGCGCCTCTCTACAAGAACTATAAATGCTCCCTATCTTAGACTTAATAGAATATTTTTTAAAATGTAATATGAGACAAGAACACTATGAAGAGACATTCGGGATTGTCGAGATGTCAAAATTGTTGGGATTTTTAATACCATGATTCGTAGTGATTACCATCGAAAAAAGCTATCAAGAAAGACTACATTGATTTAGATTTGGCGCGTTCAAAAACTTAAATGCGCAGTTAAAAATTTCTGATTTTTTTAAAGTTTTAGGTTCAGATGCTACCACGAACGGCAGGTTGTGCACCCCTAATAAACTACATGACATGTAGTGTAGTGTTTCTGGGTCATGCGCCCCCTTCCCCAGCTCCGCGGGGGTTTCGAGGGTGTTATTTACGCCACTGTTACAGATACAGGGCCAGGGGTAAAGCCCATCATCTCGGCTCTATATGTAATTGAAATTAAACATTGAGGAAATACGATATGTTTCCGATTCTTTAAATATTTTTCAGGAAGATGAAAAATTAAAACATGACGTAACTTTATGGGTAAAGTTTCAAAACAAATCTTACCAACAGATTTCTTTTCGATGAAGGTTAAGACAGCAGCTTCCCAGACGGGTCCTTTTAAGAAACCCACCAAGGATTCGAAAACCCAGGAAAAGGCTTCATCGTCGGCCATATTGGAGGTGAAATTTTCTTCGGACGGAGTGTTGATTTTTGGTAAGGGACAATTGTGTCCCGCCACCAAACTATGCTTGGTTCCCATGGTTACCCGATACAACACACTGCACGCACCATGAAACAACAGGCTGCACCGACGGCGACGGGGATTCTGTGTGCCGAACAAAAAAAAAGAATCTCCTTTTTACAAAACACAGATCGCGGCGGGAACATAATTGGTCCGAATTCAATGTTTTTAACTAAAGGTTTTCAATAACACTATCTCTACGTCTGTCGAGAGACAGTTGTTTTCCTTTTCCTCTTTGCAATACATTAAATTTCTATAACTGTCTCGTTTGTTAGAATGTCGTATCCACAATCGAATTAATCTGATCGTTGTTAGAGAAGTAAAAAAAAAAGAAAGAAATACGCGAAGACAGCGTACGTAATGAATCACGAATGCCTGGAATGATTAAATTGTGTTCTAACTCATTTTTAGTAGGTAAATAAAACACCTCATTAAACAAAATAAATTATAACCTCTTTATAATGAACCCGGGATACAGTGAACGCTTTTTAGAGGTCCCGGGCGACATGCTATTTAACTAATGTTATTTTATACGCTTATAGCGACTGACCGATAAAGTGGTAATTCATTTATAGAGCAGTCATATTGTTTTGTGAGTATTTAAATAAATGTTACAGAATTTTTTAGTCCATGTGAAAAGTTTTAAAGTAAATAATTGTTACTTATAATTCAGAATTGATTAATGCACACACTATTGATTAATACACATAAAGGACTAGTTAAAATAAGTTATTTCGGTGAATTGAATATTGCGAATAGTTCATGAAACGTGCACACGGGAGAGCGAATTGTTTGCAAAAAAATTCCGAGTTTAAATTGTAACTTACGACAAAAAGACTTTTGTTTTTATTTTATTATAATTTTTTTTTTTTACCAAAAATCGGAAAATAAACGAAAACTGAAAAAATAAATATCTAAAAAAATTTGTTATTGGGAGAAAATTACTTTGTTAAATGGAGAATCTTTAAATGCTATTTAACGTTTCGATTAAAATTCTGATCATAGGAAGAAATTCACTGTAAGAAAATTTCGTTGTAAAGAATTTTATTTGGTTAGTTAATAATTCATAAAGTAAATTAAATGCTATTGCAATGACTATTTCCACAAAAAAAAAATTTCCACGGATTTTTGATATTGCTTATACGATGTAAAAAGTGCTTGCAAATTGAATATAATTTTCAACGTAATTTGGGAAAGTAATTAAAATGTAATTAAATGTTCAATGTAATTTGCATGCAAACAGAGTTTGGAATGTGAATTTTTTCCTTCCATTTTATGTTTGTTTTAAGTAACGAAAATAATCCCCTCTCCAAATAACTCATCCTATAAAATCAAAATTCTTAAGGCCATTTCTCGTTTAATAATTAAAGATCTTTTTTTATATAATTTTTAAGCAAACAAAATTAGTTTAAGACTCTTAACATTTCGATGCAAATGAAGTTTACATGAAAAAATATAATAATAATAACAATCTAACGAAGTAAAAAAAAATGGAAACAATTTTTTATTTAATTTACCAAGTTTAGCAAAACAATTTACCTTTTTCTGATGATAATAATAATTTGCAAGGTATCCTAGGCTGGTTGTCCTCTGCTGTTAAGGACATTCAAGCTAAAGCAGATAAATGCAAAAAGGTAAACACATGTTTCTTGAGTCAATGAGCCATGAGATAGTCATTTCGTAAAGCAACATTCATTTCATTGCATGTGAAATCAATGTTGTTGTTGTAGTCGGCCATTAAGGCAGAGAGGGTGCGCTTGTTCTTTTTTTTCAGTGGCGCCATCTATGGCCAAGAATTCGACTTCTGTCACACCCGTTTATAGAGCTGACCCATTCATACATTCAACTACAGATCGTAATTTTGACCTGACCCAGAGAACGATCCATCTCCAACTCAGTACCTCCAAAGGTATTGATTTGTTAAGGGAACATGGAGGACTTTGTAATCCGACAGATTTAATGTGCACCAGTCACCATTTACTACGTGGGGGAGTCTTCGGCCGGATGGATTCGAACTCCCATTCTCTCAAACATGAGTCAAGTGCCCTGCCAACTAGGCTATCCCGGCCTGTGAAATCAATGGTCAAATGAAATAACTCTTCTGTCTCTCTCTTCTTTTCGTTAAGGTCTTTTTTTTATTCATTTATTATTTTTTTGCTTATAATAGTATGGAAAGGAGTAAGAAAGGCAAATAGTAAAAATAAAAAACTACTTAAAATTATAAACTTATCATACAATTCACGAAATCAAACGGTTTACAGTTCCATTGATTAGCAACGTTAAAACTTTAACTTAACGTTTAACTTTAATATAGTGATTCAAAGAGTATAATTTTTATTTTCCGTTAGAATCCGTGAATTATGCTATTTTTTAAAAAAAATAAAACTTTTGAAACTTCTGAATGTGTCCACACCATAAAGGAAGCTTTAAATATAATTATTGGAAAAGGGTCGACTTTAAACTAAATATGCTTAACTAAACTGTTTTTTATTTTGTTTCCACTTTTTTTCTTCACATAAACTTTCCATTCACATCAAAATGTAAAGATTTATATTCTAAATTTCGCTTGCTTAAAAACTAAAAGGATCATTAAATATTAAATGAGAGATGCCCTTATTAAAATGTTTGATTTTAAGGGATGAGACTCGGAAAGGGCCATTTTTGTTGCTTACAACAAGTACACAATTGAGAAAAAAACTCACATTCTATGCATGATTTATGTACAAATTGAAAAAGAGATACTTAAAAAATTATGGTTTTAGGAACACTGTGGTTATTCGGAAGCTGGAAGGGTGTAAAAGGGCCAACCCTTTTCTCAGGAGCTCAGAGTAAATTGTTGAGGGAGTGGTAAAGCTCACATGAGTGTTGTTAGAAGTTGAAATGAGATAAAAAGTTTGGAAAGATGGGTAAATAAATAAATAAAATAAAAAAAATAAGTAAAGGGAGATTCACCAAAAATTATGATTTTGGGGAAGGTTTAGTAATAATTATGGTTATTGGGGGTATAGGGGGGACAATTTTTTATTTAATATTAGATCACACACCAGAATTTCTTATTAATTTCAAACCTCCATAAATTATTCTCTTCTAGTGCCTTTGCGGGAGTAGTCATCATTCCCATACACAGAATTCAATGATAACTTTACCTACGGACACATTGTTGGCACAGCATTGGTAGGAAATTTTCTCGAGTTTTCAAATATGCATACAGAAATTTGCTGTCTTAAACAGCGAAAAAAAATTGAATAAAAAACTGGATTTTTCCAGAAAATTTTTTTATGGGGGAAAAACTTTGGAAGCAAAATACGGATTCGTGTTCAGCACTCCCAAAAACTCAGTATACAAAAAAAATAAATAAATAATAATAAATAAATAAAAACTCCCACTAATTTTTCCAGCTAAAATACTTTATTGTCTGGACTATTGTAACAGTTGTTTAAAATGCTACGATGAAAATTTCATGATTTTTTGATTTCTAAAAATAGCATTTTTCTTCGACCCACTAATTTTTGGGCAAATAGATGAATTTTCATTCAAAATTTCATTGGAAAGTTACAGTTAAACACTGACACGGCTAATTTGAAAAAAAATTTTCTTCATAAAATTGAGATTAATAAAAATAGATTGATCAACGGAAATTTAATTCAATTTCCAATTCAAGAGATAGAATGACGAGTGTTTCTCTTCCATCTAAAACAATAAAAATATCATTAACAACCTATATTTACAGGGTATTCTTAAAAGAACTTCCCCTGGATATGGAATAGAAGTCTATATGCTTGACTATACTTATTTAACTAAATTGACGCAAGTTTTTACTTATTTATTTTATAATCGTCGTTGAACAACCGACCCAATTATCGGTTTACGACTACCAACGTTTAACTCCGTTGCCTTGTAATTTTGAACCCCATCCAGAAGACAAGGGAACTAATGGAGCAAGTATTGCGAGAAATTTGCCATCGTGGACTTTTTGATGGAACTAACCCGCATTTGCGTCACATAGAGAGGAAAACCACGAAAACCTCCCACGGTTAGCCTGACGGCAAGGGGACTCCAACAAATGATCCGTCTACCGCTGAGAATATTTTACACCAGCACTGTGGTTGATGCGAGCCGGATGGGAAATTCGTATTGACCAGTCATCGCTGGGATTTGAACCCAGTTTACCTCATTGGAAGGCGAACGCTCTATCCTCTGAGCTCCCGGCTCAATTTTCGCTAATTTGAAAAGTGTGATAATTTAAAATAATTAAGAGCTCACAGTTACGGTTACGAAAAACAAATTTTAAAATCCACAAATGATTAGAAACTTATATTTTAGAAATATAATTATCATTATAAAATAAAATAAAATAGAGTTAGAAAGAAATTTGAGCACCAGGAATGAACGTCGCTAAACAGAGATGAGGAAAATGAAGGTGCAGCACATAAAAATAACTAATTTCCTTACTCTTCTCGTTCTTATCAGAGCGTTAAGTAGAGCTGAGCTGCCCACACATTGAAAGTCCGTAAAATCCTCTTTGTAGCNGCGAAGAACTACTTTTCAAAGGCGGAGTATTACATTTCCTACCTTTCTCTCCAGTGCCAACTTAAGGTGGAATGGACTATAGTACCTCCGTTTTTTACGTTAAAAATATCATTGTAATTATAGTTTCTTAATGTAAGGATCACTTTTCGTAGAAAAAAGAGGTGGTGTTGCTACAAGAATATTTTTTTTAAAATTTGTTCATTGCAACCATGAAAACTTAATTTTAAGACATCACTTCAAGAGCTCACCAACCTAAAAATGAGGATATCTGAAATTTAATTTCGATTGATAAGGCGAATAGGCTTTGTGTTCTTGCATCCTCCTGAGACACAAAATTCGGATAATAAAAGAAAATGCGATTTTTAAATAGAATAAATACCATAGCTTAGAAAAAATTTGATATTTTTTTCTGTAAAACTTTTAGTTATTTTTAATAATTACATAAAAATGATAAATTTTTGTTTTAAGCAAATTTTGCATATTTCAGGAAGTATTTTTTTTTTCTTATCCTGTCATGAAACACTCCACTAGACACTCAAGTAGTAAGTTTATTTATATGCCATAAAACTGTTGTTTGGATCAAATTTCTTACCTTTCTAATATTTTTTCATTTTAATTAAAACCTTCTACCAAGTAGAACAAATCACGAGAATTTTTTACACAGACAATCGTTTTGTAAAGGCATACAGATAGAAAAAAAATCATAAAATCTTATTTGTTAAGCAATAAAATTGTACCAAATGTTGCCCAATACATTTTTGTCTCAGAAGGATATTTTACGATGTATTCCCAAAACATGACTTAGTAAGAAAAAAAAAAACAATTCAGGAAAATTTAAAAAAAAACTTTATTAGACATAAATACATAGATTATTTATTAATAATGAGGAAAAAAAACACACAACTTAATTCGGTTCAGAATAATTTTTCGACATAAATTATCATGGGTGCACAGATGTTATGATAATTTTCTTTGGTTTCTGAAACTTTTATAAATTAAGTAAAAATATTTAAAAAAGCTGTACAAAATTAGTTTTTTTTAAAAAAACTAATGTTTTTCTTGAATTGTGAAGAATATTTAGTGATTTTTTTTCGTTTTTTTCTTCTTCTCTTTTTTCAGAAGACTTTAAAAAAATCGAAGGGATTACTGTACTTAAGAGGCTTCTATCCTTGCAATCTTTGATTTTAGGTTAAATTATTGCTTCGCGCTTTCTTTATATTTGTTTTGAGCTTATCAAACTTTTGATGATATATTGATACCTCAATATCTTTAAATAAAAGTTAGAAAAGAAAGGAGCCGCTTTATTAGATTAGGAAAAAGCGCGTGATTCTATTTAGGACATCTCAAAACTTTAAAGCAATAAAATGATGCGATGTAAAGCCATTTAAAACAACACTCCTTTTTTTTCTTTTTCTTTTTTCAAAATTTAATTTTATTACAGTTTAAACGAAAACGATTTGGATGATGCTGAAAAAAAAAACATTTAACGCCGATTGCACAAAAACAAAGATTATAAAGAATCTAGTAAAAAGTCAAATGCATAGTATTTAACGACCATTCAAAAACTGATGATTACAGATCTGTATTGGTACAATTTTGTTCGAATAAATGAATAAAGAACATAAAAGGCTTTATATCTTTTTATTCTTTATTTATATTATTAGATATCTTGTATTTATATCTTTATATCTCAGGTTCTGATTGGGGGACCCCCTTGTATTTTTCGGATTGAAATATATTGCAGAACAGAGTAAATATTTTAAATCAGTTTATTAGTGAATATGAAATAAAGATGATTAAAAGCATATTTAGAATTTGTCTCCACCTTTTCGACAGTTAAATGAGGACGAGAGGCCTCTTAAGTTTATTTATAGTTACCACAAGATAAAATTTGAGTAATACATTATTCATGCAATGAAATAAAACAAAAAAAATAAATGCATATAAGTAACAAGCTTGGTAAAGAGATCAGATATTATAAATGGGCATTAAGAAACACAAGATTACAAAATGAATAAAATAAATTCTTCATGTATGAAATTATACCCTTTATGGCATAAGTTAAAAAAAGAAAAGACAAATACCACCATTATTGCCAAATTTCACCCCACATGTGTACAGGATCATCAGTCAAGGCTTGAAACTGACTTCCTTTATAAGACCCGTAATAAGATTAAAGATTCACGGCAATGACATTTGAAAAAAATACTTTTTTAAATACAGTAGAGTCCCAATTATCCGAGACCCGGTTATCCGAGTTTCCGCTTTAACCGAGCTATCAAATATTTCAAGGATTTTTTTTGTTCTATTTATTTTTAAAAAAACCGCTGAAAAATAAATCTGAATTTTATCTTCCAAACACTCAGAAAAACAAAATCCAACAACTTGGTCTGATGAAATATCGTCAATAATGATAATGAATCTAGCGAAGATGATGAAGAGCGTGATTATTAAAATCAACATATAAAAATCTCTCATACAGATGGACTAAAAGCTATCGAATGTACTATTGAATATATAGAACAACAAAAAGAGGCGACACCAGCCTTACTGTTATCCCTAAAAAAGGCGAAACATTACTACAGAAAAGTGCCAAAGTTACGTAGAACGAAACGCGATTAAGGACTTTTTTTAAGTAAAATTTATTTAATTCTCGTAAAGTATGCTTTTTAAATGTTTTTAAGTAAGCTTTTTAATTATAATATGAATTGCATGTGGTATACTCGTATACATTTTGTATTTCTTAAATATATTACATTTATACCTTCTCTTTTTCTTTCCGTTTTTATACTCTTCGCTTTAACCGAGTTTTTCAGTTAACCGAGTTTGTTGTGGTCTCCATTAACTCAGATAATTGGGACTTTACTGTAATTATAAAAACGACAATTTTTCAACAAAAAAAAAGTTACTTTTAATATTGATTTTCGAAACTTTTGTTTTCGATTTTATCTTACAGATGAAATAATAACGAAGGCAATCGTTTCCTTAAATTTAGGGGCTCTTTATAGAAAGAATACAAAACTAGGGCCTCTTACGATTCTTTACAAGATTTTACAAAATCTAAGTTATAGAATCAGAAAAGATTTATTTAAACAACTTTAGATAATTATTTAAGCAGAATCCTTAATACTCATTTCTAAGATCAATAATGTTCCATAAAAGGAGTATAAATATTAAAAATACGAAAAAAATTAAAAAAAACTTTTTTTTTAAACGTTTGTATTTTTAAAAAAAAATAGCAATGAAGAAAAAGAAAAAGAATCTGTTAGTACTCTTATCATCAGAATTTTTCATTGCAACATCCAACAAGAGTATGGCAAAATAAATCCATGCTTTTACTATTATAATTAAGGCTATTAAAAAACAATATTAAGTAAATTTTAGATTGTTTCTCTTACAAAGTTGCTAGTTTTTTTTTACACCCCTATATGTTTGGTTGGGTGCCATTTGGTAAATAAAAGTTTTTAAGGTTGTAATTAAATAAAAACAGAGAAATTTACACATGAGTTTTGATGATTGATGAACAAAACTCTCTTCGAACCAATAAAAAAATTGGCTTAACGTCACATAATAATGATAATAATAATAATAAAAACATTAATGTTTAAGCCAGTAATTCTGCCATAATTTTAAAATTACTACAAATTATCAACAAAAAAATAAATAAATAAAGTTAATGTACACAATAATGATAATAATAATAACAAAAACATTAATGTTTAAGCCAGTATTTCTGCCATAATTTTAAAATTATTACAAATTATCAACAAAAAAAAATAATAAAGGGCCGAATCATAAAAGTTGGGTTGCACTCGCTGAGCACCCTGTGTGATGGTTAAGCCACACTAGCAAATGTAAACAGTAAAAACAGACACAAATTTTTTCTTCTTTTGAAAAATAGGAAACAATGACTAGCGCAAAAAGAAAATATAAAAAAAAGACAAACTAAAATTGTAAATAATAAATACTAAGAAAATCTCATCCTAAAAGCATAAAAATACTACATTCAAAGCTCGAAAACAATCTATTAAGAAGAAATAAATGTAAGATATACAATACATTGTTCAATATGCGTACATGTAATAAATGACGTGCACAGTATTGAGATACACATTACAAAATTCCACAACAATTTATGTAAAAGTATAGAGCATTATGTACTTAAAATATAAATTTAAGTCAATAAAGGAATTTGCCATTTTAATGCAAACTAGAAGTAGACTTACAAATCAAGGCTAACTATGACTGAAAGAATTGAATCAGTTGGTAGCAACTGCACTATGATAAATTAAATAGATCATTTTTATCAGAATTGTGTCATAGCGAAATTGCCTCTTTAGGAAAACAAAGACAAAACAGGTAGATTTTGTTGTGGTGGTTCATTTATGTTGCACTTTAAAGCTGCACCAGTGGGCTAGTGGCGATGGTCTGGGAAACAACCCTGAGGGTGATCCAAAGACATGCCATCACAATTTTGCTCCTCTGCAGAGGGGATGGCACCCCCATCCCCGTCCATCGATCAGCACGCGAAGTCGAGCACTTTACGGTAGAACAGTTTAACGAGAACCAACACCGTACACCATCGGTCCCTACACATACAAAACAGGTAGAAAGAGGGCAGGTGAATAAATAGAAGAAAAAGGTTTTCCGTTATTCAAATTATTCAAGAGGATGAGATAACGCTGGTATAGCGTGAGGTTGCGTAGTTTGCTTTCATTTTTCGGGAAGCAAAGATAGCTTCCAATTAGTATTGACGCTCTTAATAATGTGAGTTTAGACATTATTTTCTATGACAGTTCTATTTTTTCTTTTGATGGTCTTGAAGATTGGGATTAAATCTTTTGTGAATTTGCATTAAATACGTTTAACTTCATATTTCGGTTTTCTTTATTTCATTTGTTTATTGTTCACTGATTACAGGGGTTGTGATATCATGCTGACATTTTTCATATAAACAAATTGATAACAAATGTCGTAATTAAAAGCTAACTGAAGTAAAATATAATTCAGAATATTTTGTAATTACATTTCTAAAATCTATTTAATTAAATTATATGGTTTTATACATTGTTTATATTTATTTCCTGTAATTACGATTATTAACATTTTTGACAAACACGTTGATTTTTTTGTTTAATAATCAGTACTGTTTAACCCCTACCCCTACAAAAATGCAAATTTTTTGTCAGAATTAAAGGGAAAGATTAATCTGTATTTTATCCCATTGTTTATAAATTAGCCTTTTAGCAGATGAGATCATTGAAAGACAATTCAGATTAAAAGTTTCTCAAAAAGGTTACTGTACTATTATATTGTTATAATTGTATATAGAGATCAAAAAATAATAATAAAGAAATTACAATATAGCAACATATAACATGAAAAGAAGTAGACAGAACGAACTTTTAATAAATACTAAAATTAAGTAAACATTCCTTAAAAAGCAGATACAATAAATAAATTTTTGGTAATATCACACATTGTTATTAAAATCACATAAAAATACTAAATTGAAAGCACTAAAATCTAATGTGACTATCAAAATTGCAAAACAGCGTAAAAATAACATGCTATTATCATTAGTTACAATTTTTTTTTTTTTACATATTTATAAATTTTTTTTGCTATTAACATTCAAGAGAATTAGATGGTAGAATGGCAATCTACCATCAAGACATTATTCAGGGGCCATAAATTCACAGGGTAGGGCCATAAATACACCAAGCATTAAACAAAAAGTTTTAGATAATGAGGCTATGTAACCCGTATATTTCATAAGAAAGCAAACTCCTAAGGGGCTTAATTTAAAGGCATATCATTAATACATCTGTATGAGTTTAAATGATTAAAAGTTACAAATCTTTTGTAAAAGGAATTAGAATTATTTTAATTGGGGGATTTTTTATTGGAAAATTTTGATTTTAGTGATGAGGAAGATTTGAGAGGCTATAATAAAATGAAATAAGGAAAAACTTCAATCACTTTAGATAATTTGATAATGGTTGATCGAAATTTATCTTTGATAATTTAACATTCCATCACACAGTATTTTGGTTAAAAAAAAATTTTTTTTTAGCACTGCAACACTGGTTAGAAAGATTTAGTTTATAGTTTGAAATAAAATATAGCATAAAAAATAACTTCATATCAAATGCTCAATGGATAAAAAATATATAAACATTACATATCACTAAAAAGAAACAGTAAACTAGAAAAAATGAATTAACTTAAGAATAATTAACTTAGAACTAAAGAATTAACTTAAAAAGAAATAAGCTTAGAAAGTAAGAAAATTAAACTTAAAATGTTTAAGTTAATAGCGTTTAACTTAAATGTTAAGTTTTCTAATTGCATATTGAAGAAAAAAAAACTTAATTATAATAAATAACAGATTTTTTTTTATTTCCAAAGGCCTAATATAAATAACAGACATACAATAGTAATAAAATATGCATATTTGTTTCTGTTTTTTTCCCCTTCATTTTATAAGTTTGATATTAAAATACTGTTTTGAAAATTAAACTAATTTCTTATGATATATAGGATACTAGCTTAGTAGTTACTTGTTTAATTAAGTTGTAAGTTGATAAGTTAAATTATAAACTATGTACATTTTAATGAATTACAACAGTATAAGTGGTATAAAATTTGATAAACACCCACACTGACTCAACCCTGAATGAATTGATTTTTAGAATCATGGACTGCAAGTGTTCATCATACATAGGCTTCATTTTGTTTCTCTAATTTTTATCAATTAGATAACTATTTAAATATACATTAAAACTTTCTCATCAGTAGTAACTGTTGTAGAATCTTATTAAAAAATCTTTTAAGTATCATAGTCTTATAAAAAAAAAATCTTAATAAAAACTTCATAATCTAAAAATTTAGTATAAAGGTTTCATTTGTATAAAATTAACACGTAAAAATATATTTCTTATCATAAAAATAAGTTTTTCAAGTGACATTATTTATAGAAGGATGAAAAATAATTTAGAATGACATTTCCTTCAAACTTTATATAATTTAGAAACATTAGGCACTTTGGCTACTGGCACGTAGTGGCAGTATTAAAGTTATGTAATGTTGAATGTATATCAATGGCAATGCAAGCTAAATTTATTTAAACATTTAACTTTCAACAGATTTTAATTTCTTTACCATACAAATATATGATTCTGCATTTTAAACAAATTTAAATATTGTTAGAAAAAATATTTTTTTATCTTGATATTTAGTTATGAATCTAATAACTATTCACAATATTTGATGATTATTTTAAAAAAACCATCTGATTAAAAAAAGAAAGAAATTCAAATGTATAATATAAAAGCTTTAGTTGTATATGTTACATCTTAATATTTTAATTTTTTTACAGTATACATATCTTCTTTGGCTAAGAAAAAAATTCATTTACAAAAATATGAATTATGTATAAAAATATTAGGAACATTAACTAGGATGCATGTTGTGTTTCAGGATGAATAAAATAACTCCTTAAAATATGTAAATTACAAACCTATTTAATAAATTTCAAAGTAACCTGCCTTAATGCATTCCTGTACTTTGAATACACAAGTTTATCACGCAAATTAAGTCCTCAATTGATACTGCTTTTAGGTCATAAGTTCTTAATATCTTTTAAACATATTCCTAAATAAAAAATCGATTTGCAGATGCACCAGAAAAAAAACTGTAAAATAAAGTCAGAAGTGGGAAAGCACTAAAGCAGCATAAAATAAAAATTAGTCTTCAAATAACTTAATAAAAATATCAGCAAATTATATTTAAATTGTAATAGAAGAGTAAACTGAAACAGAACAAAGAAACTTCATGGTGAAGAATGGTTTTTATCTCCTAATATATTTTCTTATGTTTTCCAAATTAAATCTGTTTAGTAGATAGCAACACAGAGTGACTACATTTTGGTTGGTTCTAAAATGTTTTTAATCTGGCAGTTCAGATTTCTTTATTATTCCGTTCTCTGCTGGCAATGATATTTATATAAATGCTAATTTGATAATTCATCTCCAAAGACAAAAACAGACACAAGTCAAACACACACATGTATTTGAGACATCAAACAAAAAAAAAAGGCTTGAGAATAATATTTTGTTCCTTGGCGAGTTTTTAACGATTTTTTTTCTGAATACTTTATTTATTTTCAGTTTATAAATTGTATAACATTTCATGTTAATCTGATTTTATATTTTCTATATTTCAGATTTTTTCCCCCAATGGGGTTTCAGGGCACAAATAGCAATTTGGTTTTGTTAAACAGTAATAGTAATTCGCAGAAAAGTACCCTCATAAATGTATGCAGAGTGTCCCCTGATGAAGTCCTGTATTGCATTCATGTTTCTTTTGTTCTGTTTAAACTTACTTTTCCATTAAAATTTGCTGCAGAGTTTCTGCTACCAGGGTCAGAATTAAAAGCATTCTGATTAAGGATTTAAGAGTTGTTTCTAGAACTTTCAGACCAAAGTACGGATATCAAATGAATTATGGCAGGTTGAGGTTATTTTGAAACACATAAAAAGGGAAGGTAATATACACAACATTTTAAGGAGTCATTAGATTGTAAATTAATAACCCTATCTTGTAGATATAAAAAGACACATAACTTTACGTTATGCAATTGTTACTATGAATGACCAAAATTGGTGGTTGCTGACTTCCATCGGTGAATGTTGACAATCACATACTCGCTTTGATAAATGTCCTAAATACATACTAGGTCCAGTTCAGTGCCACTGCCTGGTATACATTTGCCCGGTATGTCCTATATCAATATTTTTTAAGGTCACAGCCCAACATGCATTTAACCGATGTTTAGCATTTAATTGGTAGCATGCGTTTAACTGGTGTAACACTGATTTTCTTCCAATCTATCCTCAGTAAATATTGAAATATCGAATGAATATAATAATATCAACGAATAAATTAATATAAAATCAGATATAACAAATATATTTAGACATTCACCAAAGCGACAATGTGATTGTTGACATTCACCGGTGAAAGTCAACATTCTCTTGATTTCGGTCCTTCACATTAACACAATCACAACATTCGGAACTGAATATTCAATTAACCACAGATGATACACTTAAGCAGCATTGCTGTAAGCATACACCAAAGATACTGAAAAAGCATGATAAAGCACCACCACACCAGTGGCAGCATATGCTGTCATTTTGATCAGATTTTATGGGCACAGATTCAGATTGAAGCACGTGTGAGACAGAATCTACATCATGCTGCTTAGAACTCCTTTTCTGGGACTCTTGAACAGAATAAAACCCTGACCTGCATGGAGGAGATAAGGCTACATCTTGTAGTTTGGGACTCTTCCTTACAGTCTCCTGTACAGTGTAAGACCCTGACCGATGCTGGGGAGTCAGTGATTTTCTTTGAAATGATGTCAAGCGATTCGACTCAGATTCATATTGATCAGGATAGGTCCAATTGTCATAATCTCCGTAGGGCAAAGGTCGCTTTTGAGTCTAAAAAATAAAATGACACATGAAGTAAATTTCCCGCAAAAAATAAAATTGCAGAAACATTTATTAACACTTCTAAAGACTCCTTATTGCAGAATAAAAACTATGTCCTTCAGAAAATTTATGCTTTACTTAATTACGTAGTTAGAATCCAAATTTAATTTAATACCTGATGAAGAAAGGCATGAACAAAATTTAATTCACTACCTGATGAAGGAAGAAATAAAAATTTAACTTACTAATGAACAAAAAAATGAAAAAAATTGGAAAATTTATTATCTTACTACTACTACTTACTTATTTACTACTTGGAAAATTTATTATCCTAATAAAGAAATGCATAAGCAAATTTAATAATCACAAATATACCATTATTCGTAATTTATCATACATATTGCAAATAATATGCTTTCTTTATGACTGTTGTGTGTTTGTAACTTTTATTGTAATTATTATTTTTTACATTTTCTTTTTGATCTGCTTGCTTTTCTTCCATTTAGCTATGGATCTGTGGCTTCAAGAATCATTTTACCCATTTCAAGACATTTGCATACATTTAAGATGAAGCAAATATTGAAGGAAAATTTTGGCGTAAAACTATCCTTAATCTTTTGGACTATACCAGATACTGAGCAGCCACTGCTTTTCTAATGATGGCCATGTACAATTTCCCCCACACTCACCTTTATTGACTTAAGATCGTCAACAGTTTTTCTGGCCTATGTTGGGGTGACTAGAAAATGAGTGCAGACCTTAAACTATCCTTAACTTAGACCGTAAAACTATCCTTAATCTTTTGGACCATACCAGATACTGAGCAGCCAGTGCTTTTCTAATGATGGCCATGTACGATTTCCCCCACACTCACCTTTATTGACTAAGATCGTCCACAGTTTTTCTGGCCTATGTTGGGGTGACTAGAAAATGAGTGTAGACCACCTCCTTTTCGGCCCGGTTCTGAACGCCATTTATCTACTCTCATTATTAGGATACTTTTAACTAATTTCACAACTTAAATTTCTCCCTTCTATTTCTCTTTAGTTAATCACTTTTATTTGTTTATACTTTGCTTTTTTATGTTAGTTCCATTTGTGTATTTTCTCTCTAGTGATGAAAGACCAGTGTTCATCCTTCTGCTGCATTGGAAATAAAAAATACAAAAATATTATAACACTTTCCCCCCTCCTAAAAATCATTATCAAGAATGTTGAGTACCTTAACAATCATTTATCTACAAATTAATTACATATAAGCTAAATAATTAATTACAAAAATGCATGTTTTTTTAAATAAACTGTATGCCAATTTATTGTATGATGAACTATTTTAGCTAGCAGTCATATGGTAAATTGGATTTTATTGCACAAGAACAAATGACAACCATAACTTTTGCTAAAATATTGTTTATTGGTATAAATCCATTTTTATTTGCTCTTTTTTGTTAAATTTTTAATTATGACAATATCTTAAGAAATTATTTTTAAATATCAGAGTGGGTATAAGGTTTTGATAATTTTTTTTTGCTTTCATTTACTACGGAAAACATAAAACTTGACAAATTTGTCTAACTCTTATCAAGAATAAAAATATCAAACATTTTGAAAAATAATTCATTCCATTGCAAATACATATAAAAATAAAAAAGAAAGAAAAAAGATACTTACAAATGGAGCTAGAGTCGTAAACCAGTGATTTCTATAATTAAAAAATAATTTTCAATACAAATTACACATACAATTTAATTCACATTCTTGCCTATTTTCATAATAAACAACTTTTAAATAATATTAAAACAAATCAATGTCATTCAAAATTGTTTTTATTTATTAAATACTCATATTTGTAAAGTAAATGATGAACAATTAAGGCTGGTGTATCCTTCCATTGATATTGTGCTAAGTTTGAACTGTGAAATTTAAAAAGTCGAATGATACATTGGTAACAAAAACAACAAATATAAGTAAAATAACAAAATTATTTACAGAGTAGTGTTAATGCTTTAAGCAGATGGAATATAAAAAATGATTTAGAATCAAAGAACCAAACAAAACTCATTAAGTGTGAAAAAACAAGTATTTACTCATGTTCTTAGCATTTCATATTATTTTGCTTAACTTATGTTTCAAAAAAATATATTTTGAGCTGAAAAAAACATTTCAATAATTGTTTTAAATATTATCAAAAAATTATTTTTTGTATTTAATTTATATGAAACGAACATGAATTTTATACGCAGTTAGTTAGACATTTGCTTTTAACAACTGTGAGTTTTGGGTTCGATTAATATACAAGATATATGCTTTTTTGGATTTAAAAACACAGGATCGACAAATAATAATTTCTTATAATCTCATATATAATACAAAAGATAATTTTAAAATAAATTCTATTAGTAAAAATTAAAAAAAACTTTAATGCTTATAAAACGAAAAAAAAATATTTTATTGAGTAATATAAATGCAAATTTAATACATTAATTAAAGAAAATGTATAGGATTTAAAATGATTTAGATTAAAACAAAAAAAATTGAGGGAATATACTTTAGCTTTAATTCAAAATATTTGGATTTTTAAACCATGTGGAAATCTATAAAAATCACCACCGAAAAACCACATAGATTTATGACACATGCATGTCCAAAAATCATATCAAATGTGAGATTTAAAATTTCAGATTTATTTATTTGTCTATTCTGATCAGGTCATTATTTTGACTTTTCAAATCCAATATTTAACTCAAATCAATGATTTAAAAAAATCAGGCTTCTTAAATTCATATTTTTTGGTGCTTATCGGCTATAGAAAACACAAAGTCAAGTTTTCCAACATGTAAGACCACCACCACCAGATTCTCATTATCACCCATTACCCATAATTCACATCAATTGGAGAGTAAACCAACGGACAGCCCAATTGGGGGTTATCCATTACCCCCCAATTGGGTTGTATTCAATATAGCTATCATTAAATAACAAAACAAAACAAACAAAAAATTGCCATCATTACAGGTAACTATTTTTGATTCTTAATTTAATGGTTTTGTAGAATAATGTATACTAAACAGAATAAAGGAAATAACTTGGTCCAAGTGATGATGATGAACTACTATGGAAATCAAATCAATGAAAAGTGAGCTATCAATGAAAAGTGAGCTAATAAAGAAATACGAACAATTAACTGATAAATTTTGCTAAGATCTGTGATATCAGAAAAGTACATGCCATGACCTATCTTAAGCAATATTTGCAACAGATATAAAAGATTGTTTACCTATCATGCTCTGAATTAGCGAGAAACCATATTGGGGCTTCTTTTCCTTTCTTTTTGCAAATAAAAAATGTTTCTCGAACAGATCTTTGAAATGGTAGAGTGGGCACTTTATTCCAGACAGTGTCATTTGGTGCTTGAACATCCCAATCACTTGACAAGTTAAAATCTCTCTTTCTTTCATTTTGAGACAAAACTTCAATAACACCATTGCAATTCACAAAAACTTTAGATGGAATCCATTTTCTGTTGAAAAAGAATTTTCTTTTATGTGAGTATGAAAATATTGTAATTCATAAACAAAGGTTAATTGTTAATAAAAAAAAGCAATCATGCAAAATTTCTAGAATAATCTTAGTTTTTTTTTTTTTGTAATAAATAGTAACCAAAAGTCACTTAAAAATATTGTTATTAGTTAATGAGTTAAATACAAAACAATTATGTTAACTGATTTAAATGCTATTATAAAGTTATTAAAATTAATTTATTTTCATCTTTATAGCATAGACGTAAACAAATTTCATTCAGTACAAAACCTAAATTTTGTTTAAAAATATTTTAATGCAATATTAGAAATCGATGGATAATTACCGATTAAAATCAGATGTTTCCTGATAAACATACAGATTACTGACAATCAGTGCCATAAATGTTATAAATGACTATAACATTGTTTTTCAAAATAAATTGAATTCATAACTAAAAACGTTACATAAAAGTAATTAAATGGCAGTTATAATTATTTTTGCTCTGATTTAAACAGGCAATGTTAAAATTTCAGTCCTTGAACTTTTACTGCAAAATTTAATGATATTAATATTTAGCAGAAGATTTTTAAAAAAAACTACACTGATGGAATAGTGATTTTGCACAAAATAACATGCGACATTAAGTGCTGTTTTAATTTTAAGATCATAATAAAAACAAACAGACGATTTTGATCATCATATTACACAATTTTATCCCGTCATTCCGTTTATTCTGTTGAAACTGAACAGATTCTGATATGAAGAAATTACTTTATTTTCTTACTTATCGAACGCAAACTCGAGTCACATTTAAAATATTATACATATTAAGCCAATGATTACAGCTGCCAATGATTTAAAGTTTCATCCTTTTAGAAATGGCTGTTGCTTGGCTGACCGCCTTTTTAATAAATAGAGGCATTTGATTGGTCGGTTATATAATCGTTTTCATCGTTATCGCTTAATCGTTTTGTCATGTTTACTAGAATGGCGTTTTTAGCATTTTTGTTTGGCGCAATTTTAATAACGCGCATGNTTATAATTATTTCATGACACAAAAAATATATTTTATTAAATAAGTTTATCTATAAGTCTAATCTGTGACCGTGCGTAATAATTGTCAGCTGTCTTGCAAATTTAAATGCTTTATGTTTACTAACAAATGTATAATTCATAATAAATAATATTCAATTAAAAACTTATGTAAATTCTTCCTTTCATGTACACAAATGTTCTTTATTGATCTCTACAAATTAACTTTTAAACCTAGATAATTTATTTTTTTATTTATTATCATATTTTTTATTTTGTGAAGGAGACTTAGACAATGTCCAATACATGCGAAGCTTTAGATAATGCTAATATCAGTCCTGTGGGAACTAAAGTTAAACACACCAGTACACCTTTGAGAACTAGACGGAAAACCTCCAGGAGAGATCAAGGATTGGGTGAGAAGATTCAAGTTGCTTAAATAATTTATAGTTTTCCTCTATCTTAAGGTTTTTAATTTTACTTTATGAGAAGAAACTGCTATTTAAAAAAATTTTCGCATTGAGAAAGGTAGTAGGCGTAAATAGATACCGATACAGAAATATTCCCTTCATAAATTTGCTTTGAGTCTTATTGCATATTCAAATTCGAAATGTTTGTATTTGTAATGCAAAGCTGATAAAATACTTTCTAATGTCTTATCAGCGTTTTTAAAAAGTGCTTAAAGGTGCTTATTTTCAATTTTCAAAGCCCTTAAATGTGCTTTTTTCATTGAGTGTTTTTAGAAAGTGCTTAATTTTCCTTTTTCGAAAATGCTATATTTTTATTTACCATGTCGATTTTCGACATGCATTATGCAAAAGCGTGCTTTTCGCATTGTTTTATTCAACGCTTTCACAATGCATTCAACTAACTATTTATTTCGGCTGGTTTACCGTCGGTCCATAGCGTATGAATATGCCAATCATTTTACAAGCTTGATGAAATACTTGGGAGTACGCATGCGTCTGCTCAGTTGGCAGCTCTGCTGCATTGTGCAACCCTGCTGCATTTTTCAAGATATTCTCAATTTCAGGCTTCATTTTCTACCCTCCTGTTTGAACCAAAAAATCTCTTGAGCATTATAAATGGCTAATATAATCGAGAAAAGAGTTCTTTGTCAGAACGAGTTATTTTATCATGATCACATTAAGTCTTTGAAAATTATTTTGTATTTTGTTAATGTATATAGTGCTTAAAAGTATTTTTTGAGTTCTTAAAAAGTTCTTAAAAGGTGCTTATTTTTTGGTGAGAGATTTGGATATTTTTGGAATCAATCTTTGTGTTCTGATACAGTCACATACCAACATAGTATAATACGTTTTGAATTACATAATTTGTTGAGAACCATTTTTTGCATTGCAAATGTTTAGTTAGTGAAATAAAGAAAGGATGTTTTATTTATTTATTATTATTTTTTTTGGCATATTATGATCCGCTAGTAGAATGTATGGGATATTTCCATATCGTGATCTGCCACACCAAATACAATTGCACAAGATGCCAAATCGATTTAAAACGATAAAAATTTATTAAAAAAAGCATGTAGATGTTTCCCCGAGGGTGGCTATTAGTTCAAGTTCGTCCCTTTCTGTGATTTATTTTTACTCTCTCTTTCTCTGGCAGCTGACCAGCAGTTGCCAAGACTTGGCGATTATTCTGCCACAGATCACGGTGCAGAAATCTCGATACCAGGTATGGAAATGTATAGGCTTTAATAAAAAATATTAAAACCTGCTATATATTTTTTAAAGGACCATTACTACTCAAGGCACAGTACTAGGAGCAGAATTATACCTAAACGGGCAAATAACCAGATTTTTGTTAATTGTAAGTGTTCTGCAATTAGACTTTTCATAATTACTGCAAGCATTTTAAAAAGTAAACAAATAGCTCTCATTAGTTAAATTAATAGCATTATTTTTATATGATGGATATAAAAATAATTTTTACTTTGCACACTAAAGAACTATAATTATACAAATATCAAATAAAGGGATATTTCTGTATCGTGATCTGGCGTGCCAACTACAATCCTCAAAGTGCCAAACAAATTTTCAAACTTGCAAAGTTTAAAAAAAGAAAAAATATGTAAATGCTCGCCCGGGGGTAGCTATGAGTTATATCTTTCGAATTGGAGCCTTTTTGTGATGTTTTTTTTAGTATCTCGTGGGCCGCTGCCAAGATTTGGCAATAATTCTGTCACAGATAACAATAAGGAAATCTTCCCTCAAATTATTAATAAATGTTAACATAATGAAATAAAAATAATTTTCCCCATACAGGATTTCTGCTTTAGGAGCTATAACATGTCAAATATGCTTAAAATTTAAAAAGGGACACAAAAAAATTATTATTCATAATTCTTCAGTGCAAATTAGTAGCCAAAACTATAACCCAATTTTAAATATCTATGCATAGACAAATTCTTTTTATTATTTATCAGTAGTTGAAGGAGTTATGTAGAATAATCTGCATATCATATTACATTGTTCCATTTTCCTGGTTCAGGTGCTTGCCCAATTAAAGCCTTGATTATTTATTAACACTTTTCTTGTTTTGAAATTTTTTGTTTTGTCTATCAATAAATAGAATAATTGTGAGTTAATAAAAAGGTAGAGAATTTATATTTTAAATAGGGAATGCTTTTAGTAAAAAATGACCTTGATGTTCTGGTTCGTAAGAACTTCAAGTTTCCGAAGTGATTCACTGAGAATATGCAAATTTCTTTGCGACTTCAACTTAAATTTTTCTGACAATATTACATAATCCAGACAAATTTGCTTATGGACACATAATTGAAAATAGTTTTGTACAAACATAAATTTTTCTGTTGGAACTTTGATTGTTCTGGTACTTGTGCACTTTCAGTCCTAGGGGTACGAACATGCTGATCAGTGTCATCTGTTCTGTTATTTGTTGTGCCTCAAAGTCTATTGTATCATCTGAGGAACAATAAATTTAAGAGTGATTAGTGTCAAAGATCACAATATCTGATACGGAAATATGAGAGAATGTTCCTTAGTATATATTAGAAAAAGACAGAAAAGCAATTGAAATTTTAAAACAAACTTTTTATACCATGATGTTATATGTTTTATTTATGCTATTCTTTGTGTTATTTTTATAAATGTTTTATTGTCTAAGCTCTCCCTTTTTATTAAGATCAAAATTTTTTTACTTCCACAACATTCTTCCAAACTTGGGTTGTAGTCAGTTGTAATGTTCCTTGACGTCTAAAATGCTTCATTTTGTTTTATGTATATTGCCTTAGCAAAAAAAAAAAATTATTAAAAATGACTATATATCTATATTTTATTTATAAATTTATAGAAATTTTTTATAGCTGAAATTTTTTACATTTTAGATGTGCATACAGTAGCAACTTCAACCCCTACTCCCCATCGCTCTCCTCGACTTCAACGTCTTCGGCAAGATTCTCCAAGATTGTTGAATTCACCTTCTTCATCGATTCCCTGTTCGCAAGATGGTCACCCTGATGTTGTTTGGGACTTCACTTCCCCTAAACTAACTAAAGGTATGTTGTGGCTGACTTGTTTGGAAAAAGTGATTTTCAGGTTTGATTTTCGTCGACCTTTAAAAAGAGAAACTCATCTTACAGGGGATTCTACAACCAGGGAGCGAATTCGGAAAGGTGGTTGAGCATGCTGAAGTGGGGCGAAAAAAATGTCACAGGAGGGCTTTTATTTACAAAATCAATGCTGTGGGCTTCTTTTCAGCACTGCAGTATTCACAATAAATGTTGAAAATTATCCTTTTTTATTATCAAGTTTTGTACTCTCATCAATCCACCTCAAAATTACAGTTGCAAACGAGTTTATGTTTCGGATTATGGCTGGCTTGGCTTTCTCTGGGGGGTTCTTGGCTGGGTACTGAAAAGAGACCTCCTGCTGGAAGGTCTGGGTTGTTGAGGCCCCCCAGAGAACGGAAGGTTTTAATTATGTGCCTGGAAACTGTATTTTGCACTCTATTTTAAGAGTTATAAAGTAATTAAACTGAAACTATATTTTTTACTACAACTAAATAGGTAGAAGCAGGATAAATTAGTAATGAACTATAAATACAATGCAATAGGAAAAAGTTCATGAGTAAGCCAAGAACTCTGTTTTTATAAGAAATATGGGAGGACCATTCCTTGCTCGCAAACTCCCAAAACTGCTTACACAGTTAATTTCAAATTGCTTCGCAATCTGAAATAGTTTTGTTTGCTCTTATTGTTTTGGTCTTCGCTACTACTATCCTAGCTTTTCTTACTCACCTTTCTTTCTCACTCAATTTAGGCATTTAACTGAACATTTAAAAAAAAAATAATTCTGGAATAAGAGCAAAATTGATGAAGTTATGGCCATTTCAGTTTTGACCACGCCCCTTTTTTTACCTTTTTTTGTCTGCAGGTAACTGTTAAAATTAGTTTAGTTTAAAATTAATTTAAAATTAGATGAATATTTTGTTAATTTTTTTAAAAAAATTNTTCCATTTTCCTGATGCAGGTGCTTGATCATTCCCATTTAAAGCCTTGATTATTCATTCTTGTTTTGAATTTTTTTGTTTTTTCTATCAATAAATAGAATAATTGTGAGTTAATAAAAAGGTAAAGAATTCATATTTTAAATAGGGACTGCTTTTAGTAAAAAAAGACCTTGAAGTTCTGGTTCCTAAGAACTTCAAGTTTTCGAAGTGAATCACTGAGAATATACTAATTTCTTTACAACTTGAACTTAAAATTTTTCTGACTGTATTACATAATCCAGACATATTTGCTTATGGACACATATAACGTAATTGAAAATAGTTTTGTCCAAACATATATTTTTCTGTTGGAACTTTGATTGTTCTGGTACCTTTGCACTTTTAGTCTTAGGGGCACGAACATGCTGATCAGTGTCATCAGTTCTGTTATTGGTTGTGCCTCAAAGTCTATAGTACCATCTGAGGAACAATAAATTTAAGAGTGGTTAGTGTCAAAGATCATGATATCTGATAGAAAATGTGAGAGACTATTCCTTAGTATATATTAGAAAAAGACAGAAAAGCAATTGAAATTTTAAAACAAACTTTTCATACCATCATGTTATATGTTTTATTTATGCTATTCTTTGTGTTATTTTTATAAATGTTTTACTGTCTAAGCTCTCCCTTTTTATTAAGAACAACATTTTTAACTTCCACAACATTCTTCCAAACTTGGGTTGTCGTCATTTGTAATGTTCCTTGACCTATAAATGCTTAATATTGTTTCATGTATATTGCTTTAGTAAAAAAAATTAAAAATGACTAAATATCTATATTTTATTTATAAATTTATAAAAAATTTTTACATTCTAGATGTGCATACAGTAGCAACTTCAACCCCTAATCCCCATCGCTCTCCTCGACTTCAACGTCTTCGGCAAGATTCTCCAAGATTGTTGAATTCACCTTCTTCATCGATTCCCTGTTCGCAAGATGGTCACCCTGATGTTGTCTGGGACTTCACTTCCCCTAAACTAACTAAAGGTATGTTGTGGCTGCCTTGTCTGGAAAAAGAGACCCTAAATCTTTTGTAATAGATTTCCAGGTTTGATTTTCCTTCAACCTTTAAAAGGAGAAACTCATCTTATAGGGTTGTCCTACAATCAGGGGACAACTTTGGAAAGGTGGTTAAGCATACAAAAGTGGGCACAAAGGCAAAAAAATGTCACGAGAAGAAAAATGCATTTATTTACAAAATCAACGCTATGTGCTTCTTTTCAGCAATGCAGTATTCGCAATAAATGTTCTAAATTATCCTTTTTAATTAATATTTATTATCAAGTTTTTTTACTCTCATCAATCAACCTTGAAATTACAGTTGCAAACAATCTGATGCTTCGGATTGTGGCAGGCCTGGCTTTTTCTGGTTGCTCTCGGCTGAGTACTGAAAAGGGGCCTCCTGCTGGAGGGTAAATTGTTGAGGTCTCCCAAAGAACAGGAGGCTTTAATTATGTGCCTGGAAACTGTATTTTGCACTCTATTTTAAGAGTTATAAACTAGCTAAACTGAAACTCTATTTTTTACTACATCTAAATTAGGTAGAATCAGGATAAATTAGTAATGAACTATAAAATGCAATGCAGAAGGAAAACGTTCATGAGTAAGCCAAGAAATATGGGATAGATTATATATAGGTATATATGATAATATGATATAGGATTTATAAGAAATATGGGAGGACTACTCCTTGCTCGCAAACTCCCAAAACTGCTTACTCTGGTTTTGTTTGCTTTTGTTGTCTTGGACTTTGCTGCTACTATCCTAGCTTTTTTTACTCACCTTATCTCTTATATTTTTTTAGTACCCTAGCTTTTATACTTATATATATATTTTCTTAATATTAATTATATTTTAAACTACACTCCTGCTCGCTATTGCTTGCCAATCCTGGATTCACACTGCTTATTCATTTAATTTCAGATCGATTCACAATCTAGGGCAGAATACCGATTAATCAGCAAAATATCAAGATATTTTAGAAGTTTGATAGTTGTTAGTAAAAAAAATAATAACTCTACAATTTAAGAGTTTCAAAGTAATTTAGAATTTAAGATAAGTCAGATGTATTGTTCATTGGTAAAAGTTACGGAATAAAATAAAAAACTACATAAGTTTAGAATAAAAATTAATAGTTCAAATTTAAAATTTTAAAAATTTAAATTAACTTTTTCCATGGTAGTAAATATGTTTAAATTATCAAATTCAACACGAAAGAAATTTTTGAATAAGTTGAAACATTCAAATCGCAAAGATTTTAATTAAAAAATAATTCTTTCAAAATGATTAAAAATATTATAGTTTAGAAAAGTATTGTCTGATGTCACATAAACTTCACTTATGCAAGGAGAGAGAGTATTAATAGGAAGAAGAAAGCAGACAGAATGTCGAAGAACCCATGGGAAGAATTCCCAATATTAGTTGATATGCATTATAACATCTGTCCCCACTCTTCTTTAAAATAATCATCCATCTTTTTTAATGAAAGCAGAATACAAGATTTTGTAGCTGTCAAAAAATCAGAAAAAATACAAATATTTTGGTACTCTTTCAGAATTATATTAGAAACATCAAAATTTTAAAATTTAATAACTCAAAATATAATTTGAAATTTTAAAAGTCAAAATTTATTATTTATTTATTTTTGTCTTTAGTCATAAGTGTAATTTATTGCATAAAATTATTAAAAAAAATTTGCAATGAGTTTTTTTTTTTATTTATTTATTTTTTTTTTTTTTTNTTTTTTTTTTGTTTTTTTTTTTTTTTTTTTTTTAATATTTGTGTTGGTGACAACTTGGAAAAGTAGTGCACATGGTTCATATAATCAAAGTATCTTTCTTCCTATACATTTGTATTTAAATGTAATTTTTTTAATGTGTATTTAAAATATCAAAATGGCCTAAAAATCATTAGAAAATAAAAATCTGAATAGGAAAAAGGGAACACTTAACAATAATAATTGCATTTTTTTGTTAAAGTTATTATTGTACAAAAATAAGAAAAATTCTTTTTTTTTTCTTTCTTTTTTTTTTTTTTTAAAGAATCTTTTGTTAATTTATGATATTTTTGTCTAATCAAAATGAAGACTTGTCTACAAAGTGCTGTCTCTTTGCAGACCATTGTATAATGATGTTATTTTGTCTACTTCAGTGCATATTTTCAAACTGCTAAAAAATTCTTCCTTTTTTTGAATTAATATTATGGTCTTATTTATTATTATTTTAAATTATTCAAATTTCTTTAGATTTTGATCTAAAATTAATATTTTACAGGATCTAGGAAAAGAGATTTAAAAATTACTGTGCAGGAATTATTAGAGAATTTAAATCAAACTCAGGTAAGAGGTTTGTTTAGTTTTTAAGATGAGTGTTTTATTATACCATTGCTTAAGCATGCATTGATTTTAAGCATTATATGGCATTTAATTTCTTTTAGCAATGCTTGCATAATGTGGAGTAATGTGTAATTATTAATATAATCAACTTTCAATAAAAATGTAGCTGGTATTGCTGAAAAAAAAATATTTTAAAAAATCAGTCTAATTAATCTAAAACATCTCTTAACTTATTTTTTTGATCAAAAAAAATTTGCATGAAAATTTTTTTAGAACTAGATTTTTAGAAATGTTTTGCAAAAATAACAAATTTTTTTTTATAAATTTTGATTTAAAATAAAAAGACTTGAAATAGATAAACCTTAATTTTAGCATTTTTGTTTGTAAGTTTGTGATTTTAATTCTAAACAATTCAAGAGTTATTTTAAGAATTGAAAAAATAACTAATATATAAAAAATATGTGTATAAAATATTGTGAAAAAAAGATCTAGCATTTCCATTTTTTATGCTTTTATTCAGGAAACCGCATGAGTAATGTCAACTTTCAAAGAAGCAATTAGTGAAATATTTTCCCTTTGTGATGTAGCTAAGTTAACTGTTAACCATACTTAAAGCCAAAACTTAAAAACTTTCCTTATAAAAGCCACTTCTTTATTCTGAACGTAAACAAAAATTGGTTCCAAATCACGGGAAGAGGTTTTCCCTTCCTCATAAATACACAAAGCATAGTTTGTTACATAATATGTAGTAACACTGGTTGAACTTCTTTCCTTGCTTCGTAGATTACCTTACTTATGAAGCAAACATAAACATTAAACCAAAACAGTTAATAGGCTCAGCCTTGTTCATATTGAAGTATGAGGGGAAAAAAGTATGTTTCTCTCAGAGTTGCCGCAATATGATTGTTCTTCTCTTAGGAATAATAATTGTTGTTTTTGTACAATGGTTTCCTTTTTACACTATGTACTACAATGTGTCATCAATCTTTGAATTTGTTATGTTAGCTTTATTATCCTCAATACTTAACAATACATTGTTTTATTAATAGAGGGATTTATTTTTATAGTTTATGGGTAAAATTTAATGCTTCAAATTTGCTTTTATTCCCTATGAGTTATCATTTGCATATCTCAACACGCTTTGAATTGCATCTGGTTGATTGAGTACTACATCGACCGAATTTTTTCTACAAATAACGCATTGTGATTTGTATGCTTGTGAAATAAACATCATGCATTGCAATTCACATTCATACCATTTTAAAATGTACCATCGAGTTTAATTGTTTCATATGACTCAAGAATCAAATGTCGGAATTAATTTTCATACGGTTTCAAAAACAAGCATTGTGATTAGTTTTCACTTGATTTATTCCAACTCGTATTTATATGTTTTAAGAATTCAATATCGCGACTCTTATTCACTCAATTTTAAAATCAAACATTATGGTTTGTGATCACACGCTTAAGAAACAATTATATGAATTTTACGCATACTCATTCAATTTCAAAGCATTAATCAGCAAAAAGAATAAATTTTATATCTGATCTACTTATAATTCAAAATATATTTTTTACATACATTTGGTGTTCATTCTGACAACGAAAAAAAATTTATTTTCCTATTTATTTTTATTTTTTTTACACAAAGATAATCCAAATTTGTGAAGAATCTAGTGCTATATTAGCAATATTGTTAAAATATTTGTTTTTATTTCTAAAAATAATTTGGTTTATATTATTGAGTTTTATTCAAAAGCTTTGATGTATAAGCATCCAAATTTCAAAAAATAAGTCAATAATGATTTATGTTGATTCTTTATTTGTGAAAATAAGACTTTATAATTATTTGAATGCAAGAAGCATTCAAAAAATATGCCCCCTATATACAATTTTTTACTACTAAGATTTCCTATGTTTTAATCAAGATTGAGATTTCTTCTCGAAGTGGGTGAGAAAAAGACTAAAAGTAACCAATATAATTGTTTAGTGATAGCTATTAAACTTCTTTAAGAAATAACTACTATTTATTTTTAATAAAATATTTAATTTATAGTGGCTTTCTGGTTTTCGGAAACAAAACAAATTGATTAAGCTTATTTTCGAAATGATTCTATATGTAATTTCCTTTTTATTTTTATTTGTGATATTTTTAAGCAAAGCAAAAAATATTGTTTTGTTTTTGAAATAGCAGTTGAATTAGTAAATGGTCTAATCTAGCTGATCTTGCTAAGTTTTAAGGTATTGTATTGTACAAGTGTATAAGATTTTTTTTATTATATTAATTATTCAAAATGCAACTACATGGATTAAAATAGCATCTTAATTATTTCTCTTAGTTGACTATTTAGGCTACTATTTTTTATATGTAAGGCTGCTAAAGCAACTATTATTAAAGGGAGTTTGTAGGGGAAACTCTAAAGCATTTAATAATAATTAAATTTTATAGTAAAAAGTTAATTTCTCCAATAACTGAAATTAGTTTTTGATCCTTATTATTTTGTTGTGTATATAGTGTATACTATTTACAATCTATTCGATTTGGTGTCATTTTTCTGACAATTAAAAATTGTTTAAAATGAAGTATTTTTTTTAAGAATGCTCCCTAATTTTATTATATTTAGTGGTCACTACATAAATTTCACAATTTTGTTCCTAATTATAAAATATTATAAAAATTTATTGTCACATCTTATTCCTTCTTATTCTAGGCTGTTGAGTGTGATTCAAAATCAAGCAGTTACACCAAACTTCTTGAAAATTGGATGTCTAAACAACCTGCAGAACAGACTATAAAAGAAATAAAGTACTCAAAAATATTTTTTTTTTAGTTAAGTGGTGATGAGCTGTATTTTTTATTTTACCAAAGATTTGTACTATAAAAATATAAATAATCTATTACAGTTTTAATGTTTTGCATTGAATGTAGGAAACTAAATTGTCATCTAGTTCAGTGTTTCTCTACCATTTTTTCTCTACGCCTTTCGTTTGTGCATATAACATCATTGTTATAATTTTTCCCATAGCACTGTGTGTAAAATTTTTGCAAAATAATTCTTTGCAACTAATAAAGTTTAAAAAGGTTTTAGCATAAAGTTAAATTTTTTTGAAAATTACAACGTAAAATAAAAACAATTTTTGTTAAAGGCTGTTCATATATTATGTGAATACTTAATGGGAGAAAGAGATTTGACAGGGAGAGAAAATTGGTATAAACAATGCAGGGGATTTCAATGTAAGACAATAAAATCCCCTTATTCTTAAAATTTTCTTAAAAAGCAAAATACAAAAATTGAAACAAAAAATTACATGTGAAAAAAATTTTGACTTTAAAATAAAAGTTGAATTTGGTGAAAGGAAAAGGGGAAAAAAATTACTTCGAAGGGTACAGATGTCAACAGTTTTAAACACAAAAGGAAAACATATGAATGATTCCTACAGAAATATAAGTTTATAAAGTTAAATAAAACATAAGTTTCGTTTTACGCAGTAACACTTTTTATTTGAATTTAATCCATAAATTAGATTACCTTCAGTAAAAGTTATAATTAAAACAACAATTAGAGGAGGTTGCAATTATCTATTTAACATAATTAAATAGGGTCTTTGAGCTTGCTCAATATTATTAGCATACAGAGAAATGTCTTTTTCAATAAGTTCTGTGTTTGTGAAGGATAACCAGTATTTAATTGCTTTCTTGCTTGACTTTTGATATCTTGTTTTAATTTCTGTCAAAAAATTTGTAAGATTGGTAATGGGAAATTAATAACGGTTATTTTATAGAGACAAAGCATTACTGAAAACATGTAATGGTCATGATGAAGTTTAGGAATGTATATTTTGTTTCTGTATTATATTATACATAAATAAAAGTAAGAGAAAAAAAATTAATTTGTAATAGACTTTTGTTAACAAATGTTTTCAGAATATAAATTTTCAAATAATCAAGGATCATATGTCAATGTAACTTATGCCTATTACTCAATCAGTTTTTTCCACTATATTTAATTCTTGCAGATTGCTTTCATCTTAATTTGGTACACGTTTTAATATTTAATTAATATGGTTTATCGAAGGTCTGTCACCTAGGAAAATAAAAAAGCCACTGTTTAAATACTCTAAAATCAAAGCAATGATTTTATACTGTATATATCATCTTGCCATTAAGAATTATCTGAGCTTTAGAGTATACAAATAACTTAAATATTTTAAAAGTTATTATACTTTTTTAGAAATTGCCAATTATGCACTATTTTTTTACCTAGATGAAAATTAAAATCACTGCCTTATTCACAATTTTTGAGAATTTCTTTCAGCCCTGATAATGTAGCATTGGAATAAGTTTTTAAATACGAGAAAATTATATCACACTTTTATTTCAAAGTCTATGCTTTTCGTTTTTGCAAAACTGTGGCTTTTCTTTACAGGGATGTTTTGTGCCATTTTCAGAATAAGCATAGACAGTGCTGGCTTTAGTTATTCTAAAATTAACTTAAAAGTCATGAGTAACTGTTGCAAACTCACAGCAGTTATGAAAACAGCATATTCTTTGCATAAAAAGCATCATTTCATATGACGACAGAGCCTTTGAAAAACAGCCTTTATGGACGGTGATTTTGCTCATACGCTAATGCATCAAATATACCAAATATCGTACAGAGGATGCATTATTCAGCAGCGCAGAAAAAAATAGCATGCTAATAGATTAAAAGCAAGAAGAGTTATAATAACTCTTCTTGTTTTTAAATTCTTTGTTTTGTTTAACAAGAGATAAAATATGATGAATATAAATATTAATAGATGGATTGATATTTTAAATAGTTACCCACTTTTTGTGAAGAGGAATCCAGAACTGTTGAAATTCTGGGTGACAATTTGAAAAGACATTAATTGTAAATAAAACATATATAAGAACTTTTATTTATTTCATTTATATATTTATTAAATTTTATTATTACTTATCTTAAAGAGTATAATTCACTAATTATATTGTTGTTTGTTTATTGAGCACTAACCTGAGTTTCTTTTTATTTTTAGAAACCAGAAGAACGATGTAAAAAAGCGTTCTAAACGTGGAGTTGAGAAGTTTAAGAAATTTATAGAATCTATACAAAGTAAATTTTTTTAAATAACTATAATTTTTCTTGAAGCAATTGTTGTCAAGTAATTTAAATGAGCTGTGTGCACTCTGAATTCAAAAATAAAAAAAAATTCTTAAAAGTAATACCATTAATTAATAAAAACCATTATTTTTTTTTAAACTTTTAACATTAGTAAGAAACAATCAATTTTTTTAGCTACTTTTTTTTATTCATTCATTTCCTGAAAATTTTTATCAAAAGAATTCATTTTAAGAACATTATTTAATGAGCATTGAATCAATATTTTATGATTAAAAATTGGTGTAAGTTTAAATATCATCACAAAACTTTCTTTCTATCTATCTGAATTAATATTATTTCTTCTAAATGGACTTTTAATTCATTTCCTTTTTTTCTTCTTCCCATTTAGATTCGAAGAGCGACAATTCACCATCACATTCAAAGTAAGATTTTTGTTTGAAAATATTTTTATTAATCTTGTGTTACAAATTCAGTTTTATTCAATGAGTTATTACAGTTATTGTTGTAATTAAGGTTTTATAATAATAAATTTTTCGAAAAAATTCATAACGATATTATTATTAAACTTATTTTTAGGTCTCCTCTAGAAAAAAACAAAAATGGTGATGTTTCTTTGCTGGAGCAAAATACAAGTTTTAAAAATTCCTTTCTTGAGGGTGGTAAATCTGACGATTCATCTGAAGAGTTGTGGGGCGATGCTGACAATAGTTTTATAGTTAAAGCCACTCAAGAACTTGATAAAGTCAATGCTATTCCCACTACAACTCGAACAGGGGATGTACTATCTACCATTCCTGAAACCGTACCTAATCCATCTATTTCAAAAAATAATTCTCAAACTTCAGAAATAGAATTGAGGAAACATTCTTGTGAAGAGCATGCTGACATCCTCTTACATCTGAGCAATATCGATTGGGACGGTGACAATGAATGGGACAATGGATTTCTTCTAGAAGATGATGATCTAAGTTTAGTGCCAGATAATGTCTTGAGCGGAGAGACCAACACCAAGGAGGTAGAATTTAACCACAATATCAATGGTAATGGACATTCAGTGGTAAATACGAAAGTCGCAGCATCAGATGAAATCAGAAACATCCGTGTTGTAAAAACTAAGACTGAAAGAAATTCATTTTTGGAAGAAATTGAATTTGCTGCAAATTGTCCAAATAACGAATTATATAATAGTTTTGAAGATAATAATTTTGAGGAAGAATCCCTACTTTGCCAACCTGAGGTTTTATCTAGATTAGACGAAGTAGAAAGTAAGTTCAATGTTGTTTATTTCATAGTTTATTTGCTTTTAACGATGAATTTGCATTCTTAAAAAATTAGTACCTTAAGTCATGAGATTCAAATGTTTCTAAAACTATATCCCTTTTACGCTGGATCTAATTAAGTGAATGAAGCATCCTTAGTAGATTTCTTTTTGAATTCTTAAAAAGATATGACCTTATTCCGCAGAATTCTTTTTTTTTTTTGTTCAATTTTCATCAAAAGACTTAATTAACAATACTAAAATTGCAAAAGTTTAATATGTTGGAGTGGGGAACTATTCACAAAAAGAATTAAAATATCTCGTCTATTTTAACAAATAATTTGTTTCAGACTTATAAATTACATTTTAAAGAAAATTTAACGAAACAAATTTCTTCTTATAAATTTTATGAGTAAGAATTGGTGATCATATACTTAATTATGGTTTTTAGAAGATGAAAACAAATCTTGTATGATGGAGATTAATTGTCATGAAGATTTGAAATGATTTCTTTTTGATTGATTTTGATTTCTTTGTACACCTTATTAGAATTGGTGAAATATTTTAATTAATAAGATTAAATTCCAATTAAAAAATGTTAATCAAATTTATAAACATATATATATTGAATCTTCATTGAATATTGAGATTCTCTTTGTGAGAAAGAATTTCAATTGAGAGGTTAAAAAGTTGACATTTTGATACAGCTGAAGAGTCATATAATTTGAAGTGAAACTACTGAATATAATTTATTAAAAAATATTTTTATTTTAATTTATACCTTATTTTATATAATAATTCTGTAAAATGACAGATTTTATTATAATTTACTTTGTAATTTAGGAATCTTGTTTTTAAAGTTCTATATTACTTCAGTTCAGCTTTTTTTTATTTTTAAGACTCCTGTGGTATATCTGCTAAATGAATTAAATGCCAGGTGTCCCACAGTATCATGGAAACCTGAAATTGTCTTAGAATTTAATGTTTTGCCAAAAAAAAAAAAAGTTAGGAATTACTGTATCTTACGTTTGGAAAATTCTGCTTCCAGCTTAAAAAGGATCCGATCTTAAAATTTATTCTCTGGTTATCGCAAATTAAGGGAAGAAACAAAAATCGCCATGATTCAAAAAGTTATACATAGAATTTAATGAAACTGGCACACATTACAGTGCACATAATAATGTATAAAATAACATAAAAAGTATTAACTAGACATTTATGGTGTCACAGGAATTAGCATATGTATGAAATTAATAAATCAGATGTGTCGGTTTTGAATAGAAAAAGTACCTCCAGTATGGAATAAGTTCACCTCAAGCAGCAATACAACACATACAGTGATGTGTGATGCTTTCAAGTACTAGGTCTGTTGGAGCCAGTTCCGTTGAAAGTACAAGCCATTGTTCTTGCAAAACAGTTGCAAGCATGGCAAGAGTCTGAGGAGGAGATTAAGAGCAGCCACACATCTTCCTAAAGCATCCCAAACATACTCAATAGAATTCAAGTCAGGTGATTGAGCTGGTTATTCCATGTGCTGAAGATAATTATCTATGATGTGAGCCCTGTGAGCATTATTGACCTATAACACGAAATAATCCCCTATTGGAGCAGCATAAGGAATCCCCTATTGGAGCAGCATAAGGACAGATATAAATATCAAGGATGCCATCTTTATACTCATGAGCATATGCGGTTCGATGTTGAAAAGCATGCAGGTCTGTGCTTCCACCAAAATAACCCCACCCTACATACAGACACTACCCCCTTGGCATGCATCTCTTTTATGTACATTTGATGGATGATATTAGCTTTTATATTCTTTTCAAATCAAACAATGCCAACTATCTCTTGGGGGGCTAAACCTGGACTCTTATGTGAAGAGAATAGCCCTCCAATGGCCAGCTGTCCTGAGGACACATTGCTGCACTCACTTCAAATGTTCCCTTCTAAGGCATGATGAGAGTGGCACGCCAATGACTAATTGCTTAGTGAACAGATCACGTTTGTAAAGCCTTCTATGCACTAAAAGATGATATGTGCTGACTCAGAGTTGTTTTTCCTTCAGGCATCGGTCATCAGCGCTCTTCGTAACATATGACCTTCCTTGTTTGAAGTTTCTGAATGGCGGACTTGTTAGAAATTATTACTAAAGTTTACGAACTGCAGAAAGTCTCACATTTAGCCATATGACCACTTCTTTATGGCTTTGCCGTGCCTCTAAGTCTTCCAATAGACAGTTTTTCATTAGAATGATGCCTGGAGGTCATTGTTACAAATTGGCTATTCCAGAAACCAGAATTCCAGAAACATAGCAAAATTTGCTGGCCTGCAATTAAACATACAATTTTATGCCCATTGCAACAGACATTGCATTCCTCTGTAGCACCACTAATTTACTTATTAGTTTTACACAGCGACTCTTATTTGACAACATATTCAAATTCAATTGTGATAGGCTTATTTTTGAATGAGTTATTGCTATTTTTCCTTAATTTATGATAACCAGTGTTATAAGTAGTCATTGATGATAAGTAGTCATTGATGTGATAAAGTAAAGAATTCTAACAATTAGTTCTTTAATATATTAACAGAATTACTCTGTTTTTAGTAATTTGTTTTAAAATTCTTAAATATAACTTGCTTGCAGTTAAAAAATACTATTCACAAGACTGGTACTAGTGTATTTTAAAAATTAAGTTATAAATTAATTTGATCAGAATTAAGATGATATAAAGATGACTTTTTTTACTCGTGTGACTCAACTAACCTGTTCAAAATCATGATCACATGTATGTGATCATGTAATTCTCCCTTCACGGCCTACAATATCATATATGAGATCAGTCTTTCAGACTCCATTAGCCAATGATAACGCAGACATGATCTCAATTTGGTACTCTGGTATTAGTTCATAAGCTTACACTTTAGTATATACATCTCTCAAAAGCTTATATATACATCTATGACTGTTACGATTTTCGTGACCGGTAGACACCCAATAATATTTTTTATATATATAATTCTACGAGTAGTCTATTATAATTTAAAATTTATGCAGAAAATTAATTTAAAAAGACTTCTTTTCTGTAAGTAAGTAAAAGAACAAACAAATAAAGACTTTTTTAATGTAGATTTTGTTAAATTATTCTAATATTTTGAATCAGTGATGCACTTATTAGGGGAAAAAAGGCTGCGAAAATGAGAACTAGAGATTGGCCAGAATAGCCAGAGTTTGCAGGTATTTTTCTGATGGAGCACTGCTTTGTAGAACAAAAATGTAATCTACAATTTTTTTTTTTTTTTTTTGGCTTTCTAAAAACCTAAAAAAGTCGGGTAATTTTATTTCTCAAATAGAATGGAAACCGAATGCATATTTCAGTTAATATACACATATTCTTCTTTTGGAGCACTACAGCCTATTACAGGTAGATATCTCCACTTTACCATTTTAGGGAACACTCCTACTTGTTTAAGACCTTTTTCAAATATATTTTGTGGGTTGTCTTCCTCTATGTCATATTTTTGAAAAAGTTAATCTTTCTTTTGCTTTTACTTAGCCAGAGTTTTAAAATATTTCTGTTGTTTCCACTTGAATATTTTAATTATTGGCAATCAATATTATAATTCTTCTTGCAAGCAATTTAAATGATTCACACAAAATACCGTAGATATTTAGATCCTTATAACATGTGTTATACTTGACAGAATGAGAAAAATAGTGTGCAGAACTATTTAGAATGTGTTATAGAGAAAAATTTGGCATTTTGAATTAATATACACAGGGATGTAAACTGCTCTGCTTTCTGCAAAAGTTTGAATAAATTGGTAGTGAATTAAATAGTAAAGCTTGTATGTAAAACAAATTAGCATTGCTGTATACAATTTTAAGAACATTAGAATGGCTATCTTATTCATTACATTTGTGAATAAATGCTGCTTCTTATTAAAAATAAGTTGTTTTTTATTTGTTTCAGTTGACAAATATATATATTAAAACCACATACTTTGCGGAGCACATTCGTCAAATTTTGCCCAGTACATGAATTGTTATGGGGATTTAAACACTAAGTGCACTCTAGAGCATTAAAGCAATCATGTCCAAACATGTTGTATATGTACGTATTCCATGCATAATGATACATGTTCTTTTTAGGTATGCTATCACAACCAAAGTGTACACCAGAGGAAATAAAAAAGAAAAAAGCTGAAGCCCTCAATAGGCGTAAAAAGACTCAACTTAAAAGGAAAAATTAGTTTATAAATATTATAAAATGTACATAGTTTTGAGTTATAGTTTTATAAGAAATTTTGTATTTACTTTTTTCAAAAAATAAATATTTCTATTTATTAAAATTGCCTTTGTTATTGCTTTGTGTAAATATCAATGCTTCAAAAAAATATATATAAGAATTTAACTCAGAGCTTTTTTTTTTATCTTTCCCCTCTTCAACATCACCCTCAATTTTTAAAAAAGATTTTAGACTTCTAACTTGGATTAAATTAATAATTTTTAAATTGTAAAACTTTAAATCTGCTACAATGTCAATGGTTTAATGCCTACAATGATTTAAAAGTAGCTTGAATACTTAAGGTATATTTTTACTGAAATGTTATTAACTGGTGCAACATTCCTGCAGGAGCAATGAACGAATTAGCTTTTCTTCCTTATGTATTTAGAAAAAGATTTGTAAAAAAGAACTAGAGAAAAAACTTTAATAGCTCATAACCAGTCAGTATGAGGACAGAAAGAAGAGATGGAGCTAATGGATATATTTATCAAAAGCAAATGAATTAGTTAAATTAAAAAGCATTTTCTTAATACCATTGAACTTGCAATTTATAATGAACCTGGGACACTGTTACAGTGAACTTTTTTAGTGATCTCCTCTGTACTTCCATTTAACAAACATTTTATTTGTAGAAAATAACTAAAAACTTGGTAGTTCATTTAGAGTAGACTCTAATTTCAGTTTCTTTTCTGTTTATTACTCAAATTTTAAATTTGCAGTTGGTATTTCTCCTTTCCCCTGTGCTAAATACTATTCTTGCATAATCTTTGTTTTTGTACTAAGGAAAACAAGTTGTTTAGTACAGGGGTGATAGTGAGCCCAAGTCAAAATTCCGGAAAATTTCTTGAGTTAAAAAAACAGTTTAAATTGAAAAAAATTTAAACACGGTTTTTTTCTTCCTTTTTCTTGATATTTCTTAGTTTACTTAAAATATATTTAAAATTTTACACATACCCTATGATGACCTGGAGAATTAAAATTTACAAATATGTCTTTCTTTAGTTTATGATTATAACAACTATTTACTAATAAAAAATGAACATTAATCATGAATATGAGCTTTGGCTCTCCCTTATAACAAATAAAATAAACTGTGTTTTTGAGTTCTACCTTCGAAAATTTAATTTCCGGAAACTTCTGTGATCAATGATTTTTTTAAACGTCTGGACCTTCGATCTCCGGAAACTTCCAGATCACTGTTAGCGAAAAATCTGGAAATCCGGATTTTTTCCGGGGCACATCAGCCCTGTTAGTAGCATATTTCTTGTTCTGTGTTGAAGGAGAACAAGAAGTTTCAGTAACTTATTTAAGTAGAATTGATCTTTTTTTTTCCTGCGTAAAATGGACTAAAAAATACTGGATTCTTGATGAAATTGAAATTTTTTTTCCCTTCTTATTTATGTAAAATTTTTTTAATCGAAATTTAGTCAAACGAAAATCAGTTTCTACAATAGAATGTACAAGGTAATTATTATTTCTTTTGAGTGTTTATTAATTTAAACAACTTAATTTGTAAAAAATAATGCAATATCGTAAACACTATTTCCAACAATACTATTGTCATATGCTAAAAAAAAAAATTTTTTTTTTTTAAATGAATATAACTAACTATTGTTTATAGTGAACTTATTTCTAGGTCCACAGACAGATCACTGTAATGAGGTTTGACTTTAAACTTTTTTTACAGTGTAAAATGTGAAATAATAAGAGTGAAGTATAAGTAAATTTCTATTTTATTTAACTATATATAATTATTTTCTGAGAAAATGATTAAGTATCAGAAATGTACAGTATAAATAATTTTTAAATCATACATCATATTAATAAAAAATCAACATAGCGTAATCAACAAGTTAACTTTCTACACATTTCCGATAAGCACATAAATCTCAGGAGGGTAGTAACTCAAATGTAAAAAAAAGAAGTTCCAATTGAGCAAAAAGCAGCAGCTTTTTAACTTGGAAATAAAATTCAATGGTCCCAAAAATTAATGCAAATAATGATGTTTTTTTTATTGTAAAAAAATTAACACAATGATAAAGTTTTAAGTTGTCTTGGCTCCTAATTTTTCAAGAACTTTCAGTCCTTTTTCTAGATATTCTTCTCTGGATAGCCAGAAAGTATCTTTGTCTTTCATTACATCAGCAAGAACTGAGCCACCAATAAAAACCATGTCTTTTCTTCTGGGAGGATCTTCAATACGTATTTTAAATTTCTGCAAAGAGAGGGATTCACAAATGATTAAATGAGATCATAAGATTAAAATGAATATAAACAGCAAAATATTGGTGAGCTTTTTAAAGTCAGGGCACAGCTCAAAATGCAAGTTTAAAAAAATGGATACATTTTTAACTACATGTTTAGGAAAATCAACATTTACATAGCTATTTAAGAAAATAGAGATAGCATTTGATTTCCTTTTTTAAACTTCCCTTATGAAAATTGTTCTTTTTAAGTATAAACAAATCCAAATAAGTTTGCATTTGACCAAATAACTTACAACATTTATTTTAAAATTAGTCTTGTTTCAAAAGATATTTGAAGTCGACAGTTCTTTTTACAACCATTCATCATTTGAAGTTCCAAATATGAAGAAAGGTTACGACTGTAATATACAACCCCCAAGTCCGGAACCTTGCCCTGTATTGATTATGCTTTCAATTTAAAAGAAAATAAGTTCAAAGCTCCTTGCTCAGTTGTTAAATTTTAAGACGAACTTGCACATTTTAGCATAATGAAAAGGCACTTTTCGATGTATCCATTTTCTTAAACAAGCACTTCGAGCAGTGTCTAGAATAAAAGGTTCCTTGACGAAAAGTTCTTTAGAGCATAATGTTAAAAAAAAATAACCTTTTGGAAAAACTTTTTTTAGTAAAAACAACTCTTAAAAAAGATGGATTACAATGCAACAAGTGAACTGTAAAAATTTACTTTTCACAATGATATTGAATGGAAGCTATACTGCGTTTCCTTCTTTGTTGAAGCCTCTTTTTCCTGAAGGATAGTCAACTTAAGAATAGAATTCTTTTTAAAATTTTTGATTATATAAGGGGAATAGTTAAAAAAGTTTTTCTTGATGTTTAGATTATTACTAAAAGGCAGGTTTCTTACGAAAAAAATTTGAAATTCCTTTAAAAACAATCACCATAAAATAGTCTGTAGCAAAAAAGAAAAGAAAAAACTATAAACTATAGTAAAGAAATTTTTTTTCTCTATATATTTAAAAATAGAGTATACTTGAAGTTAATTGGGGCAGATTCGTTTGAATTATGAGGGATGCCAATTAAATCAAAAATCACTTATTCTACATTTTCGTCACTATGGTTTTGGTGATTCTTGCTCTTTTCCAATGCCATTAAATTACAACTTCGTATCTAAACGTAATGCTCTTGGGAAACAGCAAGATTCATCAAAATCATAACAGAGAGAGGAAAAGTGTGGAGACTGAAAATGGCATAATCTTGAGCCCATTCCTCTTACAAAGAGTTAAGTCGTACATTTTTCCAGGGACAGAGGTTGCAAGGGGCAATTTTTAAATTAGATTTTTGAAAAATACTCACGGCAAGTTTCTCTGTTTCTCCTTTTAAAACCCTCTCCAGGTAGAGCTGTTTAATTTCTCTTTCCAATCGACTGGGTAAACCTGGATACATGGTCGAACCACCGGACAAGACTATGTGCTTGTATAACTCGGGCCTTATGTCAATATCTCCTGCCTGTATTGTGTTAAAGACTAGTTCGGCAATGCCCTGTCCTTCCACATTGATGAGATGTGGTTGAAACAATGCTTCGGGGGCTTCAAATCTTTCACCCCCTAATTTGATGACTCTTCCATCAGGCAGCTAAAGAAAAAGAAAAAACTTTATATTACAGAACCCTAAAATTTATACTTGAAGAAAAAAAAATTATTTTTTTAAATAAAACTTGCAAAAATCGCTTATTTTTTGAGTGCCTGTAAATTGTTTATTAAATTTGCCGGATTCAATTTTTGCTGCATAGGTATGTCATTGAATTAGTACAAAAAATACAGAACTGGTATAATGTGGCAAATTAGTCAGCAAAATTAGGACATATTTCCACCTATATAGCAGATTTTTTTATAGGGGGGGGACTTTTTCTTTTAAAATTATTGGATTCAAGAAAAATGCTAGAGGAGAAAAAAGCACATACATTTGGCAGGGAAGATAAATTATGCTGTTGTCTTAGGGGTGGGGGTTGAGTTCACAAATTTTAAGCAATAAATTTAGTATTTAAAATAGGGAAATAATAATAATACTGAAAATAAAGTTTTGATGTAAAGCTTCGACCAGTTGCTGGATATATATTTTTCTTTTTGACATATTTAGAAACATAAAAACGAAATTGAACACAATATTTCAAGTATAGAACTTTTCTTTAAACTTTTAACATACTAATAGATTAACCAACCAGATTGATAAAACAAATGATAAAATTGGCTTATTTTCTTGAAATTATTAAAAACTAGTAGTATAATAATTTTATAATAAATAACATAAAAATAAAACTATTAATTTATGTACGCAAAATTTAGTTTTAAAAAATACTTAAGGTGCTTTTAAAACATAATAAATGCATAGTGTTTACCAATATTGCTGAAAGATTTGTTCTGTCCAGAGAAACTTAAAATAATTATTTTTTCTTCAACGTATTCTGATCTAAATTATTTTACTCTTCATTGGATATCTAACTGTCAAATTGCCTCCCTGACTTTAATATTTTAGGATGTTTAACTTGAACATAGTTTAACAATTTTATTCATTCAGTGATTAGTTTGCAATACTTAAAAAAAATAACATTTAAAACACTTCAGTTAGAAATATTAACTATTTTAGCTATACTATAGTTTTTAAATAATACTGTTAATACATTTTATAATAATACTGTTGAATCATAAATGTAATGTTAATACATTTTATCAGATGATTTAGCTAGTAAATATAAAAATATAATAAGAAAAGAATGATTGAAATGAAAAAAATCCTATATCAATCGAATAAATCCAATTTTGAAAAAAAAGAGGAAAAAAAAAGGATATATTTTGCCAACCCTTCTCCATTTGCAATGGTTCTGTCGTGAATGCACGTGATTTTACAGTAGTCTATCGGCCAATTCTGATCGTTTTCGGAAGCTATCTGTGTATTTTTCAATTTCCGATGTTTTTAGTACAACACATAAATTTCAAATTTGATTTTACAGGTTTCGGCATACAGAGTTCGCAATGATTCCTTTGAGATGGGCTTATTTTTGAATGAGTTATTGCTATTTTTGTAATTTTCCTTAATTTATGATAACCAGTGTAGTAGCAATAGGTAGCCATTAATGTACAAAGTAAATAATTCTAACAATTAGTTCTTTAATATATTAACAGAATTACTTTGTTTTTAATAATTTGTTTTAAAATTCTAAAATATAACTTGCTTGCAGTTAAAATAGACTATTCACAAGGCTGGTAATAGTGTATTTTAAAAATTAAGTTATATTATTAAGTTATATTACGTATGTCATTTTCAATTGCATTTTGACCATTTCCACACGCTTTTTAAAATTTTGATGTTATTCCAACATACAAAATTTGCATGTAGTACATTTCTTTTTGACACGCTTGATTTGCTATGATGCTTGATTCACATAAATCTACATCATTTGTTGATCATTTTATTCCTCATAATAAATTTTTTTAAGCTTCCCTTTCCGCATGATTTTCTTAAATTCCTATATTTTTAATGTGGCGTGTGAATTTCAAATATGAGTTATCACTACTTGACAAGCTTGGTTCACAGATCCCATTGTGCATTCACACCGTTTTAAGTAGTTATCATAGCTTTTTCATATGATGATGTTTTTAATACAATGTTATTACAAATTTCAAATTTTGAATTCCATGTATTACCTTTAACCGCTTCCATCTTAAAACCACATTGTTTTCCGATTGCGTTTTTCAGTAGTTATAAATAATTTTTTTGCCATTTTTATTTTTAAATTTTAATTATTTTTTGCCATGTTATTTTCTAAATTTAAGTGCTATTAATAGGGCGCTATTAATAGAAATCTTGACTTTTTCGGACCTTCAAAATTCTTTTGCAAATTCGTGACTTTCATGACTGGTAGATACAATAATTGGTATATACATATAATTGGTATAATATGGCAATTGAAATAATTTAATACAGTCAATCTGAAGATTTAATATTCTTTTAAAAATTGGAATAATATTTTTAGTTCAAGTGCCTCACGAGTTTTGAATACAACTAAACCTGCTTAATAAAAAAAAATCAATTTCTGAATGATCCTTCAATTATCCATTCTTAAAAAATTTCTGTGTATATTGAACTGTTAATTGGATAAAAATTATTTTAAATACACTATATGAAGAGAAAAATACAAATTTCGGAAACAATTTATCTCCATCATGTAAGATCTGATTTCTTGTTCTAAAATTAGTAAATAAATATATGACACTCAATTAACCCTTATAAAAATTCATTTCTTTTATTTTTATACAATATTATTCAAGTGTCATAAAAATTCAAAAATAACATATCAAATAGAATAAATATTTCACTTAGAAGGTCCTTTAAGTCAGCATGACATATTTTTGCGAATTAAGAATTTTTAAGTTCGTGATGGAAATCAGAAGGGGAAAGAAAAATGGAATTTTGCGAATCCTAGGAAAAGTGACACCCCTGATTTATCATTAAATGATGTATACAGATGCTACATTATGAGCAGTATTATTTTTTTTAAATTTTAACATTGATTTACATTCTCCAGGGGTGATTGTGAGCCCAAGTAAAAATTCCGGAATATTTCTTGAGTTAAAAAAAAAAAAAAAAAAATTTAAATTGAAAAAAAATTTAAACAAGTTTTTTTTCTTCCCTTTTCTCAATATTTCTTAGTTTACTTAAAATATATTTAAAATTTTACACATACCTATGATGACCTGGAGAAGTAATTAAAATTTACAAATATGTCTTTCTTAATGAAATTATTAAAAATGAATATTCATCATGAATATAAGCTTATAAAGTATCTCTCTGGCTCTCCCTTACAAACAAATCAAATAAACTGTGTTTTTAAGTTCCACCTTTCCGGAAACTTCTATGATCAATGATTTTTTGAAACATCTGGACCTTTGATCTCCGGTAACTTCCTGATCACTGTTAGCGAAAATTCCGGAAATCCGGACTTTTTCCGGAGCACAATCAGCCCTGATTCTCTTAATGAAATCAAACATAAATAAATTTTTAAGAAGATAGAAAATGCATTTAATTATAAGCTTTTCAGTAACTCTCTTTAATAAAGGGAATCTTACTGTATAGGGCTCCACTAAGAATGTAGTTTCTAAAGCCAACTTTTGTTCTTGCTCTATGTTATAACCTATGTAACAGAGCTTCTCTTTGATCATTCTAACAGTCTCAAAGTCAGCAGAGTGGTTGAAAGCGTAGCCTCGGAGTAACAGCAGCTGTTAAGAGAGATTTAAGAAGAGATGAGAAATCTATGAACATATGTTGTTCTAAATAAAGTATGAAAAGAAGTATACCTTGATGAGATATCGGGTGATGTCTCTGCCAGCAATGTCTAACCTCCGAGTCAAGTGGGAGAGTGCAAAACCCTCATAAACTGGACAAATGTGAGTCACACCATCACCTGAATCTACCACAACTCCAGTGAAAAGACCTTAATACAAACATTTCAATTAAAAATTAAATATTTTCACACAAGAGCAGTTAAAAATTCCCACCAAGTTATTGATTATCAATAAATAGAGTTGCAAGTTTAAGGTGGGAAAAAAAGGATCGAAATTCAGGAAAGAGTTGCAAAAAGTTTTGAAATTTTTGTGGAAAGAAAAATTCACAAATGAGTATACAACATATGCACTGTAAAGCAAAACATAGATATGACAGAAATAATAAAATAAAAGCATATACAGTACAGAACCTTTTATCCGATATTCAAAAAACCAGGAAATATTTTGAGCTTTTTTTCCAGCATTTTAAATTAGAGGATTAAGGCAAAGAGAAGAAATTACAGTCATTCTTGAAGTTAAGTCAAGGGAAACGTGGATGGAAGATTTTTTCTTCCCGGGTTTTGGAGAAAAAAAATTTTCTTCTTTCACCTTGAAGATATTCAGATCCAGTATGGATGGGAAAGAGAAAAATTCTTCGTTTCCCTGTGCATGAGAAAAAATCAGTGGTTTTCGATAAGCCGCTATCAATCGAACGTAAAGGAGCAGCATGCAAATTTCGTTTCCTCTTTGATTTACATGGAGGAAATGGATTACACCTGCTTATCAGTGAACTGAAGGTAGTAGAGCAATAAAAATAAATAAAGTGCTATACATTACAATGTAAAGATAATAAAAAGAAAAATATGAAGTGGAAATGCAAATTTTTTATAATACGAAAATGGCTATGTTTTATTCAACAATAAAGAAGAATTAAGTTTGCTGTTCAGCATAAAACCTTTTATCTGGTTTTCAAAAAACCGGAATAAAGTTTCGCTTGCCTTTCTTGCGATATTGAACTAGAATGACTGACATTGTAATGTATAGCACTTTATTTATTTTTATTGCTCTACTACCTTCAGTTCACTGATCATCCTTGAAGTTAAATAGATAGAAAGGTTGGGAGATTATTTTACTTCCCATCATCAAATGCAAAGAAGTGGCAGACTTAGATAATATGAAGTGAATACAATTTTAAAAAAACTTTCCCCATGCATATTGTTAAGTCTTGTAACTAGCTTCAACCCTCTCAATCACGCATTGTCACTTAATTCTGATAATAAGATTACCGGAATAGAGGTGATCGAACTAAACCACAATTTAACAAGACATGTTGATGCTTAAAATTCTGTGACGTCACCTGAAATCAACAATGTATGAAACAGCGAGTTTGCCAACTGAATGGTTGTAAAATAACACTCTTTTCCCAGTAGAAAACTCCTGTCCATCCAATTCTCAATAGCTGAAAGTCAAATGGAATGTGGAATTGTGGGGAAAATGCAGTTGTGCAAAGCAAAGAAATTTGTCTTCAATCAATCTATGCCAGAATGCAGAGTAGAATGGAATATTTCATTTTACTCTAGTTTTGAAAATCAGATGAAACGAACAGCTTCTTTTCTTCCAATTTAAGAGGAGGAAATATCAGCAGGGAAATTATAAGAAAAATGCATTACTATGCTTTACTATACAGACCAAATAAAGTAAAAAGAGTGAAATGAAATTATAGATTTTTAATTAGAATACCTAACCAGCTAAAATATAGCTATTTTAAAAAATTCAATATCAAATTACTAATACAGTTAAACCACATTGAATTATTTAATATTGATTCAAAAAACCTGGGAATATCGGTCGCTCGGGATAGCCAGGTCCACAACATTCCGGTCTTCCTACTGTATAAGAGCTAAAAAACTTTTTTAACTATTAATTTTTTTATGCAATTGAAGAATTTTAAATTAGTATAGTGCACATTGTTATTGTCATTTATGTTTTTTTTTGTTCATGTGTAACATATTTTTTTACTTCAAAAACAATCAGTCCATGCTATTTTTTGGTACTGAAAAAGATTGAACAGCTACTTTGAAATTTCGGAAATCATCTTGTCTTAGATTTAAAAAGTTGCTTTGTAAGCACTGAACTTATTCAACTTCAAATATAGAGCCACTCTATCAAATTTGAAACAATTTTGGCATCTAACAATTCAAAAATTACACAAGTTTTAGAAACTAAGCTGATTATTTATGGAAATTCACAACAAGACAAACTTGCAACCCTAATAATTAAAATATCATAAAATGCATACCCTGAGCATATAGAGCCAAAACAGCTTGTATTGCAATATAAGTTCCTGCAAACTCATATTTTTCAAACATGACCTGTAATTAAATGGAAATAATTAATGCAATGACGAATTTCAAAATTAAAGTTATGAAGAAATTTATGCACATTAATTTGGGGCAAAAACAAGTTAACAGTCAAGAGAATTTTTAAATGAAATAAATACATTAGAATCAAAGTTTTTTTTAAAACATTTTTCATAGTTTGTGTAAATATAAATTTCTTATATACTATAACCAGGAAACATAATTAAAATATTCTTTGTATACTTAAACCATTATTTTACAAACACAGATATAATTTAAAAGACTATATAAAATATAAGTTTAGGACATCTGCCTACAATAATAGTTTTCATGCCCCAAAATTTTAGACTTAAAAATTCTTTTATGGTACACACAGTCTACAAAGGAATATTGGGTAGACAAGTTTTTTTAATGTTGTTTAAAATTTACTAAGCGAAGATAATTAACTTTGAATTAATTTTGCATTTTTTTCCAATCATACTTTCTTAACAAATGAAGTTTTTTTAGAAACAATACTCTAAATAATGTTCAGAAAAGAAACCGGAACAAAAGACAATTTCTAGTGTTTCAAAAAACATAACTCAGTGAAAACTTTTCAAACACAGTTACAAATTTATCCTGATAAACTGTTCCCCTCACAGCATTTTCAAATACATCTTTATTTGAAAGCAAATGTCAAGAGAAAATAATGTGAAATATTTTTAACTTGTGAAAATTGTTGTTGTTGTTAATTTACGTCGCACTAGAGCTGCACAATGGGCTATTGGCGACGGTCTGGGAAACATCCCGGAGGATGATCCGAAGACATGCCATCACAATTTTGATCCTCTGCGGAGGGGATGGCACCCCCGCTTCGGTAGCCCGACGACCTGCGCGCGAATGTGAAAATTGTATAGACTTAATATTTTAATTTTTATATTTGGTTTTTAATTTTGGCTTATACACCCGGCATACCAAAAATGTGTTATTTCTTAATTAAAAACATGGGGTCAATTTATAAGTGATATCAAGTATAGCTATTTTACGTAATTTACTAAATTTTTATTTTCTTACGAGGGCAAGTACTTAAGTTTTTAAAATCTGGCAACAAAAATACAGCTACTTTCAGCTTAGAAGATTTTTATCAAAATTCATTTATGTGATCGTCTATGTTTATAGAACATCAAAAGCTGTAAAATTCTATTAACTGAGATTTTTCAAAAAACATAAGTGTTAAGTAATTATGGAGTTATGTTAAAAGGATTTCAGAGCCATGATTCTTTATGACTTTCAACAGGGTTTGACACAGAAACAGTGTAGAGGTAGAAAGAAATTTACATTTGGTAGTGAAGCACCATCGAAGGCAACAATTTACAACTGATTTAAAGAATTCTCCTGCGATCGTAAGTATCTCAGTTCAAAAGAGTTGTATATAACATATAATGAAATAGAAACATCTTTAGACATTTTAAGAACCTGTGTACATTCCATATTTACATAATCACTTAAAGGTGAAAAAGATGCACTCGCGATGGATCACCACAATTTATCTCAAGCTCAAAAGGCAGCTCGTGTGAAATGGTACCACGAAAATCTAAAAAAAATTCAACCCAAGTGCCTCAAAATGTGTGTACAATATCAAACCCTGTGACAAAAGCTAGATTTATTCCGGTGAACCAGAAACAAAACAGCAAACCAGTGCTTCGGTGTTTCCAGGTGACCCTAAGCCAAGAAAAGTTGTTCGTTCTAGGACAGCTACCAAAAAAATTATTGCTTCTTTCTTCGGTAAATCAGGTCATATTGCAACCCTTCCTTTGGAGGATAGTAGAGCAATCAATGCTCTTTGGTATACTACAATTTGCTTACCAGAAGTAGTTACAGAGGTAAGAAAAAACAATTCAAAACACCGCATCATTTTGCACCAAGACAACGCAAGCTCACACAAAGCTTGTCTAACTATGGATTATTTGAAGCACACAAAAAATCAAATTGATGATTCATTGTCCGCATTCACCAGACTTGGTACCAAATTACTTCTTTTTATTTCCGTTTATAAAAAATAAATGCGTGGTCAACATTTTAACAACCTGGAAGAGGCAGTTGAAGCTTACAAATGCCATGTTTCTGCTGTGCCACGTTCAGAGTGGCATAAATGTTTTAAAAATCGATTTATTTGAATGAAAAAATGTATCTATGCCACAGGAGAATATTCTGAGAAGCAATAAAACATATACTTTCATTAAGAAATTATTTCATATATTACTTTCTAAAAACTTAAGTACTGCCACTTGTATTCTTGAATCCAAAATTTAAGTCTTTTCCTTTGCTCAATAAAAAATGTTTTTTAAATTTTTTTTTTTTTTTTTTTTTTTTTTTTTTTTTTGGGGGGGGGGATTCTCAATGCTAATTTATGTAATCAAAACTTAGAAGTTAAACAATCCAACTCATTAAGAAATAAGAATAAGACATCTAATAAAAAAAAACTTTTTTTTTTCTATTGTGAGTTTTGGTTTCATAACTATAGAAATAAAAGTTATATATATTGATTAAATTTACAATTGTGCTAATTGTATAAGGCATTTAAAAAGTTTGGAATGTAGGTCATTTGGTAGCATAAATTAATAAACATTTGCTTAAAGCTATGTCAGACAAATATGCCAGTCAATTAGTGCAGGGAAACTTTTTTTTATAAAACAAAGAGAAACTAATAAATGAAGTAAAAATGTGTATTAATTAAGATAATCAAATGTTATACCAATGCATTCTGCCAGTACTATAAAATAGAATTTATAACAATAATTTCAAAATTACTTAACTTAAAACAGTGAAATTTTCATACAATGATTCTATTTCGATTCTTATTTAATCATTTAAAATTCAGCCTTACAAGAATGCAATAATTGAAACTTATACCTAGAATAACAGCAGGAGACACAGCGACCCCAACGCTATTTTGCAATATTATGCAGAAATTCCTCACTTTTAGGAATCACAGTAACACACTTTCATACTGTTCAATTAAAATTTCAGATATATCTGAAATAAATGTGTTACCTTTAAATCAAGAGTTGACGACAAAGAAGAAATCTAGATCTAGCAATTACACTTTGCTATTATGCAAAAAGCTCCATGTTGCAGGCGTGTCGCAAAAAAATTTATAAATAATGTACCTAAAACAATTAAACCAGCAGAGCTAACTGCAAACAGATATATAAACACTCTCAAAGAAAGAATTAAATATGTGTAAACAATATCATGTAAAGAAGATGTGCATGTTTTGCGGGACATTTAAAAGGAAATTCAGTGAAATGTCTTTATTGTTGTGAGAACTGTCAAAAAATTTAAATAAATCAAGCATTGCATATTTTATTGTTTGAAAAAGAGTATTTTAGTTCACTATTTTTAATATCTATAATTATTATCATTTACAAAGAGTAGGAACTCAGTTATCTGAATATTATTATACAAAAATATAAGTATAATTGAAAAAGTCATAATTTTCATATTACTCCTTTTTAAATACAGAAAAGTCCCTACTTTAACATCTACTTTATCGTTTAATAAATAAAAATAAATCTTCTTTATCTAATTATAATAAATTAACATGTTTATAGATTTTACTTCTAGATTTTCTATCTTACTTGAGAATAAATATGAGACATAAATCATTAGGCATTGTGTTGTTTCTGAATTCTGTTGTTTTTTTAAAATATAAATAATTAGAATTTAAAGAGAGAGAAAAAAACATAGATAAGATAAAGAAAATGTTACCTCAATCATTTTCTCTCTGTTCTTGAGTGGATTCATAGGTGGTTCAGTTAATAAGACTTTGCAGTTTTTAGGATCTATGTTCATTTGGTTGGGACCAAATGTGTAATCCCAAACATGGCACATGTCTTCCCAATTCCTAACTATACCATTCTCCATAGGGTAGGCAACTTCCAACATTGATCGTAATTTACTAGCTTCATCACCAACCATTAAATCCTTTTTTTTGAAGAAGAAAAAAAATAATATAGATACATTAAAATAAAGTAAAATTATTGTTGGGTAAATTTAGCTTTTTCAAACACAGGATTAGTAATTATTTTTCATGTTTCGTATTCATTATTTATCGTTTCTAACTGTTAACTTTTGCTTTTTTCCCAAAGATTAAGAAGATGTAGGTTTATTAATTCAACATCTGATCCTATATCAAGAAGAGCCAGCTTAATGGTGATTGTTCAAATTGGGTACATATAAATGACACATGATTTCCCTATGATCTTCTCTTTGTATGGTTTCTTTTATATTTATATTACATTATAATTTCCTTTCATATAAATATTTTTTCAAATGAAAAAAAAAAAGTTTCTTCTTTTTAGTTTTTATTTTATTATATTAGTTTTACAAGGTAGCTGCAAATGCTCAGAATTTTTTTTCCCTAATTATTGTAACTGGTGGCATAAATTTTAGAATTAATTTTTCTTTTATGCCTTACTCTTAAACATAGATACAGCTCCGTGGCAGAATTGCAATGACACAGCGCCGTTATCGCAGAACGTTACAGGGCTCCTGCAGAAAGATTTTTCTTTTGAAAAGTAAAAAATTTTAGTTTTCTTTTCTACAGAAATACACGTAAAATTTGAATCATGCATTTAGATAAATCACTTTTTTACGCGCTCAATTTACGTTGATAGTATTGTAAATCGATGTAATGTTTCAATTGAACTTTTGACAGTTATTAATATTGACTTTTATGTGGTTTTTAAATATCCTGATATGTTTCAAAGAATATGGAAAATTCAAATCGTGTATTTGGGTATTTACTTTTAAGGCAATGATTCTATCTAATTTTTGACAGGTATTGCTATTGATTTCTCCATAGTTTTTAAATCCGATAATTTTTATACAATATTATTTATTACAACAACCTAATCTCGAAACGAAACACGTATTTGAGTAACCCCTTTTTGAGGAGTCCGCCTCNCTTGCAGAAAGATTTTTCTTTTGAAAAGTAAAAAATTTTAGTTTTCTTTTCTACAGAAATACACGTAAAATTTGGAATCATGCATTTAGATAAATCACTTTTTTACGCGCTCAATTTACGTTGATAGTATCGTAAATCGATGTAATGTTTCAATGGAACTTTTGACAGTTATTAATATTGACTTTTATGTGGTTTTTAAATATCTTGATATGTTTCAAAGAATATGGAAAATTCGAATCGTGTATTTGGGTATTTACTTTTAAGGCAATGATTCTATCTAATTTTTGACAGGTATTGCTATTGATTTCTCCATAGTTTTTAAATCCGATAATTTTTATACAATATTATTTATTACAACAACCTAATCTCGAAACGAAACACGTATTTGAGTAACCCCTTTTTGAGGAGTCCGCCTCGAGGGATTTCGTTTTCGATCTTTTTTTCGGCTACGCGGGTTTCATGATTTTTAATTATTTTTTTATTATGATGATTGTTTACAAAATGCAAGGAAATAAATAACTAGTGTGCTCTCCCCCGCCAACAAAATGCGAGAATATCACCTATAATATTAGAATAAAAAAATTATTACTTGTTCAATTTTTTAAAAAATAATTTTTTTATCTCGTAAACACAGCGCTTTTTGTATTTTAAATTCGTAGCATATATGTTTGCTATTATTAAAAGTATCTTGCGGAAAGATATCAGAGCTAGAGAGTTTTGACGCAGATAGCTCGAAAAAATTCTGCCACAGGGACATACAATATGTAACAAAACACACTAGTTAATAGATTTAAGAATAAGCATTTTAAAAAATTATTACAAGAACATATTGAAAATTTTTAAAAAATTTTTTTAGATACTTCTAATATAAATTTATTCATTTTCTCACTTAATGGATATTTCAGTTAAGTTTCATTACATATCTAGATTATAAAATTCCAAGACTTAATTCATTTTGCAGCTACTTTATTCTAAAAAAATCTTGTTCAACTTAAAACAGTGATAATAGTTTTTACCCTATTGCTAAGATAAAAATGTTGCAAGTATAATATTACAGTAGGGAACCGATTATCCGGAACAGTCAGGACCATCGCTATTCCGGATAACTGATTTTTTCCGTTTTCCAAAATCGCTACAAAAAGCTGTTTTTTTATTGTTAAACCCAACTAAAAAAAAAATTTTTTTTTGGAGATAATCTTAAAAAGAAGAAAAAACGATAGAGTAATACACTAATGATTATTTCCAAAATAATGGTAAGGTAAACACCTTTCAAAAAAGAACGAAAAATCCTAAAATCTTATGAGGAAAAAGATTTTTTTTTAAAAAATGGCGGGAAAATTTATCGAATTTCGTTCCGGTTTTTTGGTTTTCCGGTTTTCTGATTTCCGGATAACGGGTTTTGTACTGTACAACCATAAGATGAGGCTCATATTAATCAGAAAACTCATTTTGACATTAGTCAATATATGTAATGTAAGATTAGAAATCTAGTTGATTTAATTATAAAATGTAGATAATCTAAAATCACAATCTGTCATACTTAACACTTACTTTTCAAATAAAATTTAATTCCCTTAGATTTTAAGGTTGAATTTGTAAGATTCTTTCATATTTTTTTATTTTTATTTGAAATAACATACTTTTAAGTGCAATTTTAAAATTCACATGCATAATAACAACACAATTTTAAAAATTGAGCTTTCAAAAATAAGCATTAAATATAACTCACACGAGCATCAGTTGGAGCATCCTTCAAGCCGCATTAAAAGTAAAAAAGCATATCATAAAACAGTTAAATATTTTCTTCGCATGATTGAATACAAGTAAAAATTCAGTTGTGTTAGAACGACTTCTGTATTAGTAATGACATATAAAAAAGTTACCATAAGCCAACAATAACAAGGTAGTGGCATACATATGAAAAAAACTAAAAAAAACTCAGAGAAGGAGACTGACTTCAAAGGTACAAGCTGTAGAAATTTCAGAGCAGACCACTTCGATTTTTTTTTTATATATATATATAAACAAGCACCAATATGGAAATAGTCCCTCTGTATCTTCTTATAAGGATATTTCTTTATCAGAATTTATCCGCACGAACTAAAATTGACAAGGTGCTAAAGGGATTTTTAACTTGAAATAGTATGTACACGAATAAATATATATATGAAATAAGTAAGTGGAAAAAACAAGATTATTTTTTTTAGAAAAAAAATTCAACCTACTGTCTTTGTTTCAGGTTTTATTCACAAGGAATTATATTTAAAAGTGGTTCGCTGTATGTGGGAAGGGAGATGGTATGTATTGGCTTGCATTTGCCTGACGAAGGGGACAGATTTTGTTTTCTCATTTAACAAGTTAAATTTTAATTTTCTTACATTTATTTAATAAATTTTTATTATTCATTTTATTATGATGTCAGTAATAATAGGCTAATAAATACATTTGAATATTTATGTAGTTATACATACATCTTTATTACTGATGTATTATTTTAAAATATGTTTATAAGCCTATTATTTTAAAATCTTAAATAAAAGAAACGGCTATTCAACAGAAAACAATAAGGAGTTTACTGAATTTTAAAAAAGTACTGATCACAAGAAAAATATGTAGTAATAATACTATAGGGGAAAAGTATTTATAAGCCATGATAGGTAGTTAATACAAATACTGTGACAGTAAATAGTATTTTTTTTTTTTTTTGCTTATGTTGCAAATGACTATAATGTAAAAGGCATATGACTACACAAATATTTGTTTTAATAAGTAAAAATTTTACAAAATAATTAAAAGATTATTCACACTTCATATTGCAGTAATTTTTATTTGAATCATGGAAATTAAGCTTAATACTAGTGATGTACCGATTATTCGGTCCTTTTGCCAAATATTCGGATGTATTATTTAGAAAACTATTTATCGACAAAGTTTTTTTAAAACTTATTTGTTATTTTTATTATACAATTATGAAAGAACTCATTCAGGTTATTTCGGATTGGGTAAGGTATTACGAATTATGCTCATACAAGTAAGCTTCAAGCTATGAATTGTACCCTTCATGTTAGAACCATTTTGAAATATTTTTTGAATTAGTTTCTCTTGCGCTCGATTGTCCGGAAATAACCAAAATTTGATGTTCATTTTGGACTAAAACCCAATGCAGAAACCTTTACCTTTTCATGAAATATAGGAAACAGTTATTTTATTTATTTATTTCAAATAAAAGTTAAAAAACAGAATAATAAAGATTTTTGTTACTTTTATCCAACACAGCATGCAAGGTAAGACAATAGATAATTTTTTACCATATACATTTCATTATTATTATGAGTTAACATGTTTATAAAAACAATAGTTTCAGAAACTAAAAAAATAATTTATAATATAACTTACTTTTACTTCTATGTCTCCAATTTTGTGAGCAGCTCGAATAATCGGCCGGCCAACAAGAGATGGAAATGTGAAAGCAGGGAAATTAGAACCGGCATAACCACACTTGACGAACTAAATAAGAACTATCAACTTTAGGACCAGTTTTGAAAAGTTACTAACATACAGAAGTAATAATTTATAGCAAGGATTTTCTTTCATCACTACAATTACGACTTAATTAAATAGCGATATGTGATATAATCAAGCATACTAAGAGAAATTCTTGCGACAACATTTAATGAAAAATTATCTAAATTTAAATGGATTTAAAGTGGATCGTCTGACAGATAGCTGGTCAAATTGAAATCGAAAAAAGAATGTTACTCACCCCAGTTCCATTATCACATATGATCACTTGTCGACCTTGGCTATCCATATTTGTTTACAATTTATAAATGAATAAATAATAAGCTTTAATTTCTACTTAAAATGTAATTTATAAACATTGACAGACCATTGTCGGCAACAGGAAGGGTGGTCTAAAACAAGTTATGTTGCCATTTTAAGAATTGATAAATCCTAAAATGATGATTTAATTTAAAAGCATGACGAAATGGAAATATCTTGAGAGCCACTGCTGTTCTATCACGTTAACCCTACAAATCTGCGAAGGCATCTGGAATTGGAGAGCGCAAAAGCTTTTTTTACGCCAAGATTTATCCGGCGGGTGGCAGCTGAATTTTACACGGGATTTGAATGAAAAGACGTGTTCTACGTAATGGGTTGCGGTGAACAAAGTATAGTTTGTCTATAGAAAGAACTTGTGTAGTGTATCTTCCGCTACAAAATATGTAATAGACATGTTAACTCGATTCTATGGTGGGGTACCTTTTCATAGATGAAGGTTTACATTGCCGATTACTCCACGCCCCATATTGGTGACCCGGACGTGATGTGAATATGCCTACTTCGATGGATGGTCCACATTGAACAGTTAACTTGCTGCTTGTGACTGCGACATTATCCACCTCCTCGCACTGTTATTACTCAGTCTCGTCTCAATCACACACAACGTCAGCCTGTATACACTCGAATGCTAATGGCAACACAGGAGCAACCATTACCATGAACTTAACACAGCTCTCACGATCAGCAAAAGTACTGTAATCTTAATACAGCTCTCCCGACTTCTCACAAATCAGCAATGAATCAACTAGTGGTCAATTCAGCGAATTCTATCACAGATATAATTCTGGTGGGAGAATACTGTAGTGTATCTACCACTACAAAAATATAATTCCAATTCACTAGTATATAAGACATGTTAACTCTATTCTATGGTGGGGTACCATTACATAGATGAAGGTTGACATTGTCGATTACTCCACGCCCCACATTATCCTACACTTGTACTAGTAGTACACTACTAGTAGTACACTTGTACTACTGCTGTGTAAAAAAGCACATTTCAAAGAGGGGGGGGGGCTTCTCTCTCTCCCAATTCTGTTTCTCTCGTCAACCCGAGTGAAAATATGTCATAAATTTTAATCTGACTACAAATAGATATAACTCTTAAATAATATAACTTAAAATAGATATAACTCTTAACCATAGGTACCACCACTGCTATAGACAAATGGCGAGGGGAGTTCTTTACATATATTGACTATAAGTATATTTTGTGAATCCTTTATTTCTATAAATAACTTTTTTCTTGTTCTAGTTGTATGGACACAAAAACTCTTGATGATTGTTTTTTCTACTAAATTAATTATTTTTCTTTTCTGTTCGTAAGCCTATAATTTTCATTTACATTAACCATATGTTGAGTTATTAAATTTTTTGTTTTGTTCAACTACCATGTAGAACCATACTATTCGCATATTTAAGGTGGACTCGAATAATGATAGCTCTAATATTTATTTATATTTTCTCATGGAAATTTGCATTACTCAAAATATGATTTTTTTTTTCTCTTTTTTTTCCTTTTCTTTTTTTGCTTTTTAGAATTATGTAGTAAAGCAGTCAAACAATCATTATGTAATACTTTCATTTCAATTTGAACTATCTATTTCATTCCAATTTGAACTTTAATCTATTCCATCCCTGATGAATCCTGATTTGATCTGTCACCTTGATACGAATAGAGATGATTTGAAAGTACTCCTTTAACTTGTTTGAAATGTATTAAATTGGAATTCTTTATAAAAATAAAGCTTTTTCAAAATTTTCAAACAAAATTTTATATAGTTGACAAATTGAATATTATCTTTCATGCTCTGAAGATGAAATTTTATTTTCTCCATTACACTCTTTATCATTATTTATTCTGTGATTAATGGGGGAATTTGGTAGTGAGAAAGACTGTCGAAGAGTTAAAAATATTAACAAAAATGATAAAGAATTTCACTTTAATACAATTTTTAAAATTCAAATAATTTCAATCAATCGTATTTGTATTTCCTAACAATTGAAAAAATAAATTTTAAAAAATATATTTATAAAAAAAGTATTTTCCTATAACGCAAAAACGTTGTAAGAAAAAAATTGCGCATCGATGTCTCACATACACGCTCGCACTTATAACATATATTTTGATAAAAAATTGTTCAACAAATTTTATATCCCAAGAAACTGACAAATCATACATTGAATTTTATGCATAAATTTTAATTAACTAATTAAAGTCATTAATTTGTTAATAACTTAATGATAAAGCTAAATAAATTTGTTTTTGGAATTTATAAATTAATATTATATTAAGAATCCTTGTACAGTTTGCGTAAACCATAAAAAAAATATACTTCTGTCGTAACGAGAAATTCTGGGAGCCCCTTAAACTACGTCTAATATACTTTTTTAGAAATTTTTTAAAATTAAAGTAAAAAAGTAAACCCAATTTATGTCGTAAATTAATATTCAAGCGAAATAACAATAAGTGTTCGAAATTTGTCTAGTCACTAGGGAAGAAAGAGGCAATAAAAATTTCAAAATTAGTTTGGTTGCTTAATGAAGTTAGGGTGGACTGGTTGTAAACTATATTTCGATCGTAACGGGAAATTTGGAAGCTCCTTAATTTGAATCTAATATTTTTTGAATTTCTATTAAAAATGATGAAAAAAAGAAGTAAAAAAGTAAACTCATTAAATATAGCAAATTTATATTTAAGCAAAGAAACAAAAAAAGATCAAAATTTAAATATATCCGCTTAAGATTTACAAAAACGAGGAAAAAAAAGTTATACAGACTGATCATGCTCTGCATAAAGAAATGAAACTTTTTATTAGTATTTAAATAGAGTCAACAGCTAATAGCATTTCACTACCAACCAAACAAATATTTAACAATTGAGTAAAGAATTTTTTAAGAAATAGTAATATTAAATACAACAAAAATTTAACAATTTTTGGAGCACATCATACTCTTGAATCTCAAAATTAAATTTACCATACGTGCAAGCTACATATTTAATAATTTTCGTTGCATCATTAGTATTATTTATTCATTTTCTGTTTGTTTCTTTTATACATTCACTGAAAGTATTTATACAAATTTTATTCATTTATTTTATTCATTTCGTTTATACATTCATTGAAAATTTATATTCCTTTTTACAAGGAGTTGAAAGGAATTCGAACCCTCCATGCCGCTAAAATGTAAAAACCTTTTTTCTCTGTAAATGGAGCATCTGCAAATTTAGTGGACATGAAGAATGATTAAGCAATAACGATGTTAACGATGATAATTTTACCCAATAGATTTTTATCTAGTTTAATAAGCAGCGGCTTCTAAGCAACGCCCTCAAGAAATTACTACAACTTTTACTTAAAAATATATTATTTGGGGATTTGTGGCAACAGTAAAAAACTCTAAGCGAAAACTTTTGAGTCATTGGATTTATTTGCAAACACAAGTGAACTTCAAAATCATTAAACAGCTATAACAAATTACCAACATGAGGGATGTCAATGCATATTTAACAGCTCAACAAACTAAGAGCACTCCAGAAAGAGCTGAAGAATGGGCACTGATGGAAGAATATTACAACAAAAAGTAGACAGATATATTTTTTAATTGTTAAAGAAATTACTTTTGTTTTAATGCCATCTTGTTATCTTAATAGTTTTTTGTTTAAAAAAATGTACCATCGTGATTCGAAATAATTTTAAATCACCTGTTGTTTCTTTTTCTTTAAAGGTCGGTTTAAACTTACAGCAGTGGATTACCTGTTTTAATAATGCTGAATCTATGCTTTTTATAGGAGTAATTCAGTTTTAAATTAAGGATATGCATTTTCTTTGTAATAATGGAGAACTATGATTTTTGTCAAGAGTAATATTAAATTTATGACTTGTAATGGGATTGAATTATTTATTAATAACGGAGCTGGAGTTATATTAAAGAATAAATGGTGATATTTCCTTGTTAGTAACTTCATGCCAACTTGGAAGATTTCTGTTCTGGTATCTATCCCAGTAAGAATGAAAACCGCTAATAGAAATTGGAAATTACTCTAATAATAATAAATAAAATTGCACAATGGGCAGCCTTGATAAGTTATTAATAGCCATGATGTATAAACATGTTTTCATCCTATTATGCAGTGGCGCAGTTTTAATGTACGTTCGAGGGAGTTATCTGTTATCTCATTCTAATATATATATTCTAAACGTTTAAATTACAAATGAAAAAAACTTTTTTACATCTTACTTACAGTATACCACACAATAGTTCATGAATCAAGTAATCTTTAATTTGGGAATGGGTTTTGTCCCCCAAACCCTTCCTAAAACTACGCCACCGGTATCATGTAAATAGTTATCAATATTTATATTTTTAATATATGTATTTTCATTATAGCCAGCATGCATATATTTTCCAAGTAAGAAAAGATAATATTATATGATGTTTTAAGTTGGCATGATCAGATACCATAAGATACTAATAAGATACTAATAATGCCTCCCACCAATTGAATTCACCCAAACATCAAAAGAAAAGTTCTGACTGTTGTGCTTGGAGTATTTAATAATACAATTTTTAGCGGCTTGTTGAATATTTTAGTTATTGCGTTTGTTCTATTCTGTGATATATATATATATATAAAATTTAGTTTGTTGTACGCCACTGATAAGTTTTTATGTTGTATGCCACTGATCAGTTTTTGCCAAAATGTGAACATTATTTCAAAGCAGAGTCTGATACAGAAAATTTCCCAAATTATGACAATGTTGCATTAAAATTACAAGTTGTGACAAAGTCTTTATGATCAGTCTATTAATGAGAAAACTGACGACTCTGCTACTACCGTCATAAAAAAAACCATGAAAGATATATTCATAGGAAAAATGGTTCTAGTTCATTTTTTTTAAGAACATCTATTTTATATTGTTTTAAAAACATAGAAATTAAAAGTGTAAAAAACCGTGCTAACCAAAAAGTAGCTATGAAATTCCATCCTGGTATGCCTATTTAATTTCAAGAGCAAATTAATGTCAGATATTTCTGTACCGGAATCTATTGTGCCAATTATAATCGCCTAGGTGCCAAATGGATATTAAATTTTTAATTAAAAAAGAAAACATGTAGAGGTTTGCTTGTTGGTGACTACGAATGTTTGTCCTTTTCTGTGATCATTTTTTTTTTTAGTTTCTCGTGGGCTGCTGTCTGGAAGTTGCCAAGACTTGGACATTATTTTGCCGCAAATCACGATACAAAAATCTTCCCAATTAGTGTCCTATATGAAAAAATTAATATATATATAAATGTACACTTAATATATATTTAGTGTATCTTAATTTATAATTCTTATCAAATATCATTTTTTATTTCCAAAGCACTTTGTTTCTTGTATATAGAACTTTTAAATTATACTGCTATTTTTCTTTCCTAGGTTATGGCATCAAATAACATTGAAACTCTTAGATCTTGTAAAATATCCAGAATTACTAGAAGGGACTGCTTTAGTGGAGGTATGCTAGATTTAAATGATAAATGCAACTGTAAATATTTTGAAGTATTTGCCATTAAACTAGTTTAATTTATTTTAACTTTGATATTTTAGTATGAAATTCAACATTAAGTCACTATTTTAAGTGCACAGAGCTTATTCTAGGCAGGGTAAACAAAGCGCAGCACCCTGCTGCCCTTTTAGTCAAAAGAATCCACCCTGTTGCCCCTGAAGTAAATTAGTGCCCTGATGTAATAGACTCCATACCCTTTTTGTTCTTTCTTTTCTCAACCCTTTATTTTTTTCCCCAAACTCTACAATGCATTTCTTAAACTTTTGTTATTTTTTAACTCTGTTTATTTAGTTTGTCATTGCTGTCAATACATAGATTTATATGGGAAAGGAAAAATAGCCATCACACCCCCTAGTACTTGTCTTTGAAAGTTTGCAGTTACTTCCACTATCATTAAATCATAATATTTATTAATGATTTGATTTTAATTATTAAATCATAACTACAGACACGTAAAAACATACATTTATTATTTTATTAATATATACATGCATTTTAAATGAATTACTACTAAGCTAATTAGCTCAATATAAATGCTAATTTATTAATAAAAATTAGTTATTAATATGATTGCTTTGCTACTATTGGTAAAGTTAAAAAAAAAAAATTACAATGTTTTTTAAATAAAACGTGTAAAGCCCATGGAAAGAAATTATTGCTTTTTTAGAATAATAATGCCCTTTTTTGAACTTTTGCACCCTGCCCTTTTTTCTGCCTAGAATGAGGTTTATAAGTGCAATAATACATTAACATCTGCACTGATTTTTCTTTTAAATATTTTAAGTAATAAGATATAATAATGACTGTTAAAGTATAAATATTTCATTTTAGAAAATATATTAATACTATTAAATCGAAAATAATTAATGAGCTTTTAATTATTTGAATTTTATTTTCTCGAAGTGATCACTTGATTACATATAACACAAAGTTTTGACATAAATATTGAATTTCAACGGTGTGATATAAGTATGTGTCTCTAAAAAAATGTTTAATATTGAGTGGTTTGATAAAGTAATAAATGAAAAGCTGATTATTATGTGTAAATGAAAGCCAGTGGCTTGGGAAATAAAACAAGAAAAAGGATTAACAATGTAGTGTGATGACTAAATTTTTCAAAATGAGATTGGCGTTCTTTGGATTATTTCTCCTAAAGTGAACAGAAAAGAGGTGGTTAAATGTGATTTGGCGTAGAGGTAATTGGAGAGAAATCAGATGCCCTGGTAAAAATTAGAGTGTAAGAAAACTCTTTGCTGAAATTTGAATGAGTTTTATATATGTGCAATTAATATTATTTTTTAAGCAAATTGAATTGAAAACATATTTTTCATTTTACAGTTATATGAAAATTTCATTGCTGATTTTGAAAATAAGTAAGTAAATTGTTTTATATTTATATATTTTAAATGCTAAAATAAGTGTTTTTATCTATCATTCACTTTGGTTTTGTTTCATTTATGTATTGTTTTAGTTCCTCTGTGAATTCTGCTTTTACTTTTGAGATTAATGATTTAAGGGATATGATCACTTAAATCATCTTGATAAGTGACTCTTAATTGATTTGTTTTAAAACAAATCTTTCGATTAAAAGTTTATTATAGTTAATTTGGGGATACTGATCAATAAATTTTTATTGTATCAGTTTGTAAACAGGTTCAGTGATTTTTTAAATTTGATAAATTAAACTTCAATTAATTTTTTTTAAATGTTTCTAAAGATATTCAAAGAAATTTAGTTTATAGTTAAATTTTATAAACATAATTATTATTGAAACATTTCAACAAATCATGATATTGTATTCCAAACTATATTGCTTTATTAATTTTTTTATAGCTATATACAATGTACGATTCAAATTTATTAAAAATGTTATAGAAATGGTATATTTTAAATAAATAATATTGAAAATGTATCATTAAAATATATCATATTATAAGAAAAGGTAATTTGTATATATCTTTTAAATAGTTTTTTTCATGCCAAATTTTGATGAGTTTGTTTTAACGTAGTAATTATACTTTAAAATTTAGAAATATATTTGTAATTTTAAAATAAAATGTGGTTCTTCATAATGTAACAGTGATTTAAAATTAGGTAGGATTTTATTGCCATCATGTTTTTTTAAATAAATTTCGTGTTCGGTTACCACTTTTTACTGACAAAAGCACGTATGTATAAAATAACTGCTTTATTATTTTTTTATGTATTTGCATTCTGAAAAATCCCAAAAAATTATAAAATTTTAAAAATATCATTTTAAAAGTACTGTAATTTATTACACACCAAGTGCTAATGTAATTTTCTTAATTGCAATTAACACAATTTATTTGTAGTAATTTTAAAATGATGAAAATCAATAAAAAATATAAATAATTCCAAATTAAAATGCTTCATAAATTCAAATTGAATAATTAGATTTTTTAAAATAATTTGATTTAAACCAAGTTAGTTTAAATCAACGAACCCTGTAGGACATGATTGAAACTTGTATAATTATTAGACAAAGTTCTGGTGTAGGAGTTAGAATGTTCTAGCTAGCTAAGAGTGGTTGAAATTCGATTTCCAGATAATGACAATACAAATAAAAAGTGTGTTGATAAAAATGTTGTAATAATCTTGAATCTTATGATAAAATACCTTTTGTGTGGGCAACCTAATTAAAAAATTATATACTTCATTGGAAGTACTAGAAAAAATGTTGAAAAATAGAATTTTTTTTTTTAAAATTTTAACATTCACACGTGTTGATAAAACATAGCAATAAATTACATGTTGATAACAGGTTGATAAAATATGCCAATATTAATAATAATTATTACTTGTTGATAAAATATACCAAGAAAAAGGTAACATATTTTCACATTCAGAAACGGATAAATGTTTGTGAAATATTTATTTTGACTGTGTAAGAAACTCTACATATTACAATGCTAAGCCAATTGATTTAATTTAAACATTACACTGTTCCATTAAATTGTACATGCTATGATGTCATAAGATAATTTTAATTTTTTTTCCTTTTCTTACAGAATAAATCCATTGTCTCTTGTTGAGATTTTGAAGTTTGTGATAAAGCAGATAGATGGTAAGATTCAGGATATACTCTACTCCACAAATAGTTCAGTGTTTCTGCTAGACTTTGAAAACTATGGGTCCTTACGTCATATGACATTTAAAGTTTTGAGTTTTTTTTATTACTAAAATCATGTATTTTTTAAAATAATATAAATCTCACATTTATATTTTTCAGTGACGTTAGTTTGAATTTAAATCACTTGGATTGATTTAAATTTATCCCCACATCTTCTGTTTCTGTCATTAGTATTTATTTCTTCATGAGATTTTTTTTTCTTCTAAAAGCAAAAATTTTTAATTTTCTATATTTTTCTTTTTGAAGTTTATTTTTGCCTACTTAAATCTGCCGTCTGTATTTTTTTCTGTGTTTATGTCCCAGAGGACACATTGTAACTTTTTTTTGCATCCCATCAATGATTTCTGGCATATTTGATGCACTATAATTCATTAGCAGAAACCCTGTCAGTGTTAATATTTATGGTGGTATTAAAATTATTTTATAATTTTTTATTTTGTAGATTATGATAAGAAGATTGAATTCATGACAAAGACCAAGGAAAAGGTAATAATATAGCTATATAGTTAGCTAAAATTTAATAGCTGGCTCAAATTTTCTTTCCTTCTAAACTATAGAAATGGGTATTAATCTGTATGTTTTTTTAAAGGTTAAAGGTAATAATGAAGCTGTCATCTTGTGCAATATTATTTTGGGTTTGCTAAAATTAGAAAAGGGAGATTTAGATGGAGTTAAAGTGAGTTATAATAAAACATATTTGTAATGACAACTGTTAAGTTTTAAATAAATTATAAATAAAACAAATGTTATATTTCAGAAAATAATTGAAGAGACACAAGTAATGATTGATGAGATGGATGGAATAACATCAGTGCATGGCAGATTTTATCAGCTGAGTAGTAATTATCATCAAATTAATGGCCAGCATGCTCAATACTACAGGGATGCTCTTCGCTATTTGGGTTGTACTGATCTGGATGATATTGATGGTAACAACAAACTTCATATAAAATCATACAAATTTATATTAGTTGTTCATAGAGGTATCAACTAATATGATTCATCTGTAATTGTTGCGATTTCATAGTCAGTATTACTGTCTTACAGTTGAGTAATAAAAATTATGGTTTTTGAGATTTTTCTTAATAATCTGTTTAAAATAAGTTTTTATCCCCTTAACTATTAATAGTTATAAAATATTGTTTACAACTAATCCATGAATTTTTTTTATGAATTCCTTAAACTATTCTAAAATAATTTAAAAAAATTTTATTTGATAAAAACTAGAAACAAGAAATAAAAATTAAGAAATCTAGTCTTTTCCTTTATCAACAAGCTATTTTGAAACATTATCTTTTTTCTCATGGAATGCCAAAGGAACATGAACTAAATTCTGAAATGCTCTGAGCAAATATTTTTAGTTGTTCAAAAAAAAAAGAAAGAAAAAAAGGATGCTACGGAAGCCATCAGGGCTAAGAGATGTATATTAGCTAGTATATAACCAAAAACTCGAACATTGATACCGAGTTATAATTATGAATTTTTTATGTTACAACAAAGTATAAAATTCCTGTGTTTATAATTTTTTGTTGAGTACTTTTACTTTTTTGTATTTAATAGCAAATTCATGCATAATTTTATTAATATTATATACCCATATAGAACTAATTTGTATGTACACATTAAAATCGCCGTAATTAAAATTTTGTAAACGGTAACTGTATATACATCTGTATTATTGTATACTTTTATTATTGATAACTAGTTTGGAAAGTTGGCACCTTTAATGTGAGTTTAAATGTTGCCTAAATGGGTTTCATGAAGTAAAGAAGAAACGTTTTTATTCCTTTTAGAAAAGTGCAATTATCTATATTAAATCCCTGAAAAAATCGTTTTATTTATTTACCTAATTTCATGATTCAAAATTCACTTTTTACAATATATGAAGATTTTAATAAGGTAGTTATTTTATTGAATAATGGCCAAAAAATCCACCTGGATATAAAATGGAATCAGTCATTTTTTTCTTTACATTTTTAGTCCCACGGCTTAGAGATAGCAAAATAGCTAAAAATCTGTAAACTTCTGTAATCTGGATTTATCAAACCCTTAACAGTCCGGGTTTCTGAGATTATGCTGTATTGCTTTTTATTACTTAATTACCCTTTTAGGTTGGTATGGGATAAATACATAAAAATCAAAGTTGGTACTGTAAAAAGGAAAGAAAATTTACAACTTAAATTTTAAGTTAAAAAACTTATGCTATAAATTTTTAATATTTTTTTATTGAATATCTTAAATCATTTTATACTAAATTGACTGATTATAATTAAACTGATAATACTTTTCTATAGTTTTTTAAAGGTCTCAAGTGAATTCTATGTATAATAAATAGGATTAATGATTGAAAATTAAAAAAAAAAGTTTTAATTCTTTATTTAATTGACTAACCACTAGTTTAGGTTATCAAAACTTATCATTAATTTAGTGAAGGATTGCTTCCTTTATCTGTAAAGAACTTTTTCACTAAAAATCAAAGTTTTTGTACTGTTAGAAATTTAATTTTTCTTATTGTAAATAATTTGTAAATAAATGATAAATATTAAGGAAGGATTTCTATATATTAAAATATTTCTTTTTATCAAACAAAAGAAACAGCTATTTTAAAATATATTATGGTTAACAGGTATTTTAATTTTTTTACTTAAACACACATTCTTAAATTTCTTTAAGATATTGATTTTTCAAAAAATATTAGTTTAATTTCATTTTTTTTAAATTTCTTACTACAAAATATAGACTGTATTTTGTATTTATTAACATTCTTCATAATTTTTGCATATAACTTGATAATTTGCTGAGTGAATGTTCAAACTCATATTATTGTATGCTACAGTTAAAATATTTGTGTTTTCTGTGTTTTGACTTAAGAAATGTAATCTGTAATACAATAAAATCAGTATTTGTTCAGATATGGACTTTTATGTTAGAATTTAAACAGAATGCATTTTATGCAATTGCAACTAATTTTTAAATATTTATGAAGACAGACATAAGCTGAAATCAAAATTCCAATGGGCATAAAAGAATGTTAATTGCAGAGCTTATTTGTCATACAATTTGTAATCCTGAAATGTGTCATTTCTTTGCAAGTGAGGTTTGTATCTTTTATAACCTTCCTCCTTCTCAGTAGTTTTAAAAATAAATAAATTAAAATTATATATATATAAATTTTAAAAGGGTAAGGTAGTTTGACTTATTTCATTTGTTTATGTATTGCTAACCTGTTTTTAAAATTATGTTTTATGGTGCAATTTTGTTTTAAATAGGTACAAATTTGTACAGTGTTTCTGACAACAAAATATTGAATTTAGCCATTTTGTTTCTAATCAATCTTTAATGTGTTATTACAATTTATATGCTCATTACTAACAGCCATGGATATTCTGTTTTTATTCTGTGTTTACTGGTTAATTATAACACTTTCCTTCAACAGTTGAAGAGAAGAAATCTCGTGCTTTTACCTTGTCTCTTGCTGCACTTTTGGGAGAAGGTGTCTATAACTTTGGAGAATTGGTAAGGATAAAAAATATTAATGCTGTATAAATTTAGTGATTATTTTTTCTTGAAAAATATTATTTATACTTTTATGTATAGTTATGTTTTTTTTAATGGAAAGTTGGCATGATTTAAATCACTCGATTTAAATCAATTGATTTTTGTTAAAAAATTCATAATTTAGAATGCTTGATTTTTTAAAAAAAATAAATCTTTATTTAAATCAACAAATTTTTTAAAGCATTAATTTAAGTCTAATTTTATTAAAACACAATATAATTGATGAGTATAAGGGAGTGAATTTAAGTTTGATTCCTTTGATAATGAAGGTTTTATCTAGAGACAATGAAAAAAAATGGATGTTTATGAATTATTATTTGATGTTCAAAAAAGAATAAATAATAAACTAACTGTGGATAAAAGTGGCATGAAACTTTTAAATTATAATTTTCAATTTCATTATTTGTATGTCAGATAATTTGCTTTTAATAAACATGTTTCAATTTTACCTATTTAGTTTTGAATTTTTTTTTAATTACAGGAACTTTTTAACCGTTTTAAAAGTGTACTTAATGTTTATAAGTAATTGAATTTAATTACAATTCATGAGAATGTTGAACTTTAATAAAAACCGAAATCCCAACAGTAACGAAGGGGCAGCTTAATCAAATAATCTTATTCTGGTATATGACAGATATGACTGGTGTATGTCACAGTGGAAATTTTTATTAATTTTTGTGTCTCATGCAACTAACCTCTTAAATGCATGAAAGCTCTAAACTTTTTTGACTTGAAATTGCTTTAAGAACTTTTTGTTTTTTGTTACTCGACCGCACACTATCTATGGATTAATGTTTAATCAGAAAACAATCAGACACGGAATATGTATTAAAGATTATTGTTTTAGGGGAGATTGGAAAAAATACATGAACAGAGGCAATTTTTTTTTATTTTCCATTACTAGTTGTCCCTCAAATGTTTCAAAACTTTATAGTTTCCGTTATGGTTTTTCTAATATAAATATACTACTTAGCAATAATGACTGTCGTACAGTGCGCAAAATAAAAAATAGACCACCCTAGTAACTTTTGATCTGATGAGTGGATTTTCACATTCTAGGACTCAATCTTAAAAGCTTGAGGGGATGACCTCAAATATGTTATTAATTAGTGCAGTCAATATTTTTAAGTTACAAAATCAGACACAGAAACTTACTTTCTCTGAATAAATATACTTTTTTTGTAGACAGATTTGGATTAATGGCCCCCATAATATAGGGGGTAGCTGTAATCTGGAATATATGGTTCACATAGTTTAGTTAAGAGAGTGGTTGAAAAATTGGACCCCTTAATTTTAAGTTTTTTGTGTGCGTATTTTGCTGTATCTCGAGAACTTTTTAAGCGAATAGAAATATTTTTGCACACAACTATAAAACTCGTTTATCAAAATATAACTTTTAGTATATGTTAATTATTTTATTTAATAGTAGTTGAGGAAATTTTGAATTGTAAGGTATGAAGTTTTATACATCATTTTACATGTTGTAATTTATTCAAAATTATATTGGTTGTAATTTATACAAATATTAATACAAAATTTGAGCAAAATCGGTTGAATTGTTCTTGAGAAATTGAATTTTAAAAATACGACTTCTTTAAAATTTTATTTCTAAGGAAACTATTCAATCGATTTTGTTCATATTTTGTATTTTGCCTAATAAAATTACATTTGTTAAAATGATGTAAAAATTTTTATAAATTTTAAAATTATTTTGACTATTATTAAATAAAATTGAAAAAAACAGTAAATATTTACTGAAAGTTATATTTATCATGGAATTATCTTTGCATAAATAAATTTTATAGTTGTGTGCAAACATTTTTCAATTTACTTAAAAAGTTCTTGAGATGTGACGAAATACACAAAAAATAAAATTAGCATTAAGGGGTCTAAACTTTGGACAGCTGTCTTGACCAAACTATGGGGACCATATTTTCCAGATTGCGGCTACTGCCTATATTTTGAATGTGAGAAATCTGAATCCATAAAAAAAAGGTATTTCGTAACTTAAAATATCGTCTGCACTAATAAATTAGCCTATTTGAGATCACCCCTTTCAATCATAAAGATTGAGTCTTAGAGTGTAAAAATCTTAATTATTAGTTAAAAAGCTATTCAGTGTGGTCTGTTTCTTAATTTGTGCACTGTACATACTTCTGAGAAGTTGTGATAAAATTTAATAATATTTATTTTGAACGTTAATTTTTTTTCATTTGAAAGCTTGCTCATCCAATTTTGAACTCCTTGAAAGAAACCAGTAAAGAATGGGTGATAGAACTTCTTTACACTTTCAACAGCGGTGATTTAGCAAAATATGAGGAACTGAGCAAATCATGGAAACAGCAGGTATGAATTTCTATTTTATCTTAGCATAAATTCATTATGCTTTTGTCATGTCATTATAGCCATTACATATTTTCTAGCTTTTGAATTTCCTTTATTTTATAAAACTCATATTTATATTAATGATTTCTAATTCTCTTTTTAAATTAATAAATTAGTTAATTTTTATTCGATTTCATAAAGAGTAAAAGCCATTATTTTCAAAAAATTTTCTTTGCTCTGCAATTTTCTTACAGATTTTGTTCAACTAAATAAATTATTTTGATTTTTCTTTTTGCTCAAGAACAAAAACATTTAAAATTTAAAAAAGGATAAATGGTTTTGAATGTAATTTTTATCTTACGAGGAGAAAAAACGATAATTCGACATTCAAACTTTCTGGACAAAAACTCATAAAATTCTTAATGAAATAAAGTTTTTAAAGTAATCGAGTGAAATTTTGCATAGTTGTAAATTATAATTCATTTTTTCATCTGACTTTTATATTAATCTCATTAAACCAATATTTATTATTCTTAATAAATAAATAGTTTAATTCTTGGTTTTATGGTAAAGCTATTTCATCTTGATAAAGTATCAATAATCGTCAATTTAATCTATTAATAGTTTTTAATGACCAAATTTATTAATTGCTTATATGTATGTTTATTATTAATGCAAATTTTAATTTTTGTGACATTAATTTATTTGTATGTTTTGTATTATTAAAGTTTTAGCCAGATTAATATTTACAAATGGTCTTGATGAGAATATTTTCAAGAATAATTGAAGAGGATTGAGGACCAAAAGATTGTGACCAAAAATTTTACATTTCTTATTATAATTTCATAAAATTATAATGCATTTTTATATTGTATTCCTCTTTCTGAATAATTTAAATAATTGTTAAATTATTTTTTTTAGGCTGATTTAGCTGCAAATGAGCTTCCTTTGCGCCAGAAAATTTCTCTACTTTGTTTAATGGAGGTATTTATATATAAATTCAAATATTAAATTACAGTTTTTTAATATTTTACTCTTTAATATGCATGAATTAATTCTTAAGGGTAAATTTTATTTAATATTTTTTTCCAGATGACTTTCAAAAGGCCAAGCAACAAAAGAGTTCTTACTTTTAGTGAAATTGCTAGTGAAACTAGATTGCCAGAAAATGAGGTGATTCAATTCTGTGAATAATTTCATGTAAATTTTGTTAATCTGCAATTATTCTTTTAAATTCTTTTCTAAGTTTCTTTTCTTTTTAAACAGACCTGATTTTAGTTGCAAAAGTGCTACAAAGGCATGAAAAATGCTACTGTTTCTTTAAAAATATGGGATTGATGTTATAGTATGAAACTCCATGTTACAAACGCTTATTTTTTAAAATTTATTTGTTTTAAAAACAGTTTAAAACTTTAAAACATTTATGCTTTTCACCCAGGGGTGACTGTATTCAATGTTTTTCATATCATCCTTCTGGATCTAAAAACTAGTAGCAAAACATGATATTTTTACTTAAATTTCGCATATCTCAAGATCGTTGTTTCACAGACTTCCACGTGTCAAAAACTTATCTGACAAAATTTTCAGATTTCCTCAATCTAAAATTTAAATTTTGAAATTTTTGCTAAATCTTGTTTATGAAACATTTACATACATGATTCTTCCTTTTATTGGTGGAAATCCGCCAATTTGATTAATTTTGTTTTGTCATTTTGAATTGATGGAACTGTGCTGGAATCTGCTAATATAACCATTCACATTCATGCTATTTTAGTATCAAACATCGATTTTTGTGTTTACCAGAATTTAAGATTTCACGTTGGAAATTGTTTTTACGTAATCTAAAAATCATGCATCACAATTTGTCTTTAGTTGACTTAAATATCCAATATCACAATTAGTATTTTCACGTTTTTTAAATCTAATTTTGTGATTCATATTCACATGATTTTAAAATCAAATTTTATGATTCTTCTAAGATTTTTTTCTTAAATTAAATTTAAAGGTCTGATATTCTTCATTGCTAGGTAATTTAATTATAAATCTTAGTTCCAAAAATTATGTCAAACATCAAACATGTATGGTATATAAATTTATTATAATTTATATTAACTCGATATCAAGATTCTTGATATTGAGTTTATGCACATAAAATTTTCAGGGTTTTTCTTTCTTTTACAATTACTCCTGTATTACTTCTTGTATCTGAGCTTTTCCAGAAATTGTTATTTTCTTATTTTTAAGAGATTGTAAATCAGATTTTTTTAGCACTGGTTTTTTCCATTTAAAATTAATGATACTAATATTTCAAAATTTTTGTGTTTTATAACAATAAATAAATGTTTCTAATTTTGTTGCTGTCAAAATTGTTGTAAAATTAAAATTTGGAGCACACTCAGCAATAGCGTTGCAACTTGTCTCATTACCAGGCTTAGATAAAGTGAAGAACTTTCTACAAACACAAAATCTCAACAAAAAAACTTTCTGCTAGCATTTTTTTAGACTCTTTTAAATAGCTAAAAGCATGTCTAATTTTGACGAAATTTGTTCAAAAATCAATAACTTTTTTTTTTAAAGCTTTTGTGATATTTAAAAAAATTTTATATTGATTGTTATACATACAAACATATGTTTCTTTAAATTTAGCTGTTTTTTTTTAAGATATGAAATTAGTTATTGACTTACCTTGTTTTATTTCATACTTATTATTTTTTTTACATATCAAAAATCTTTATAGCTGAGAAGCATTTCAATACAAACATTTAATAAATATTTTTATTAGAAACATTTTTTAATTATCACTTAAATAATCTTGTTTACATTTGTGTTTGAAGTATATTATGCATATCTGCACATTTCCATAGAAGGTATTAAACATATCAGTAGCAAAATTGTTAGCTAGAATAAAAATGTTATCATGTTATATATAAGAATTTGTTTTAAATTACTCAAAGCTACAAAAATGACAAGTATTTGAAGAAAAATAAATGGAATTTCATTTGAGATGTGTGACTTTTTATATAATAATAAGTGTAATTTTTTTGACTTGTGGCAAAATTTTTTCTTCTTTTTAATCTTTGGTAAAATCTTGCCAATTCTTATTGAGTTTTAGATAACTTGGTATTTATGAACTCTATGTTATGTTTTATTTATATTTCTTAATTGTCTTTCTACTTATTTTCCATTTAATTATATATAGGAATTTAATTATATTGCTTATGTTGTTTTAAAATATTTGTAGTTTTGTATGTTTTATAAATTATAATTTTATAAATATTAAATTCTAAAAATTAATTTGAACCAAACACCAGATTTATTTGCTCCATTAAAAAAAAATATTTTAAATACTTTTTTTACGTTAATAGGAAAAGGATACTAGTTGTCAAAATGGGCAAATTTAACTTATATCTCCAAGAATGATGCATTTAAGTATTTACTGCGTGGTTAAGTAATGAAGTAATGTTTTTTTGTTGTAAGAATAAGAAAATATAGTATTTTAAAATTTTTTTTGTTGCTTTATCGAATTGATAAATTAACTACGGTTGATGATTTATACTTTCTTTTGCATAGGAAAAAAAAAAAAATTTAACAGGATGGCTTTTCACACCAGAAATGAGTTGAGAAAATCTGAAATGGTCAAAAATTTGAAATCATTTCTGGTCATTTTAGTGATGATGCACTTTAGGAGTTTGCTCTAATACTGTTATTTTTATGTGTAATAATTAATCACTCATAAACTTACCTAGAAATACTATGCTTCTTATTTCATGCCATTGAAACCTTTGCGTAAGGGGCATGGTATGAAGCCGGTCAATTTTTTTGTATCAAGCCAATGGTTAATATATAATTCAGTATATTTCATCAATGTTTTCTTATTTTGATTTTTGACTAAACAAATATTTTATTTATGTAAGCTAAACCTTATAAAATTATTGAAAATTGATTATCTATCTAATCTTTTTATGTTTCTTTTTTTATGTTTAAAATTATTACTTAAAAAAATTGTTATTTATTATTAAATTAAGTTTTTAGTTGAATTATGAACAATCTCAATTTTAAAATTTTTTTCATAAAAAGTGAAAAACATTTATTTTTGTATATCTTGCAATGAAGAAGATATATTTATTTCAGAAATAAAAAACATTTCTACTATCAAAAGGAAGTAAATCCTGTTAAAAGAATCACAAACAGCGTCAGTTTGGAAAGCTAGTTAATGTAGTATTTATTTATTTATTTGTTTTTTGTTGAAAAATATTTAAATTTTTTGAAAATATCGTTGCATTATTTATGTTAAAATGACACCTCAAAATGACTAAAAAATATCTGTTTTTGTTCGTTAAAACAAAGATAAAAATAGGTTTTTGATAATAACCATAATAATAATAATTATAATAATAATAATAAAAAACTGACTAATGTACAATTTTGAACAACCTGTCCAAAATTACTGAGCACATAATTTTATAATTAAAATAGGGTGTACTTTGTGCTATGTAGATTACAGCAAAAAGAAAAACGGAGAAAGTGTATGAAGCACATATGTAAATACTGAAATGGACATACTTTAGTTTCACTTCTATAAACAGGAATCTTTCTCAATTGTCTTAACACCAATTGATAGTGGACAAACATGTGCAAAGTGGTTTAACCTTTAAGGACAGAGGAACAAGATGATGAAAGGGAGATTAGAGACATATTCTAATATTTTTGATTCCCTTTTTTATTAGTCTTTATTTTGAACTAATCTCATTGCCCAAACTTTCCAATTCAAAGTATAAAAATTGGAATGTTTTACCTTATTATTTGAAAATGAATCCCTAAAATTCTAAGGTTTTGAATAAATTTGATCTCGAAATAATTTTTTCCCTGTAAATAAACTAAATTTCACCAACCTTAATTGCCCTAATGCTGATATTAATAGCTGGAGTATATTTCAAAAATTCATGTCATTGTTTTGTGTATATTGTACAAACTAAACTTATCCTTAAATTTCAATTTATTCCATCCGACATTAACCATTCTTCCATTGTCATGCATTGTTGGAATTCTAATAACAGGTTTGAATTTTTTCTGCTAAAATCATTTAACACTGTTCTTCATCTACTGAACTTGATTTCGTGGAATAATTCCATACTTGAAAAAATGTAATATTTTAGTTTATGCTCTTTCTAGTATCATATCTTTTCCTAATGTTTGGAAATCTGTTCTAATTTATTCTTCGCACCCTGGGACTCCCCCCTAAAGATAATAAAAGAAGGTTCTTTCTTATCTACCTTTNCCACGCAAAACACCTAAAATCTTATGAGGAAAAAAAAATTTTTTTTTTTTTAAAAATGGCGGAAAAATGTATCGAATTTTGTTCCGGTTTTTTGGTTTTCCGGTTTTCTGATTTCCGGATAACGGGTTCTGTACTGTATATCCCTTTCTGTACCTTCATTTTTGCTTTGTTAAAGTTTTTTTTGCTTCAGTCATTATTTATTTTAAATTTTTGAGAAAAAATTGGTAGAAATTCATAAATGTATCAAGTGTTATTTCTCCCAATCTAATAAAGCATTTATTGGCATACCTTTGTTTGAAATTTTCTGTAAAATAATTTTCTCTCATCAAAAATTATTACCATGTAACATGTCAATAAATGTAGGCATTGTGAATCTAATTAGATAATTTGAATAATAGGTGGAGCTGCTTGTCATGAAAGCTTTGTCGTTGGGATTAGTGAAAGGCTCAATTGATCAAGTTGACAAAACTGTAAATATGTCATGGGTACAACCTAGAGTCCTATCTGTTGAACAGGTATGCTTTTATTTCCTTTCGTTCAGTAACACAGATATTTTAATTTAAATGTTAATTTAAGTGTTTAATTTAAATGTTATATAATCAATCCTAAAATAATTTTTTTAAAGATTGGAAACATGAAGCAGAGGTTGGCCCATTGGTGTCAAGAAGTGCAAAGCATGGAGAAATTACTTGAAACTAAAGCATACGATATATTAACATAAGAAACTGACTGTTATTTCATATTTAACTTATCATTCATCTACCTTTACACACTTTCTGATAAATAAAATAATGCTGTAACTTTTTTATTTTGTTACCATTATTTAACACTCGTAAAAGTTAAGAATTATGTTTTTTTTCTTCCTATGAGGCACTTTAAATGAATATCTAACTTTTGAAAGTGTAGTTGTAATTGTAAAATTTTGCTGCAAGATAAAAGTATGAAAGTGCGTAAAAGATTGAAGCACCAAACTAAGTAGCTAAACAAATGGTGATATGTATATAAAGTTCAAAATATAGAGAAAACATGGAAGAAATTACAGAATAATGAAAAGAGAAGAAGAAAGTTATTAAAATAAAATCAAAATCAAATAAATAACGTAAAAAAATGTAAAAAATTTTTAAATAAAAATTTGGAAAGAAAAAAGATCTATTCATCAGCTCATACTATTATATCAGCAAAAGGGAGTGCTTTCTTATATTGTATCAATCAGGGGCGTACGCAAGGGGGGGGGTTACCCCCCCCCCTATAGAGAAAATATGAAAGAAATAACAGAATAATGAAAAGAAAAGAAGAAAATTATTCAAATAAAATCCAAATCAAATAAATAACTTAAAAAAAGGTAAAAAATTTTTTTAATAAAAATTTGGGGAAAAAAAAGATATCTCTTTATTAGCTCACATAATTATATCTGCAAAACGGAGTGTTTTCTAATATTGTATCAGTGTAGCCGAAGGGAAATATATCAATGTAATAGTGTGAGGAACACTCAAAAAGCAAAATTGAAATTTTGAAACAAGATAGAACATATTAAGTAATAAATAAGACGTAAAAAGCAGAAAATAAAATGTAAAGACAAAACAGGACAAAACGAAAACTATAAAGCAAGTAGCGAATTCAAATGAACTTACAAGTTAGGGAAAAAAAATGCAGGAATGATTTTCAATATTTTCGTAATAAGATTGCCTGATTACAAAATATGAGAACAGAAGCGCAAATTGAGCTAAAAGCGTAAATAGAGAGATTTTGTTTTATAGCACGTTCCTATACTGCAGTACTGAAGCATGTTTGATTTGTTAGCTACCAAGGAATGTGCGCTGGGTAATATTATACTGGATAATTTAAAAAAGTTTATAATTAATAAGGTTGATATTTAATTATACAGTTTTAATAATTTTAAAAAATTAATATTTATGTAAAGAAAAAAAGAGAGAGAGTGAGAAAGAATCGTGAACTGCCCGTTTTGCACAAATTTTTAGCCACGAAATTGGAAAAAATATATAAATTAGCAACAAATTTTTTAGTAAATGTATTTATAATGTACAATTAATTCAATGATTTTTATAGAATATTTTATATACAAACATATATATACATACACACATATATATTATATATATGTGTATATATATTACATATATTTATATATACACACAGATATATTTATATGCATATATTTATATATGAATGTCTATCTGCGTGTGTGTGTCCTTTATGGGCTCCTTAACCATCTGACTGAAAGCGATGAAAGTTGGTATACAGATAGTTCGAAGCAAGAGGGTAATCACTGTCTACATTAGAACATTCTTTGGCAAACCGTTCTTGTGGGATGAGAGAAAAACAAAACAGAATTTTCTGATTGGTTAAGCGGCAATCATTCTTTTAAATTTTATTATAAGTGCTTCAGGCAATCAAGTATTTTAAAGATAACATCAGTGATATTTTCTAACTTGTAAACTCTATTTGATCAAAAAAAGTTTATTGCACATACTTTAGTTTTCGTTATGTCAGATAAATTCAATGAAAAACATTAACGTGGTATAAGGCTCCTCTATAGTGCTCAACTAATTCAGGGGCTCTAACATGGTAGCATTCGTGGATTACGTCTAAAATTTGATATTACATATTTATTTTGTTTCTAGGAATTCTTCTGTAGTGTGTTTCTCTAAAAATAAACAATTTAAAATCAACGTTAATTGAAATATATTTATAAAAAAATTAGCAATGAATTCAAAGGTAAAATTGATGGAAAAGTGGTATTAATTCGCTTAGAAGAAACGTGAAAAATCGTTATATTTTTATAAACGCTAATGATTGTTAAATAATTTAGGTAATATATGCATATTGAAATGAAAGAAATAAGCTATGTTCTAAAAGACAAAGTTAATGGAGTAAATATACATTTTCGTTTAGAGGAATCATAAAAATTGACATACTATTATTGACAACGATGATGCTTAATTAATGTTGATAATATGTATTAATTGAAATAAGAAAGTAACCTAACTACTAAAAAGCGAAATATATAAGATACATATTCATTATGGGGATATTATTATTTACCATATTATTATTGATACAAATGCTTAATTAATGTTGGTAATATGCATTGAAATAAAAAAAATAAGCTACTCGTATTAAAATCAATGAAGAAAAGGTTTATGGCAAATTTGTTTCGGAGAACTGTAGAAAAGTGCCTTACGCTGATGAAGATACCATACCTTACACACGGTGGTAATTGGTGGAGTTATGATTCTACAATGGGTTTCCGTAGTTTCAGAAAATATTTTTTTCTACTGGTAGCAAAGATAGTATATTAATATTTGAATGAATTAGAATTGAAAAGTACTTATCCCTACTTATATTATTTTAAACAGTAAATTAAAGGTCCGATAGAGAAATGGTTATGCTCCGAAGTTCTCATCAAGATCTAATAAAAATTCAATATCTATATATTTTTTAAAATTTCGACTAAGTTGACTGCCACCAGGGTTGGGTTTTTGACGTCAAAGAGTGGTTTTTGACATGACAAGGGTATAATACTGGTTTAAACCGTCAAAAACCCGTCAAAAATGTCAAAAACTGAAGTTTGCCAAGAAAATATATAAACTTCAAAACTACCAACAGTTGCCATGCATTATATTGAAATTTAATTATACTATAGGTAATCAGCAGGTTTTAAAATATTTTTTAATTAAAATTAAGGTAAAATAACAGATTTAAAATCTCAGAAATTTATATTCAAATGCATGTGCAGAAAAATTTTGCACAAATTTTTTTTAAATATTTATATTTTGAAAAAAAAAATTTTTTTTTTGATACTTAAGAAAATTAAAAGTTTATTACTATGCATTTTTGACATATAAGGAACATATAACTAATATTTATAAGGAACTTACAAGTTATGTTGTATAAATACAAACTTGATATAAGATACAAGTGTATAAAAAATTTTTTTTAATGTTATACCGAATATCTTTATTATCCAGTATGTTAATTTGAATTTAAAAGTAGTTATATTTGTGAATAATGATAAATATAATTCATATTGTTTATTATATTTATTTATAATTATTACACTTATCATTTTAAAACAATTTTTATCTCTTAATTTTTTTTTCTCCACTTGTATTAAGAATACAAATAATGCATATCTTGAAAGCAAGAAGTAATTATTCAACAGCTGAATATTTAGATATTCAACAAAACTATATAGTATTCAGCAAAATGAAATTCACAAGTATTTGGATAAACTAAATTTTCAGCATAGTAAATGAATAGGCTGAATATACTGTAAATCGACACTAACTACTCTGTGTATTTAACAGAAAGCACTTAAATTTGTATTGTCTTATGTTAAAAAGATTATTAAGAAGATTTAAAAGAATATTAAAAAGATTTTTCTTTAAAAGATGTCTAATGTACAAAACTGCTAATGTTTATCTTTAAAAATGTCTAATTTTTAGTATAATCTATACTATACACTAAATTTGGTTATAAATAAATTTCTTAATAATATCACTGCAGATTTTCAATAACACATGAAAATGAATACATAATATTACAAAAGATGTGAGCTTTCAAAAGTACAAGATTTTGGTTACTATTCAAAATATAAGTGTTTCTTCAAAATTTTAAATTTATTTTTTCTAGAACATATTTAGAAACACTATCCTTTATAAAAAATATATAAATTTTATGTATTAATTAAATTTCACATATAAATATAGGTTTTTGACATTTTTGACAGTGAGGTTTTTGACGTGACGGTTTAAACCATGGTTTAAACTGTCAAAAACTGTCACATGTCAAAAACCTGCCAACCCTGACTGCCACTGATAAATGTATGTTGCACTAAACTCAAATATTGAGGGGTGGTGCTATAAGTACTAAATATACTAATATAGATAGAAAGTATTATATTGTATGTTTTCTGATTATTAAAACTGCACCATAAGCAGTTAAAAACCGATACCATGTAAATATGTATTTCACAGCCCTTTGAAAATGGCCAGATAAATTAACTTGATAGTGGAAAAATTTAAAAGGGGCCAGATAAATGAAAGGGGCCAGATAAATTAACTTGATAGTGGAAAAATTTGACTATCATGCGTTAACCGTGAGCAATATCATCTTGCCAAAGGATGCTAAATACAGTCGATCACTATTCTGATGGGATGAACTACAAAAAACATGTGTTCCTTATTATAATAAAAAAATAAAAATTATTTTAGCCTAATGGACTGAAGAGCTTAGTGTAAAAACTAAGTGAGTGACATTTTCAGAGAGGCTATAATCATGGTAAAGAGAAAAAAAAGTGGTCTCCGAACAATTAACTGATTTATTAGAAGGCGGGACAAATAATTTTTTGTCTTATTTTATTTACCACTGAATTTGAAAATAAAAATTCTGCAATCATAATAAAAACTAATCTGGATTAGTTACGTTAAGAGTAAAGGGAAAGCAAAAACAATTGTGTTACATCATACACATATTGATGCAACCACTTTGTTATTTTCACTAATTCATAAATACCCCAAAAAATGTTCCTTACCTGGTTCTTCCACTAAACTCTTTAATTGTGTCGTGCTGTCAAATCTGTGCATGATTTCGTAATGTATCTATAATTGACATTTGCTGCGAATTTCACTTGATTCTGATGATTCCTTCATGGTGTTGCATTTTCTACAAACAGCAGTTTATATGAAACATTAAATAAAAAGCTTTAACAAATCTTTCTATATGATTTTTTTGTCTAAATTCTTTTTCTTAATTCATTGTTCAGAATAAAACCCATTCATATAATTAATAATTCACATCCTTTTCTGAAAATAGATTAAAGAATGCAGTTATAATAAGTCTTTTCCTAAAGGAAATAAAACACCCCGCATGAAAACTCTTGTACTGGGCTATTATAATTGTTGAATTATCCCATGAATCACATGCGATCGGAAAACCTTACAAAATTTTCCTTTTAAAATCCGAATCCCAATCATGTAAGGTGAAGCACATCGATTTTAGTGTGGATTTGCTGATGATATCTCTTCAATATGAAATGATGAAATAAATACAATTTTGAGTAGCCGTGCATAGTAAAAGTTCGGTTTCGTGCTGTGTTCGGTTTGTCAGTCATAATCATCGAGTATGTAAAAATTACATGAAAATTTAGTTGAAATTTCAAGGAATTTTAATAAATTTTTTTTAATAAAGCGATACGGCAAGTTAAATTATAAAACAATGCGTCAGGATTTAACCTTTCCTTCAAAGCACCGAACGGGTGCTTCAGAAAATTGATAACATAGCTGTCCTAATATTTTTTATCTCCCTGATAAAAAATAAAGGCTTCGTCCCAGATTTTTTTTTTCTATCTATCTTGACATTCTGGACAGTCAATATTTTGGAATCGCCTGAATCAGGGGTTTTCAAAGTCTCACTCTTTGTAAATTTTTCTAGGAGACCTTTTGATCTTGATGTGTTGTGAGTCTGATAACCGAAGAAATTTTAATGTTATATGGAAAATATTAAATTCTCGGAAATTTGAAGACAATAAGAGTCTGATTCTACTCATCACTGGTTATTACGCGAACTGGCTGATACTGAATTAAGCCTTGCTGCACGCTAGTTTCACTTGATATAAACGTTTCTAACTGTTATGCATGAAAGCACCATTTTATAAAGTTAATTTGTTCTCATATAAAGAAGGGAGTAAATACATCTGTACATATAAGCCATTCATACCTATCAGCAGATATACACAATATAACAGATACATATCAGCCATTGTGATTGACTGTGTGTGTGTGTTTAAAGTGTACGAAAAGAAAAGGAACAGTTTGAATATCTTTTGATCTAATGATTGGATTTTCACATACTAAGACTCAATCTTAAACAAGGGCCTCACCTCGAATATACTTATTAATGCAGACGATATTTTTAGTTGCGAAATTAGACAAAAGTGATCTTTCTCTGAATGAACATAAAACTTTTAAGAAGTCCTATATTTAAAATTTTATTTATTAAGAACTGTTCTAACAATATTCTTCAACTTTCGCATTTTGGCATTTAAAATTACATTATTTTAAATTTGCATGCCTTACAATTAACAATTTTCGGCTATTGTTTTTATATTAAATAATAAAAAATGATACATAAATATCAGTTTTTTACATGCAATTATATTTGGATAAGCAAATGTTATTATCGTGTGCGAAAATTCTTAATTTAACTCAGAATGTTTTCGAGATATGGCGATATAGGCAAAGAGTTAAATTAACATTAAGGGGAAAAAACCTTTCGCCCCTTCTTCTGCTTAAACTATTAGAACAGAATTTGTTGCAAATTGAAGCTACCCCAAAATTTTGAGGGTCATAAATCTAAATCTGCTGGAAAAAAAGGAGAAAGTTAAGTTTTTGTGTACGATTTCGTAACCTAAAATATCGTCTGCATTTTTAATTAGAATATTTAAGGTGAAACCCTGGAACAACTAGGCTAGAATGTTGGTACGTGATAATCCGATCAATAAATTAAAAGTTATCCAGGTGTTATTTTCTTCGTAAATATTAGAGATAAGTTCGTGCTCTCTTTTGCTGGTCTGAGTCCAACATTGGCGTCAGATAAAGACCAAATTTTGCTGTCTCGACACTTGTCTTTTGATGCCTAAACTAGGAAATTAGTCACTTAAACCTTTTTATCATAATCAATCAATGAGACGCTTGTTCGGTTTTCAAAGAGTAAAATGAATGAAAACATATTGTTCTTTACTTTAAATATTTTCAAAACATGTAATTTATAATCTTTCTTTGGTTCATATGTTCTTTTGTTTATGCTAAAGAACTTTATGAAGTTCCTTGTTCCGCCAAAAGAAAGTTGGATCATTTAGGTTTCGATGGCTTTTTATGGTCGGATCATTTAGGTTTCTAAAAAAATGAATTGGGAACAGCTGGTCCATGGATTTTAAGGAAAGTGCTCGAAATGTTATTAAACAATTACGTGCATTTTGCGTAGTATGTTGAAACATTTTTTATTCATATAAAAAAGAAAAAAAATGCAAGTTTTCTCCCATAAAGGCTCATATTTATGTGAAATCAATGGTATCAAACTCTCGCGAATCATTATCGAGGTCGTTCAGAACAATGAGTAATAATCAGAATTCAGTTTATTAGGATCTCCTTGCATGTAAAAAATCAGTGACACAAGAAACAGTTGGGGCAATTTCCTTGTTAGAGAGAAAAAAAGATTCTAAAATAAAACAAAAGGCATCTTTAGAATTCATTTTATTCAAAGTTAGGCACATAATATGTACTGAAACAAAGTTTACAGTAGATGGAGATGCTAAATTTTAAGTTAAGTTTTGTAAGTCAACCCATATCCTTTGAAGGCGAGGCGATACATTTCTTCGAGTTTATTAAAGTGCTTTATTCGGATTCGGACTTATTCGAGTTTATTAAAGTGCTTTATAAAGAATTTCATCGATAGTACAACATAAGTTTATAATAAGAAATACCAGGTTTTATTGAAAAGGGTTGATCAAAAATGTGTTTGTGGCTATCTTTTGGAAGTTCGAGCTCCGGTAGTGTTCAGTTATCATGAGAACACTTTCTAACTCATAGTTGGAGGTCTGTTGCTAGGGAAACAAGAGTAAAACTATTTCTTATGGGGTAAGATTGGAGAAATGATTATGTCGTGAGCTTTTAAGCTAATCTAAACTGTCTAATCTGAGTTCGTGTAATATCTGTGGTAAGTCTCCCGAATTAGGATTCGATAACCAAGAATTTTGAATGAATTTTAATCAAAATAGTGTTTTTGCCTCATAGGTATTAAAAATATAATAATAAATTTAAAGAACGTTTGGGGATTGATATAGTAAAAGTTGAACGATTATTAAAATCTTGGATATGCAACATTATTAAATATCTTATTCCTTTTTTTTTCCGCACTGTATTTTTTAAAAGTGTATATTTCTTTATTATTTTAAGGTTGCATTTCGAAGGCTTTGTCATCTTATGAAATAATGCAATTTTGCGAATAATCTGCCATTTTAGTAATCGTAGTGAGTTTATATCAGTTATTTGTGATCGTAGGGTCAAGTTTAGCTTATCTTTAACCAGCGCCCTCTACGCTAATTCTAAGCTAATAGGAAGCTAAATGCTAATAGGAAGAAAAGCCACAGTTTTGTGTCAATGAAAGGCGTTTATGTTGTAATTTTTTAATATTCAAAAACTTACTTTAATGCTGCATTATCTGAGTTCATACAAATTTGCAAAAATTATAGAATTTTTCAGTGTTTTTGATAATTTTCACCTAGCTTGAAATTCTGGCCAAATAGATGATTTTTAAAAATTTTTGTAACTTTTGAAATATTTAAGTAATTTGTCCCTTCTGCCTAAATAATACGATAAATGTACTATAAAATTATCGTTTCGTGTCAAGTGTAAGACTAAAACTGTTTTTCTTTTTTTATGCCGAAAAAGCTTAGAAAACATTGTTAATCAATAACAAAGAGGAAAATTATTGCTTTTGTTGTTTTCTATTTTTTTTTCATATTACGTGTAGGAAATTTCAGTTGGAATCAATTGGTATAAGTACAGAAAATATTTTTAAAAGTTAAATATTTGCTATTTATAAAAATAAAGCTGTGTCCTATCTGCTCCATTCACTTCACTTTGTCTTTCACAAAATATTATTTAGAGATTGTTCCTTCATCGGATGAATGTGTTATAGCACTTTGCGAGTTGTCTGCTTCCTTCCTTGTCTAGCCTTCACAATGAATCTGCGAGCCATGGCTTGAACTTTCACTATCCTCTTCACATGAGTTTCATACAAACGTGATAAGTACTCTTCAGCGTAATACTTTAAAAATACCTGTTAAAACAAGAAAAACTTTTTTTTTAGCACCCATTTGAACCGTAGTTATAAATTAGTTAAACATATCATAAATGAACGAAAACAAGTAACTCAAAAAGATACATAACACACACCATAGAGTACATATTAATGAATTAATAAGCATGGAAAGTAATTATCATATTGTTATGATGTCAACGAAATGAGCTTATATATGCTAAGGCTACTATACTAGGATATACTCTAATGTAATGAACATATCAGATATGTCAGTTTAGAAAGGGCAAAATATTCTCAGCCCTATAGCAGCACATACAGCGATGCGAGAGCCATTGTCTATATAAAGTTACTCGTCTTCCTGTAGCATTTCAAACATGGTCGGTAGGACTTAAGTCTGGACACTCTATGGGCTAAATTGTTTTCGGCTGAAAATAATGATCCACGATACCAGTTCTGTGCAGTGTAGCATTTTCGTCTTTTGACAGGAAATCATTACCTATAGCGCCGGCATAAGGGAATATCTAGTATGTCATCTCTATAGAGATGAGCATGCAGAGAGAGGATGATTCGGGGTTCTATTCCTCTGTCATCGGTCACCGGCGCTCGTTTAACCGTCCATGGCTGAACCTCTTGGATGCCCAGCCTGTGGTTAGAAATTGTTCTGAACCACAGAACGAGTCTCATTTAGCCATCGGGCCAATTCTGTCTGAGTTTATCTGCCTCGATTCGCCCAATCGATCTTTGCAGTTCGTTGGAAAAATGATGCCTGGAGGTTATTGTTACAAATTTATTGTCCTAATTTTTAATTTCAAAATCACAGAGATATTCGCAGTTTTTTTTTCTCAAACATACAATTTCGTGCTTCCTTGCAGATGATGTAATTTTAATTGCAGCGCCACTAATTTATATGCAGCAGTTTATTAAGCAACTCTTAATTGGTAAAATAAAATTTCATTGGGATTAGCTAATTTTTGGTCGAATTATCACAATTTTTCTTTAGTTTATGATAACTAGTGCAATATCACCCTAAATAACTTATGGTCTAATGGTTGGATTTTCAAATTCTAGAATGTATTCTTAATTGTTTTAATGACAAACTTTAAATGGGATAATTTATTGGTATTAATTACAATACTACTAATTCTAATTAATAATACTCTAATTAAGACNAAATATTATGAGCATTTTTTCAGCAGCAAACAACAATTCTTTTAGAGGAAGACAAGAAATAAAAATATTTTAAGAATATAACAGTTTAAGAACAAAACTAAGATTCAAAAATGAAAAATAAAAACTTCAGGATTTTGACAGTTTCAGGAACCAAGGACTTTTTAAGGATTTTATGAGTCTGCACAAATCCTGCGTATAATTTTAATTTCATTGCTATATAGATTTCCTGTTGTAATTAGAAGCAAAATTAGTGTTAATTACAATATATATATATATATATATATACTAACTTACAATAATGGAAGAGACACTTGCAGTTTTTGATATTTTTTGTACTTGTCAATTTTTCATACTTTGCAATAAAGGTTAAATCTTTCAGTGGTTTGAGCGACCGACAATAAATTACGAAAGAAAACAAGTATTTTTGAATACCCTTTTGCCAGAAAATAAGCAATAGTGACAGTTATGAATCAATAAGGTTACAGTAGTTAATCTAGTTATGAATCAATAAGGTTACAATAATAAGCAATAGTGACTTGCATCAATTACTTTGGTTGCTATTTGCAGTAACTGCATGAAATGTCGCAAATCTAGTTTAAATATTCATGGAAATATGAACATTTTTATAAAAAACCAATTTTTTTTTGTTTTATATTTTTTTGCTGTAACTTTAAAAATATTCAGCAAAATTAAACAAAATTTTTGGATCAATTTAAAGTTAGTTTAAGAATTTTTGTTTTAAAATTGAAAAAATTTTTTTTTTAAAAATGCTCTAGATATGAGTATTTAGAATATTTCTTTTGTACTGCTCATGCTCTGAAAGCTTTAAACTTTATTGTAAAGTATAAATAATCGTATGAACTAAACACTTCTAAATTTACAAAATAGTTCTCTAAGTATTGCTTGAAACGTTCAAAAAAATGTTAAAAACTGCAAGTGCCTCGTCCATTATATATATATATATATATTATTATTATTATTTTTTTTTTAACCGAATTAATTTCGATTATTAAGAAGAAAAAAACATTTTTGAGACCACGTTTTGAGAATTTCTACTTCGATAAATTTGGTAGAATTAAAAGAATTTGTGTGTTAATTACTTTTCGCAGTATTGCTTGCTTTCGACTAATTTAGGAAAAAAAAAAAGAAAAACTTATATACGAAATGGTTTAGGAAATCAGTCATTTATTCATGGGTAAGGGTAACAATCATGTCACTTTAGTTGTCCTGGACTTATTCTTTTTCAACAACGGCGGTAGATGGCACTGTTGGCCTGTTCTGCAGCAAAATAATACTTTATATTTAAATTAAAAGATTTATTTAAAATTCGGATAAAGCGCTACGAAATAGAATAAACTAAAATTATTTTGGAAGATCTCAAACATTTTATTGCTTTTCAATAACTAGTTTCTCTCAAAATATTTTTTATGAAATTAAATTTGTATCTATCGTCAATGATCAAAAAAAAAAAAAAAAANAAAAAAAAAAAAAAAAAAAAAAAAAAAAAAAAAAAAAAAAAAAAAAAAAAAAAAAAAATCTGAATCACTTTTGATTTAATGATCGAAACGACAAAATACGAATTGTGGACGAAATCGGTTGAACAGTTTCTGAGTTATTTAATTTAAAAAAAGTATTTTTAAAATTTGATTTTTCGATGACTATTCTATCAATATCGTTAAAATTTTTTCATTTGTCATTTAAATTTGCACACTTTTAAATGAAATAAAAGTATTTATTCGTCTTTCATTAAATAAAATAATAAAAAATAAATAAATAATTATTAAAAATTATTTTTTGAGTGGATATGATTTAAATAAACGAATTTCATAATTGTGTTTAGAAATATTTGCTTAGAATGTTTTCGAGATACAACGAAATATGCAAAAAATTAAATTATTTATAAGAGGTCATAAATGATTGGGTTCATATTTTCCAAATTACGATATTTCATATTTAAGAATAAGTCAGTCGAATGAAATATAATTTTTTTCTTCTTCAAAATAAGTCAATTTTTGTTTCTGTTTTCGTAATTAAATAAAACATTGTCTACTGTAGTTAATTAGCTTATTTAATGTAAGATCCTACAACCATTAAAATTGAGTTCTCGTAAGTGAAAATCCGATCATTATATCAAAAGTTATTCAGAATTTTCTTTTTCTTTTTGTCTTGTAATTAAGAAAATCAACAAAAAATTATAATCAGGTTTTAAGAGAGATGATCATTTGAATTGTATTATTGAATAATAATGATTTAATTTTGACGTTAGCAAATATTAATTTCTGAAAAAAATATAAAATAAAGAAGGATCTTAAATAACTTGCAATCGATTCATTTGGTTTTCCCGTTTGTTCTCCGTAACACAAATTCCCCATCTTTACCATTTAAATTAATTTCTGATAATTTGCAATCAAGTGCCTTCATTAACTAAACATGAATTTATGACTGATCTGGTTGTAGCTTGTTGGAAAACAAAGCTGGAAAAATAAATGGTATCAATATATTTGAAACCATATTACCGAGTTAAAAATTCTTTTACAGTAATAAAAAAAAAATTACACTATCAGAAACGATTTGAATCTATCTTTCATCACACAGTGTTGGGATAATTTCCTTTCAAAATTGTAAGTAATTTAAGATTAAGAAATATATTTCCAATAATAAAACAAAATGAGGTTTTGATGAAAATAAGGAAAAAATTAAAGCAAGGAAATGAAAGCAAGCTGGTGTTTTAATCCAAAACAAAAATTTCATTCCCATTATGTTCTTTTGTAAAAAAATCCATGTTCAATAATTATGTTTTATGACAGACATACAAGTAAAAAAAAAACTACTTAAAACTTTTATTGTTTGTTATTTAATTTATGAAAATTTCTTTAGCATTTAATAAATGAAAATTTCAAAAAGAATTGTAAGACTTTAAAAATATATTTTTAGTAACGCTAGAATTTTTCCCACATAGTGCTGAATAAATTTGATTACTAGAAACTTATTAACGCTGTGATATATTGTATTTACAATTAATTTTAAAACTATAAAAACGAATAAAAAATTAAATTATCTCATATTAAAAAGCTTTGTAAATTCTTAAAGTGATAATTTCTTTTTAGAAAAATTATCTGATTTAAGTTAAGCTTTATGAGCCAACAAACCCAGAAACTTTGATACACTGTAAATGTTTGATGAAAAACAGTTTAATGCAATTAAAAAATCAGATTTCGGAATTCTTCAATTAAAATATCTAGCGTAAATTCTGTTAGACATTTTAATTAAAAATATGCAAATGAGATACAAAAGGATTACGAAAAAATAAAATCTGTGTCGACATAAAAGATAAAAATCTCTTAAATATTTCAATTAAAAGACACATTTACATTTATTAACTAAATGTTTTTTCACTTTACTATTTGAATTACTTGAAATCACGTGAATTTCAAAAAATAAAAAATTAAAAAGTGAGGCTTCTTTTTTAAAAATTAAGTAAATTGTTCCGATATTTTTAGATTTTTTTAATAGGTAATAATTAATAATAAATATTGAGTTGATTCTATATATTTAAGACCCTATAACTTATCCGGAAATGTTTTTAAAATTATGCGCCAAGTATACGGCAGTTTTTTTTCAAAAAAAAAAAAANAAAAAAAAAAAAAAAAAAAAAAAAAAAAAAAAAATGCAAATAAGTTGCGATTGATATAAAGAACAATAAAATAGAAATAAAGAAGAAATTAAGTTCGGAAACAAAAAACACTCACGCACGTGAACTTACAGAGACTCCTACTTTTCATTATTTTTATCACAATAATTAAAGTAAATACTTTAAACAAGTTAACCTGGATACTCTGTCAGCATTTAAGCGATAATTAAAGTCAAGTGAAAGCTGAACATTCCTTTTAACTTTTTTTTTCCGTTTTCGTTAATATTTGTCCGTAACAGGATACAGCTGTTTCCCAGAATTGGGTATCACAAACAGCAGTAGACGAGCTTTTCCTGCAAGTTTTGGAAATCTCTTCGAGACTATCTCTGAATTCTGAAACCTGATTAAGATATGACATTTTCGAACCCATTCTTTGCATCCAGCATATTTGAGTTATATGGATCGATCACTCATTCCTAGTCATAATCACTCATTCCAGTCGCCATCAATATTTAAATTGGATATTTGCTCTGAATCAAACTTCAAAGTAAATTTCCTGAAGTTAAATGCTCACAAAATGACATTTTTCTGTACTGATATTTGGCGATTATGTACAATTTTCCACAACCAATTTTTTATATATATATANATTATTTAAGTATGTTCTGCTGTTCCTTTTTTCCTCTAAGTTTTCAGGGTTGCCTCCCCACAGGGAGAACCTGGAAAATACAGGGAATTTAAAAATCCCCTAAAATAACAGGGGAAATACAGGGAGTTTTGATTTTTTTTCTTTACAGATTGAGAAAATACGGAGAATTTTGTTTCTTATTTTTGTCTTTTAAAAAATGGTGACCACTCAAAGCGTAATTAATCTATGAGATATTTAACCATGATATTTTTTTAATGACATAGGAAAATAAATTTGAAAATTAAAAATTGCTGAAAATGTTAAATGTAAATAATTTCTTTACTTTAAGGTCTCTCTCTCTCTCTCTATATGAATATATATATATAGCACAATAAAAACAAAACGAAAAGAGAGAAAAACGAAAAAAATTAATAAGTTTTATTAACTGCGCATAAGCTGCAAATATATAGAGCTCATTAAATAAGTTAAAATATTGAGAAAATAATAAAAAGTAATGACAGGAGAAGATTATTAACATATTTTTCAAAGGTATTTAAGAAATTTTTGTTTTAATTATCTGAAAAAAAAAATTATTAAAAATGCGGAAAATAATTTCCGGATTTTTAATTTTTTTTTTAAAGCCAGAAATACACGTTGTTTAACAGAATATACGGCTTAAACCTCCTTATTCTTTACAACTTGCTGCTTTTGTCGCAGAGAATAAGAAGGAACCAAAAAGAAATCAGCTCCAGCGTTTTAAAGCTGGAAGTTTTTTTTTGGGTCATGGATTATTTGCAGCGCCATCTGTTGGAAATATTTATACATTAATTTCAAAATTTCTGAATGTAATTTTATAGCTTTTACATTAAACATTCCATTTGTTCTCTTTCTCTATTGCCCTTTGTATCCGGGATTTTTAATTTTGAAATCAGTCATTCATCCGATAGACACCCTATGGTTTGGATAAGTTTGTTTGGGATTCATGATTAGAGCGCCCCCTGTGAATAATTAAGATAAATGCTTCATCACCTTATTGGTTCCCATTTTCCATCCATCCATCTTGAGTCTAATGAGAAGCAGCTGGCAGTTATCTTTATTTAATTCTACTTCTTCGTCAAAGTCAAACGCTAGATATTTGTACCTGTAACAATCATCAGTTTTCTTTATATATATTTCACTAAATAGTAACTTGCTTTTTAAAATTTCTAGCTCAAATCAACAACCTAAAATTAGAATATTTTCATAAATTTCGAGAATTATACAAAAATAAAAATCAAATGAATGAATTAATTTCTTTAAAATAAAGCAAAAAAAGTAATAAAAATAAATTATAAATAAATAAAATATGCAATTTAAATAATTAATTCACGTAAATAAGTGAAATATATAATTAGTTTGGATAGTTAATTTATGTAAGTAAGTGAAATAAATTAATAAATGAAATAAATCACTAATTAAAACAAATTACTAAATAAAATAAATTAATAAATAATATTTGTAACAGACCTCAAAAGTTTTATATCTATTACAATAAAAGGTAGAGTATCTGTGACAGCGTGTCTCTTTTAAATTAATTAAGTGGGTCAATTTATTAAAAAAAAACCAATGAAAAACTGTGTATTATTTTTTTGTTATGAAATGTTGAAATCAATTTTCAGAGCTTTCTGCAATATTTTTGCACAACGGATCCCCGAAATGTTTTTGCATCATGAAGTTCATGCATTCTTTTTCAAAACATGTGTTCAAAATGCGTGGATAAAAAAAATAGATAGAACTTACAATAAGTTTTTGAAAACATATTTAGTTACCGTTTTACAATTAAATGATAAAAATATTAATTTTACCTGTAATAATAAGATTTATTCATACTCCTTTAAGTCACCATAAGCAATTAAAATGACTATTTAACAGTATAAAAAAATAATAACGTGATCTGTTTTTCAAACCATTGCTATGTAAGCTGGTAGGGGTAGTTGCATTCTTGCGACCTGGTATTTTTTTCCTTACAGTTTTATTAGTTATTACTTCAAAAATCAATAAATTTATTTATAAAGAATTTTTTTTATTCCATCGTTTCCCTTGTACATTTTTCTATAATTTGCCATCGTAATTTCAAGTCTCTAAATAAAATTATTTTTGTGCAGTAAAACAAACGTAAAACTGAAGGCCGACAACAACTGGGGATTTTTAAAATAGATATTGTTCAAGCCACGATAAACACTTTATTTTGTCTAAAAGTTATACCCACATGAATGCATGTCTCCTCATGAAGTCTTTTTTCTTTTATTCTTTTTCAATATATTTTTCTATTTCAAATTTATAATAATTCTTCCATCCTTTTAAAAATTTACGTGTTTCATTCCATTTCTAAACGCTAAACTGGCTTAAAAATGGGAGATATTTATCGGGAAAAAAGTGAAAATGGGTCGTACCTATTGAGAAATTCCGGAAAAGAGAGTCTACGAGCAAATCCTTTCTGCCTAATGAGTATGGTTTCCGTTAAATTGAAAGCTCTCAGTTGTTGCATGATGTATGGAGGTTCGAACCTGGCGTCTTCTTTTTGAGAGGGTTGCAGACACACCACTAGGTGAGGGAAATCTTCCGTCATGAGATCGAGAATTTTCGGCAAGAGTATCTGTGTTTGCTCTGTCAGACACTTGTTGTCAGTGGGTACCTAAAATTGAAAATTATTACTACTTTTTTTTGTTGTTGTTTCTTTTTCTTTCTTTCTTTTTTTTTAACTATGACTACTACTTTTAAAAAGCCTAACAATTGCATGGATTAATTTAAACTTTTTGAAAGCGAAACCAATTTAATTATTTAATTAATTAAGATAAATAATTTTTACAGGCATTTTAAAACCGAGTCTTCCTGTAAAAAATGCAATGATATAAAAAATGTATCCGTTTTTTGGTGAGAAAATGCACTAAAATTAAAAGCCGTTGGCTCGCAGAAGAAATTTAAATTACCAACTTAACTTTTACAGCAAATAAGCTCAAATTTTGATTATTTTTTCTTTAAAAATAAGGTAATTAATGAAAAATAATTCCGTTTAAGAGGTCGTAAGAAAAATTCCAAAATTACTGTTAATGGCATGAAAGAAGATTGTCTAATTCAATACAGGGTTTCTAAAATCAGTGTTCGAAATCAGTCGACAAAATAGATTAAGTTTAGCTTAATTGGTGGCAAAATTACGAAACAACAAGCGTGCAGCGCAAGTCCTTCGATTCTAAGCGAATTCCCTACGGGGGAGTAAATTGTTGCCTTCTTTCTGCAGGTTTAAAAAAGTAATAATGCATGTGAGCATTTTTCTCTGAGACAGATACAGCGGACAAAATTTATTTTCGATTTCAGAATATGGAAATTGAAAATAAAATAGCATTTTTCTAATAAAAATAGGTATTTAGAAGCACATAGAAGCTTGGAGTTGGCAAACTTTGTTTTAGTTTTTATTTTGAGTTACTGTATTCACTCGTTTTTCTTCAGTAAAAAAGATATATATTTATTTATTTTTTGCCTTGGAGGTAAGTACAAATTTCATATTATTTAGATTAGAAAAAATGTCAGTGTAAGGAACACCGGGAATGGTGCTTAAATTAAAAAAAACATCAATGTAAGGAATGCTGGACATGTATATGCTGGACAATGACACTTTAATTTAAACATCAATGTAGGGAATACCGAACAAGGGCATACGGAGTAATGACTAGAAAAAAAGTCTAAGAAAAACCGGGAAAGTATTTTGGACAATGGTATTTTAACTTAAAAAAAACATGAGTGGTAGAAATACGATGTATTTTTTATTTTCCTAAACTTGTGAGGGAAAAAAAGATAATAATCCATTCACCATAGGGATCTTGATGGACTTAAAGGGCTAGTGTTGCACTCTTTCTGTCTAGCAATCTTGAATCCTGCATATTTTAAACAACTATGGATTTAAATACTGCTTATTTAATGTTGCCTAAATTGCCCCGGATGATTGCACTACAAATTTTCAGATAATTTTAGAAAGGAAAAGTTAATTTTGGAAAAAATCAAAGAGGGTGCGATGCCATTTCTGGTTTTACGAAATATCCTCTACAATTAAAACTAGTTTATTCCTTCTTTTTCTTTTTAAAATAGTATATAGTTTTGTTGGAGACTCACTTTATTTGCAATAGCAGCTGTTATGACATCATCAGTATTTTTAAAAGTTTCTATGAATTCACTTTCGTCCTCTGCACCCATATTTTCTGCCGTCAAGTCAGGAATGCTGTACAAAACCTGAAATATATGGAGACAACAAATGTTGTACTATGTTGAAGCAAGAATGTTGTAGTAGTTTTCTATTTAGGTCGCGTTAGAGCTTCACTATGGGTTATTGGTCTGAGAAACGTTCCCGAGGATGATGCCATCACAAATTTTGATCCTCTGCTGAGAGGATGACTCCCCTATTCAAGTTACCCAAAAATAAGAAAGCGTTTCATGATTATTAAGAAAAATTATTTATTTAAATCAAACATCAAAAATTTAAATTATGCAGTAACAAATTAAAATTTTTCTTAAAAAAAAAGAAACAACCAATCATTGGAATTCTTGAAACATTTAGCACAATATCAATGAAAGCAAAAAATCTAACGTAATATTATTTTATCTGTTTCAGTTATTTTTATTTAATGTTTTTAATTTTATAAATATTTAAATTCTTTTAAACTTCAGCGTACAATATTATTTCGCATTTGTGATGGTTTCAAATTTACTTTTCTATGAAACGAAAATTGAACAGTAACTACCTTTAAAGTGTGTGAAAATCTTTTACGGTTCAGTTTTTGTTTTAAATTTCGTTCTTAACTTCAGGGCAAGAAGCTTAAAGTTTTAAATAAAATAAAAAAAGGTAATTCAATATTTACTTTATGATGTTTATTTTATTCAATAATTCCTGTCAAGCTGTAACATAGTTTCGTTATTGCATTTCTCTTTTTGGCTACATTTTTACTTCAATGATTTTGATTGAACTGTATTTTTAGCTTTTCCGAAGAACAATGAATTCTTTTCAATTCTTTAGAATTCTTTTTCGAAATTTAATGAGGAAGCTTAAATTTTTCTAAAGTAACTTTCGTTGATTAAAAAACTAATCATTCATTGTATGAAAGGAATTTAAAAACTGTTTTGTAGAAGAGCTTCCTAATCGATTTACTTAGTGAATGGTAGCAAAAATATAAGTGTAAACTTCAAGAGAATGTCATAAGATAAAACAATATAATTGTCTTAGTAGAGTTTAAACTTAATTTGAAATTTAAAGAGAAATGTGTTAATGCAAAAGTAAAATGGCATAGTAAATAATAAAATACATGTAGATAGATCACTTTGTATATTTTTCTTCGTCTTCTTTGGGCACTTTAACCGCCCCCTCACTAGAAGCTAATTAATAAAACTTCTACTAAAACTGAATTTTAGTTTTTATGTTTACGGGTTTCTTCAAGGGGTTCTCGAGCTGAAGAATTCCCATAACTTGAACCACTAACCAGAATTTATTATACCACCGCAGAACTCAACTAGAATGAGATTTTTTAAGGTTAATCTTGACTTGTGTCAAAAGGTGTCAAAAAAGAATACTGATACTACCATCTTGGGATCCCTGACTTATGAACCAATCAACAATCACTATCCTGAAGATCTCTGGCTCCATATATTTACAGACGGCTCTCAACTCTCCAACTGTAATAATGCAGGGGCAGGCATCTCCTCAAAATTATTTTCATCTTACACTTCTGTGGGACAAGGAACTGCATTTGATGGTGAAATAACCGCCATTCCAGCTGCTCTGTCTCAAATTCACTGTAACCTTGACCATTTTACAAAAGCAGTTATTTTTTGTGACTCTATGGCCGCACTTCAAACCATCAATTCCTCTATCGATCCCAAAAACCTTGAAGTCATGGACTGTCGACGACTCCTTCGAAGCCTTGAGTCACACAGGAAAAACATTGTCCTTCAGTGGATACCCTCCCACTGCGGAATTTTGGGAAACGAGAGTGCAGATCCTTTGGCCAAGAAGGGCCCCTCAATTATTGAAATTCCATCCCTCGCAATACCATTTTGTTCCATCAAGAAAATGGTGACAAATTGCATAAAGGACCATTCCCTCATGGACCTGTCCAAATGAGTGTCCGATAAACCTTGGAGGGAATTAGTCCCAAAATCCTATATTGGGCCAAGGCGTAGAGCTGTGGCAAAATTCCGCCTGGCCACTGGACACGACTGTCTTCTTAAACACCTCAGCAGAACTAACATTGCTCCTTCTCCCATCTGCACACTTTGTAACCCTGGGGAGGAAATGGATGCCGCCCATATTACGCACTGTCCTGTTTTGCGCAAGTCTTTTATAGCCGGCCGAGCGATAGTGGGAAGCCCGTGACCTTCTGAATTAATGGATTCAAGTTACTGCATTATGTTTACCATCTTTTATTGTATTTCACTTTTCTTATTGTGTTGTAACTACTGTCCAATAAATTTGCATTGGAAAAAAAAGTTTTTATGTTTAGCTACTTTACAGCAATCTGAATACAAGACGCTGTGGCTCGGGAAATAGAGCGCTCACCTCCCAATGAAGTGACCCAGATTTTGATTACCAGCGACGGCTGATCGATAAGAACTCTGATTCCTGCTTGCACCAATCATAATTCTAAGGTAAAACATCTTCAGTGGTAGACGGATTATGGAGGTAGAATCTCTATGCCATCGGGCTAACTGATGGAGATTTGTGTGGTTTTTCTCTCCATGCATTGCAAGAGCAGGCTAGGCGCATCAAAAAGTCTTGTTATATAAATTTTTGTCTAAATTTTCGCACTAATTTAAAAATAAATGAAAAGATTAATTTTTTAAACAATGTTCTATTTGTTCTCATTCAATCAAATTACACTGGTGTTCAAATTAAATAAAATAAGATATTTTTTTATTTCTGTCGATAACTTTCAAACAAGAGGGCCGAAATGAACTTTCGTGTGAAGATAGGTTGATAAAATACAAACAGGATAAGAATTCATAAGTTATAACGCATGGTCGTGCGTTACAGCTATTGGTGTCGGAAATTATAAAACATAAGTTGCAGAATCGAACGATGATACAGAGAGGTGTTGAAAGACGATTATTTCAAGTTTTAATCATCAATTAAACCTGTTTTGCTGTTTTTTCTTTTTACAACTGTAGTTGAACAGTCGACCCAATTTTTTGGGTTTACGACTACTAATGTTCAGCTTCGTCGCCTTGTAATTTTGAACCCAATCTAGAAGACAAGAGAACTCCTGGATCGAGTATTGGGAAAAATTTGCTTTCGTGGAGGACTTTTTTTGATGGAACTAACCCGCATTTGCGTTACATGGAGTGTAAAACCACGAGAACCTCCCTCGGTTAGCCTGACTGCACGGGGTGTTTTGCTGTTTATTTTATCTGCCTTTCTCTAGTGGAACTGGTCAAATATCGATAGCATTTTTGTTTCTCCCTCACTTAAATATTAGTTCACCCCCGCAATGTACTTCGTAGTTTTTATTTTTGATAAAGATTCTGAGAATACATATTAAGAGTGATCTTTACGAAACACCTTGTATACAAAGAGCGTTGTTGTTAGATATTAGTATTAAATTGTCAATTTGTGAGAGGTTTGGGTATTTTTCGTTGATTGCAAAAATTTTGATTATGGCAAAATAAATGAGAAAGAATCTCATTAGGCAGAATTTTTTTAGAATGTTTTTTTTTTCTGTTTCAAATAAAAGTTCAGCATCCATATTTGACATCTGTTTCATTTATGAGTCAAGGGAAATCTATCTAAACAAGTAAAGAAATGCGATTTTCTGCGCACTTATTGTGATGTTCCCTCCCTTGTTTTGGGGGCATTTCTCTTTTTCGAGCATTCTGCTTCGTTATGTTTGAAGTTAATTGGGTGGAAATACAGCATCGGGAGACTTATTTCTCTTTTTAAATCAACTTGTTCTGGAAGAACAAAAGAAAAGAATAGCTACATTTATTCGCGAGAAAAGAATTTAAAGAACAATGCTCGAGATTTTCCATAAAACTTGGTGGAATTCCGCTTAGTCAAAGGAATATGATAAATTCCTCGGTTTAGTGACGCCATTTTCAAATTTTTAGACAAACTAAAAACATACTTACCTTTTCAAAAATATGATGCACGATAATTTTATCGTTTTCCACTTCGATGCACTCGGCGGGTAGGGATTTCATCTTTTCTGAGAGTAAATAAAAAAAAATGAGTTGAAAATCATCTTTAGTAAGCAAATTTTTTTTTTGAAAATCAGAAAAACGGAAAATCAAAGCGGAAAAAAGAATTGAAAGATTGAAAGACTCATTGTGAAGCTACAAGATTTTAATAAAACTGGTTTATTTAGTTTATTTTTTCCCTTCCGATCGGAAGGGCGGAAGCCTATTATCTATTGTATTTAAACTAAATAGACGAGATCAAATTTTTGTTAGAGATATGAATTATCTTACTGCTTTGTTGTTTTCCTTGCAAAACAATAACATATTTCATATAATAAAATTCACAATATAATTATTTATTTTTATTCATAAGCTTTTAGAAGAAATGTTTTTTGAAGCTTAAGACATTCATAATATTAGTAATAAATTTTTCTAAAATCATTTCTTGAATGAAATAAAACAGCTTAAGGATAAAATATTAACGTTAAATATGTTAAAATATAATGTTAAATATGTTAAAATGTAAAATGTATGGGACAAAATTAGAAAATTTTGCTAATGGTCAGTAGCCAGCTGTAGTATTTTTAACAGTGGCCTCTTTTTAAAACATGTGGCTACATTTAAAAAAAAACTCAACATGTTCAAAGCACTGTTGATATTGATAAAAATCATTTCTCTTGAATTATTTCTCAAAATATGGTAAACGTTATAAGATTCATTTCTAAAAGGAAGAAAGATTTTAAGAAACAAGTGTGAAATCAAGTAATTTTCAGAATATTATGAAATATTTATAATTCGATATTTAAAAAAAAAATAATTACAATAAAAAGCACACGGTACTTCCGACGGAAAAAGTGTCTATATGATGGTGATAAAGATAATATGGTATAACAGATAATTTTTTAATCGCTATTTCTTATATTGAGTCCCACAATTTGGTTAGTGGCAACCATTAACTTTGCCATACAGCAAATTAAATCAAAAATTAACTCTCCAAAATGGTGGTATTTTACTTTACTTTGGTTAAAGAAATAGTTTATGAATAGTTGTAAAAAAATTCGTTTTTAGTTTATGATAACCATTTTGTCTTGACCATATGCAGAAGTATATTATTAAATACGTACAAATAATGCAGCATGAAAAAAATTATAATTCGTTGTGAAATAAAATATTGAGTGGCTCGGTCATGCAGTTCGCATTTCTGACTGACAGCTGAACATAGTGATTTCGATTTCAAAAAATTGAACTGTATTCAATAAAGGATTCGGTGTATATGCTACTGTGAATGACCGAAATCGTTTTGGTAAATGTTTGAAGTATATACTAGATCGGGTTAAGTGCCACTGCCCGGTATACATTTGCCCGGTAAGCCCTATATCAATGTTTTTTTTAAGGTTCAGTGCCTCTCCCCAGTATGCATTTTACCGGTAAACCGAAGACTGAAGTTTTTCCTAATCTATCCTCAGCACATATTTAAATATCGACTAAATATAATAATATCAACGAATAAATTAATAACAAATGGAATATGACAAATATTTATACAATTGTATACGTTTGCCCTGTATTCCCTTCATCAATGTTTTTAAGTTCAAGTGGCACTGCCCAGTATGCATTTAACCGGTAAAGTGCGGCTTTGAGGAGAGCTCCTCTAGACTAAAAGTCTGGGAACGTCTGCTGTTATGGTAACAAGCGAGATCACATTTCTAATCGGGGTGCAATGGAAGAATGAAGGTATCGATTGGTTTAACCACGCTTACCTATGAAAAGATCAAGTGACTTTTCCTCGTAACCATGGTATCCGCCACGACGCGAGTCTGGTATCTGGAGAAGTTCTCCTGAAAGTCGCACTATACTCCGAACATTAAGGTTTCTCCTCGTCTATCTTCAGCAGATATTAAAATATCGAATAAATGAAATCATATCAAGGAATAAATTAATATCGAATGGAATTAGACAAATATTTCGGACATTCATCAAAGTGAGTATGTGATTGTTGACATTCACAGCTGAGAGTCGACATTCTCTTGATTTCGGTCATTCACGGTAACATATATACGCTGCAAGGTGCACATTAAAACTTGCTGAGGTTTTAATCTTTTTATTACGTTGGTGAGTAGATTAAGAAGGAAATATCAGTTCAACCATCGACTCTGTGTAGTATCAAAATGACATATCATAGACCTTACAGTAAAACGTGAAAAAAAAACCTAAGTGCACTTACGTTTACGGGATACACTTACGTTTTTCTTTTTCAATTGCACGGCAGTGTTGCGTTCGGCTAAGGTTGAACCAATATTCTGCCATAATTAATTTGCAATTTGATATTTTACATTTGAAACTTCATTGCTTTCTCTGAATTTTCTCATTTCTAAACTTTAAATTACCAATGGAAATGAAAGGGTTTCTTATGAGGTATCATTGAGATTCAGAAATAAAATGATCATGACTCAACTTACTCAACCAGTTGACTCCTGAGGAGTTTTGAAGATCATTGAGGAGGATTCTTTCACACTCCACCAAACAGTTGGTCGACTGCTCTTGCTGTGTAGTATCGTCCCACTTGAATGGCATGTCCACTCCTTCCTCCTTGTATTCTTGCTGTATCAAAATTATCAGACGATTACGAGAAGTCCGAAGAAGTCAGATTACGAATGAATATAGCCCAACATTTTTACTAAGTGTAAAATTTGTTTTGCAGTCTAACCCCGTTATAACGAACAAGGGTTATGGTAAACACTCGGTTATTGTGAATGTTCTTAGTGGTTCCGTCCGAACAGCTATTTTACCAATGTTTCATATACGCATATGCAAATGGTTGAGAAATCGGTAGTTTATTTATGGTTGATTCAAATTCATTTTTTTTGTAGTTATTAAAATAAATACAAAATATTTAGTCTTCGTGGTAAATTCAGGAGCATATAATGATGAATTTTAAATTAAAAATGAAGTAATACACAATATAGAAGAGGGTTTAAAACGATTCATTTAATTGCAATGAATAATGCAATGGTTCCAATAATGTGGAATAGATTGCACAAAAATTTCATCCTTCAACACCAACTTCCTTAAATAAAGACGGAAATCAAAAAGATAAACATCTAAAAGATTTGTTATGAGGAGACAATCGCTTCATTCTATGGAGAATATTTCATTATATGAAGTCATTCAAAGTTCCGATAAAAAATTTCGTCAAATGAAAAAAAATGTTGTAAAGAAACTTTATTGTAGAAAAACTCGACGTAGTTAGTTAGTTAATAAAGCTACATACGTACTATTGCAATCACTATTTACAACAAAACTAATGTTATTTTTTCAAAGATTTTGGCTACAGTGAACCATCGCTCCTAGTGGATTTATTGCTGGTATAGCAGATGATTCACGATAACGATTCCATTTTCATAAAAAATTCATAAGCATGCACAATAATGAATCTCATTAGATTCTAAAAAATAGCTATTAAACTAAAATTTTAGCTACTTTTTAACAGTTTAACTTTCAGGATAAGACTAGAAAATTACTCGAAAATTACCTCATTCAAAATGAGGCTATTTCGAAAATCATAAATAAAGTGTAATATTAAAATCTTAAGAAGATATTAATATTTGGGGTCCTCTAAAGTTTAGGGCGCCACTTCTGAGCATAAGCATTCATTTCGAACTGTGTCCTAAAACCACACATTTTGAACTGTTCCAGAATGAAAAGCTCACCCACAAATCATATAATATAATTTCAAGTTGGCCTAATAAATGAAGTCTTCCATCAATAAGAACTATATTGATTGGCGGAGAGGGGGACTTTGCAGTTGTAACGCAGATTTTGAGATTTCAATCAGATTTGGCTTTCCCACTCTAAATTATGAACTAGAGAAGACGGATTGAGTTACAATTTAAAGCAGTGCATTTATGAGATTTTTGTGTAATTCCATGAAGTCCCTTAACGTTAATTTTACTATTTGCATGTTTTGATCATTCCTTGAAGTTATTTAAGTAATTTTTGTAAGTATTACTTTTTACTGTTTAATTGTGTTTAATGTTTTGAATTCTAAACTGTACAAGTTTTTCATTATTTAAAACTATACAATTTTAAATTACCAAGTCCAAAAGTTGAATGATATTGTTGGAATAGTTTCTGAGTAGTAAAATTTCAAACAGTTTTTATTGTTAACTATTCATTGGGACACGATGTGATGTTTGGATAAATTTTTTCGTAGTTGTGTGAAGAATTCTTTGATTCATTTAAATATTTTTAGAGGTGTGGTTTATTTTTTTTTTTGAGGTTTACCTTTTTTTGATGTGGTTTTTTAATTGACAGTACATAATAAGTAGCAAACCTTAAGTTCCATTATGTAAACTCTTGAGATTGAAACTTCGGTTGAAATTTCAAATCCCGATCACTGGATCAAAAGTTACGTAAGATTTTCCACTTTTTAATTTGCGTACTGTCATGTCCTCAAAATAAAGAAAACGGAACATCTTAATAACTTTTACTCTTGTGGTAGGATAGTTAAATGGTTCAAGGTACTAAACTTAAGTTTGCCAAATTTCTTTGTGCAGATGATCTTTTAAGCTACGGAATCTGACACAAAATCATACTTTACATGAATAAACATAACTTTAATTTCGAGGGGTTTGAAATCTTGAACCGGCGTATTTGGAAGCTGTAACATGGACAAAAAATTTTCCCCATAGTTTATTTAAGAATTCTGTCGAAAATATAAGCCCCTTCATATAAATTTATTTCACTCAAAAAGTATAAAAAACAGTCCAATTTTTAAATTATTATTTCTCAAGAACTATTTGACCGATTCCTTTCAAGGTTTGAATCTTTTAATTTAAAATTACATTGTTAAATAATGTAAAAATTAGTGTATCCCATTATTAATAAACGTTTTGACTATTTAAGAACATAAATAATACAAAATGAAAGCATATTTCTTTACATAGAATTATTTGAATTACTTAGTCTTATTTGACTTAGATTTAGAGATTGAGAAGCTCCAAAGAGCCGGGGAAATCAATCAGAGGTCCATTGCACCCAAACCCTAGATTAACGAAAAAGCTTTATAGCTGAAACAAAGTTCGGCAAACACCTAACAGGAATATCTTGCTATTCACAGGCCTTAATGCAATGTTGCCCTAAATGCTCAAATCTTTGAGCAGAATGGACTTCGCAATCACAAGTAATTATTTGAGTTACGAGTTTTATTATTTATTTTAAATAATTTTTGATTGCCTTATAGTATATAGTTCTTGAACTATCGTGAAATTTAGAAAAGGGAAATTAACACTAAGAAGTCTATGTCTCCCTTATTTGAGGCTTTTTAATTAAACCCGGCCAAAGAAAAGCTAAGCTTATTCTGATTAAGCACTTATTTGTGTCTAATTTCCATCTCAAAATAACGTCTCCTCTAATTAAGTGGCGCATTTTATGTCTATTTCTTAAACAATTAAGATTGTCCAGTAAAAATTCTGTTGATGAAATCAAAAATTCAGGGATGTTTTGCTTTTTATTTTTTTCGTATTGCACATCATTTGGTACCTTTAGTTTTCATTAATTTTTTTGGAAAAAATATTTCAGTTTTAGTTTGAAATGAATGCATGAAAATTAGGGCGCTCATGATGTGCAAAACATATTTGAATTTAAAAGCCATAACGATTGTCTTCTGACAATTCATTCGATTTAAAGAACATAAACAGTGAATACTCACGAGTTCCTTGAAGAACATCAGCTGCTGTATATAGTTTTGGAGGAAGTCATTAATTATATTAGTACTCAAACGAAACAGCTGGTTGTGTTCGTTTGTTCCAAATCCCGGTGGATCGATCACGGTTACAGAGAAGGAATCCCCCCTATAAACAGAATGCTCAATCAGCCAACACACAATGAGTTACACATTCAGACTTTATTCCATTGTGATTTCGAAATTCGAGTGAATGCTTTGATATTACTAATGAAATATGCGATACACGAATATAGCGATGAGTCAATTGCAATTTAAACGTTAATAACGAAATAGTTTCTAAGATTATAATCTTCATCAAATATGGTAAATAATAATTTCATTATTTTTGTAATTTTAGTTCCTCAAAATCTAAGATGCCCGAGAGAAAGGATCACTTTTCACTGTCAAACAAAATTTTATTATTTGACCAGCAATAAAAGGGTGTTTTCTCTGGAAAAATTATCAACCAATTTTTCTAATAGAAATATTTGCTATGTTATTATAAATGCTCAAAGCTAACTTTCCCAATCTCCTCTATACGCTATCCCTATAAGGGTAATTTAAGGGAGAGAATTGAAATTCTTCAACAAAGGCGACAGACGCAATGCGTCCGATGTATTTTTTATGATGGGTTGAACAAGACTAATAGTTTAGAAGTCATAAGGGTCTTGTGTACAAAAAGTACAAATTTTAACTTGTACCTATTTACGCATCTGATATTTCTACTAAAACTACGGCGGCATTGTTTCATATGTATTTTTTATTGTAACTTTGAATCGAATGAAAATATACAAGAGTCATTTTTCTGACTGCATGCGTCAGTTCTGGTGAAATGCGCATGCGCCCCTGCATTACGTAAATGAAAATAAGAGATTTTGCAAAAAACCTTAAAAACTCTAAGGTAGTGGAATATTATTTTAACTTCCATCACAAAATCAAAGCAAACATTTACAACGGACGTAGACTATATTTTTAAAACTTTGGCATACGATTCAAGGTGTTTTAGTCTACGTAAAACTGTGGTTCCATGAGCAGAAAAACATGGAAGATTATAGATTTTGATGAATTCAGCGATAAAGAATGCAGCTTATAACTATTATTATTATTAATTAATATTTAAAAGAATATTATTGAGCTTTTATTGATTATTTAACTTCTTTTAGCTAAACTGTACAGTTAAAATATAAATATAATTTATAGTTTTAAAACAGCGAGAATGTATTTAGTTTCTTATGAAAATAGTATAATTAGATATCCATAATATTAAACAAAAACAAATAAATAATTTTTTTTTACTGAATGAACCAATTGTTGTAAGATCGCATGATTAATCTCTAAACTTCATCAATACATTTCTTCAAATTCGCATTCCATGAACATATTTTTAGTTCAAATACAGTTAGTTTTTAGACTTAATTAGAACAATATTTAATGGTAAAAAGCAGCTTTGTTTTGTAGCTTTGTCTTGGTGGCTTAAATCACGTCAACATAACTTAAAGATACGTAGCATAAAAAAAAATCACGATTACGTGCGGTTGTTTCAATCATAGATTCGGGAGTGTACTTCAGTACTAACATAAAAGTGCAAAATCTTCCTATTTTTGTATTTCATACATGCATAAGTAAAATGAAAGGATCAGACGTACTCTTATCTGTTTTGTTATATTTGAGAAAAAGTAACACAACGTGAGTGACGACGTATGTCACTAAATATGGATGCAAGTGACACTTTCAATGTTATAAAGTAAGAACGTCGGAATTCAAGAGCTCATGGCGAGTGCTATTTTTCTTTTCTATAAAAGTGAAATATAAAAAGAGAAAAGAAAATGTTTATCTGGATAGAAAGTGTAAAAAAATTAAAAAGAATTGTTTAAATTATTTTAAATTAGCTCTTCACTTTGCTCACATAAAATAGCTATAATTTTCTGAGGTATCTTTAAGCGGTGACCCCGTGAAACTTTTTATTTAGAACGATAACAGTAAATAATTGTTTACAAAAGAAATAGACATTTACGACCGACTATTGTCTAGAAAATCTACCTGTTAACGTAACGATGTTTGTATAAGAGATCTTGATTCACAGGTATAACTGTTTCAATACTTCGTACAACCGTGCTATGAAGCTTCACCCTCCAATGTCATGTAAATTAGAGATAACTGTTACTTAAAGTGGAAGTTAAGTTTATTTGATTTCGAAAATAAATGCGTCTGTTATTTAACTCAATAGTTACTTTGGAACAATCATAATTTTCTAATCGTTTCGAAAGTAGTAGCATCTGTATTTTAATGCATTGGTAATCCTGGCGCATTTATAAGAAACTAATGACAAACTTTTGAAAGAATGTGATACATTAGAATTCCTAATTTTTCCTGCCTAAAAAAATTTAACTAAGCAAAATTTTTTTTGAAGTTATACTTCTTATGCGACTTCCAACAAGGTTGCGTTAAACGTTTAACGCTACATTTTTATTCGCCGGGAAATCACGTGGTAGGATCCAGTTTTCCCTCATTCATTTCCATATTTTTTTGGTTCTCACTAGCATAAAAATAATAAAAGTATTGTTTTTCTACAAATATTTTTTTTAGTTTGTTTTGATACACATATAATTTAATAGGGTAGTATTTTTTATTTTCAAATTTAGTGGATAACAATTGTAAAAAAGGAGTGAAATTAATCCCACGGACAATGCGACGGATGTAAGGTTATGTCAAGGTACGTCTCTTGTGAATATCAATTGATTGTTAGGTTTTCTCTTCTGAAATTATATTATGACGCATTCACATACATTATTAATGCAAATACATTTTCCAGGGCGAGACGATGAGTCAACCACAAGCACTTCCACTGGTTCAAGAGGTCCACGAGGGAAAAATGCACAATATTACCGTGATTACAGAGCACGGAAGCGAGCGGAGCAGGAAAACGAGTCGTTGAATAGAACTAGTGATCCTTCTACGACTGCTGATTCTTCTACAATTAACGTCGCAGGTTGCGAAGTTTAACTTCTTCCACGCGGAGGGACTCCACGCACTATTGTTTTGTTTTTCACGATGTCCACTTTAATGAATAAAAGTCACTGTAAATGTATTTGCCGAAGTAAAATGTATTTACAACTGCTTATTTTGAAAATATTTAATGTGATTAATTTTTTTATCGCTAAAAGTCTTGAAATTCAGTTGTCTTGAGTGACATCTAGAGAATTTGCTCTTTGTATGCGCATAAAGTAAAAACGAGCAAAATAAGATAAATTATGGTTTTCTTTGAAATGAAAAAGGACTTTAATAATCGTTGAGAATGGTTATCTGAGAAAAATATTTATTCCTTCCTGAATTTCGTTATTTTCTTTAAATTAGATGCTTACACTTTAAGCAGAAGACGATTACAGACACGTGTGACCAATGACGTCAGCACCAGCTGATCGTTTTTAAGCAAAATATCGTGCTAAATTTGAGTTAAGTTTCTCTATGTTAGAATGTTAAATAACGTGAAATTAATTGAATACAGCGCCGTATCGCTCATAGAATTTGTTGAGATATAATTTTTTTCGTTCACGTCTTTTATTTAATCTAGATTTATTATTTGTTTATGCATTTTATTGTAACCATGATATACTTTTAGTTTGTGAATATTTAGTTTTTGTGAATATGCAACTTCGATGCATATTTAGTTTATGTTCTACATGACTTAGTGCCTGTCCTTTTGCTAAGTAAGAAATATACATTGAAAAAATAGAAATATTTGTGAAAGAATCTTTGTGAGAGAATATAGAATGTGTCACATAAGAGAATTATTACTTGACGGACTTGGATAACTCGAAATAGAATAGAAAGAACAGTTGCTAAGGTAAGCAAATTCCACGTTTCAACAAACAATCAGGAACGAGATACACACACTACATCACTTGCAGGTATTCCATTGAAAAGTTTGATGTGCTATCTAGTGTTTGATGTCAATAGTACAGTTTTTACTGACATTTCGCATAAATAATTTCATAAAAATAACCGAAATACTAAATTAATAATGATTGGATATATAAATATAATTAAATATTTTAAAAATAATTACTATTTTTTAGTCTTAACTCTCGGAACACCTGCGACCCTTTCACGGAATACCTTTTGAGTGCCGCTGAACTAGAGACCCACGATTTTTATATTCATATTTCTTTTTCTTATCAATCTTTTCTTCTCTTTATAAAGTTATATCTTATTCTTATCTTTATATTGTTATCTATAAATTAAATAATAATGAGTCTAACGAACCCAACATATTTCGCTGTTTGTACACGGATTTGGTTTCACAGATTTAGTTCCTCGTCAAAATTCTCTGATGGTACCAATTCAGTTTTGTTTACGTGCAAGGCCCTGGCGGAAAAAAAAGTGGCACCGGAAAAAACAATGAGAACATGCAAAAATTATTATCCAAATAAAATGCAATTTATATCAAGACGCAAAATAAGGAAAATTGGAAATACAGTCGAACCATCAGAGTCGAACCATCACATTATTCAAGTCTAACTCGAACCTCGATTTCAGGAATTTTTCGATATCTCGAAGAAAAAAAAATTCCCTTCAAATTTCCTATGCACTCAATGTCAAAAAGAACTTGATTTCACGAATTTTTCTTTCTAATCCCTCGCTAACTTATCCCTCGCTTTTTTTCTTCTAAAATCAAAAAAACATTAAAAAAAAGTTTTAAGAATGGCTGACGAGGCATGGAATAATGTGTCTTCCTCTACGATAATGAATGTCTTCAAGAAGTCTGGATTGATTAAAGATCACAAAAGTAGTCAAACAATCAATATCGTTTATTCTGATGAAAACTACACCGAAAATGATTGGAACAAATTGACCGGACTCATGAAGCTTGATGACATCGAATTTCATAACTTTGTAAACGTAGATGATGCAGTAACAGTGTGTGGTCAGTGGGATGACAATAATATCATCTCTCAAACGAAAGCTTCTTGTGAACTATCAGAAGAAGAGGACGAGGAAATCGAAGATTTACCGCCCAATGTTACTAACAAACAAGTAGGGGAGAGTCGGGCAGCCCCGCCCACTGTCAATTTCATATGTATAGGATATTTTTTCAAGTCAATGGGCCATCGGACATTAATTGTTATA